CTTGTATACACTGTACTGTATTTTAAATTATCCTAGTGGAATAATCTGTTCATCTCTGTAATGTTAACAATATTAGAGAATATATGTATGTTCATCTCTGTAATAATAATAATAATAATAATAATAATAATAATAATAATAATAATAATAGAATATGTACGCATATTAGGATCCATTCAAAATGTTTTGCACATTTTTCCACTCATAATAAACTAATTATTTGATTAAAAGAAGAAAATTTTTTTCACCTGGTATTATTATAATTACATGTAGAAACGAAAAAATCTAATTGATTTTATTATTTCGAATATATGAAATATATAAGGCTACCTGATGTAAAATCACTGTTTTGTTCATATGAATCCGCCTGAATTCGTTTGAAATTTCTAACATTACAAAATTATATTTATTGATAGAAGAATTTATCCCAATTGTTAAGATTCCTACTAAGCACAATCAATATGATGGGCTAATTGATTTATTTGAAATCATTGTGTAAAAAATGATTCATTCATAGTTATTGGCGCCTAACTATTCCAATTAAGGAATATCTATTGTTGTTGTGTTTTTGTGCGCGTTTTATGTAGAACCCCCCCCCCTAGAATCTACGGTTATTATTTCTTTTTTAAGATGTATTCTGGTTGTTCAATCAATTTAGGTGAATAGGATGATTTAGCATGAAAATTAATTAATTTATGACGAATATTTGTTATTTCTAGTGCAGATTGTTTCAGAGAAATGAATATTATGCATTTAAGCATATTTGAGATGTAATGGTTTCGGTTATAGCCAATAGGTTTTTCAATGTCTCTTGAATTCCTCTTTATATCGATGTGGAAAAAAATACATAAAGATTTGAGTAGAATAAAATGGGAACAACACATATATGCGAACAATAGTGTTGTTTTCGATTAGATCATCATCATGCTTTACTATCTAATATACATGAATATTTTTATATGAAAATGTTAAATCAATCAAGGTAATTTATAAGTCAATAATCACAATGAAACGAAATAGATTACGTCACTCTACACATAATAGGCAATAGTACAAGTTGATAGTAGGAAGACAGGTGATGTACTGATAGTAGTACATTAGAGTGAATAAAGCCTGATGACGATCTAATCGAAAACACTATTGTTCACTTATATGTGTTGTCCTAATTTTCACAATGAGAATAAAATAAATTCATTTTTTATTTCGTTGGGTACTTAATACTCATGATAACGACATGGATTGAAATTATTTGCTCATATGAATTTGGTTGGAAATTGGTTTGAACACACAAAATTTAAGAGACTTAATAAAACAGTGCATTTAAACATCTTATACAAAATAATATTCTACAATATTGATAGTAAACTTTGCAAAAGTTTTGTTTAATTTCTTTCGTTTAAGTTGATGATATCATCTGCCCTAGATCAATAATTTTACTTATTGATTAAGCTCTATTCATGTTTGGTGGTCACTATTATGAGAATTAGCATAGTTAATTAGTGTGCAATCTGATTATGTAACTTAAATTCAAATGTTTTGATCAAGAGTATTTCAAATTTCAAGTTTACATTAATAACAACAAAAAACAGATTGTCTGTTGTAGTTTCAACGACTCCGTAATATTTTCAACGATTTACCTGCATGGTGAATATATCAGATTAAAATATCCTTTCAGTTTTTTGATCCTTTGTAGAGGTGTAAATTATTATTATTATTCCACTACAATGTTTTATGAACACATTAAAATTAATTAAAAAGAATCTAGAAGTTTAATAGTAGTAACATAAATGCATGCTCTTCGAGTGTTTATTTACAAGTGACTACTGTCTGTGTGTGTTATTCTTCTTTCTCTTATGACACTTTCTAATCACAGCTATTTCAAATAACGAAAGTAGCCAAATAGAAAACAGTGAATCAAGTTTTTCTGTTGAACAATATCAGATAGTGAAGCTGTACAATCATCTTTATAGAGTTAATTCATAAATGAAGTCGTTTATAAAAAGTTGAAAAAGGAAAATATGTACTGTACAATGTCGAAAAAAAAAGTTTCGTAACGAATGAAAATTTGATGAGCAATAATTATCTACTTGATGTGTGTGATAATGACATATTATTAAAAATGGCGACAATAAAACTATTACAGGGATGTATGAACAACTAACTGTGGTTGGAGATATATGTGACGTATGCCCAACCACCGATTGCCTTGATGAGGTATGTTTTGTGGTGTAGGAGTAGGTTAGAAGAAAGCTAGGCGCGGCCATATCAAAACATGGCATAAATCCATGAAGTTACTGACAAGTGGACTGAGTCATGTTGGTAGATGTAGGCTACCTGGTTGAGGTCCGCGAGACGAAAGTCACCAATGGTTAGAGACCTTGAATGACATGGCTCAAAATTGTTTGCAATGACGCAGGCACATCCACTCTTTGTGTTGTCTGAAATTCTAACCTTCTGAATTCCTCATCTCTATCTTGCTTTCTCTAAAGTTATCTCACTGAACAATCGGATTTGAACTGACAGTTGTGTCTCTGTGCTAACGCGTTATGGCAACTTGAACTTATGTATTCATGTACGAAGTTCTATGTTGTAACTTACTGGCTGATTAGCAACTTATTTATTATCTATAAAAAATTATTTGTTAGGATCATGTTAACTTGCATCTTATAGGGGTCGATTTTGAAAAAATACATTACCTGTACCTTTTTAGCGAACATATAATTGATTTATGCTATTTGCAACCGAAATTGATTCTTTTCACATAGACGATTGTAATGGATATGTATGTGATGAGGCGTTATGAACAGAATTGATTAGTTGTTCTTATAATACTGATCGATTGATTGTTTTATAATTTGTTGTTCAAAAATCATACCACATCATAATGTTTGAAGCTATGTTTAAAAAAGCGCTCAGTTTGTATGCTCTGTGTACTGTTACATACATGTTAATACCACGATCGAGTGTAGAGTAGTTTATCTTTGACATATCCTCTGTTGGAAGAAGCCTAACAGCTAGTAGAATGTCGATTTTACAAATCAACAATAGAAAAAAAAACAATCAATATTTACAACATGCTCAAAACTATGTACATAATTAGTACACTAGGGATTATGAACATGGTGAACGTTTTTTTTTGTGTTTAAAGATTTTTACAACAACACATGCTTCATAATTGCACTTCGACGACTACTGTCGTTTTTTAATTCTTAGTCGAGGAAAAAATAATCGATTTATTGATTACATTGAAATCTAACTCTTCTTATATATATATATATATACTCTATACATTCATGTATAAATACTGTACTAACTATTAAAAAAATAGTCCTATTTCCCATGTCATGTCATTTGTAAACGGGTTTTTTTGCTTCACAATACTTATCTCCATATTCACTATTGTATTAGGTCAACACAAGATTACACACTGTTACAAATATCATCAAATGAATCTCGTTTAATAGGTTAATGAATGAATTCGTGATTATAATTATTACTATTATTATTATTATTAAGTAACATACAACTATGTATTCACAGGAAATTAAAATCAATAAATACAAGGTAAGATGTAGTTGTCTTTTTTATCATCAATTTTTTTTTAACGAATCAATCTTATTGGTGTAAGTTTAAAAGAAAAAAATTTTTTCTTGTCTTATTAAAATAGATACATGTAAAGTATTCAATGTTACAATTCAAATATGTTAATTTCAATATTCAATAGCTAAATTAAATGGATGCCATAATATTTAATGTCTTCTTTCTTACACGAGTATTTTTTATAGTTAATTTAAGTATTTATTATAAATTTTTTTTTAAATTTATTGTTTGTTTATGTCTTATCTATATACGTTGAAATATGCATATCTATCTAGCTAGCTATCTATCGACACATGTATATCTCATTATATGCAGTTGAACAGTGTTATATATTTCATAACAACAAATAGAGTTTGACATTAAAGAGGATTATACATGTGTGTGTGTTAATTGATTATTTGTTTATTTCAATGAATATTTATTACTGCTTTACTTACTTTTATACATTGCAATTGAATGTAAATTTTGTCAAAAATGTAATTTTCCAATCATCATCTCTACCAGTGTTGTTTGTGATTGATGCATAGATTTATGAGTATAGTGATGTGTATATAAATACAAATATATATATCTATATAAATACTATTCAATCTCTGTATAATATTTTCATCAATTTCAATTGATCATTTCTAGTTAGCTACCGATTTAGAACAATTACAAAAGCGTGTAATGCCTCAAGTGAATTTATCCTGTAACATAGCTCGTGTTCAACCGTATGATGTGAAAAATCAAGTGAATCTGTTGGCTGCATCACAAAATCTAATGAAAGTATGTTACATTGTTTTGCCACTATTATTATTATGATTATTATTGATATTTTCCGTTAGAGTTTTTGGAGATTTGTGTTTTTACACATTTGAAAACCTGGAAGCACTGGACGGCCGTATTCCTTCCTGGTACGGGACTCGTCAGCAGTGCGCATCCACGTCTCCTGCACCTCGCAGGATTCGAACCCGGGACTTTCGGTATTGTGCGCGAACACCCAACCATTGGACCACTGGGCCGGCATCCAACGGTGTTAATGTCTAACTCTCATTAATCTAGGGACTGAACTTTATTTAAATTTGGAAAAAAAAATGAATGGCTTATCTTATTTTCATGCGTTTATATTGTATTTATCATAGTCTATATGGAGTAGGAAAAACTTTTGATTGATAAATAAGTAACTTTATTTAAATTTTTCTGATTGTGTATTATGTCATATTGTAAGACAGTACAACTTATTATTATATCCTTCTTCACTATTGTCTTAATTGATGTCATCAAAATGATGAGTTGATTAACTGTGTCTCAAAACAAAACTTTCAATATTCAATCTTCGGTGATCTATTTGTGCCTTACTCCGCCATATTATTCATTGTTTAAGGGGAATCGATGAAAATTACTAACATTCACATTTGAATAAAAGTTGATTGCATTTAGATTTCTTTTTGTATTTTAAAACTATAAAATAAAATGAATCAACCTATTGATGATCAGGTTCATACCACTTATGTTTAAGAATCTTAATTGTAACTTGATTAATTTCAAGAGTTCTGGTTTTTCGTATCGAATTGGATTTGTAATGAAAATATGACATTGCAATTGTCATGAGAATTCCGGTACGATTTATATTCACATACTAAATTCACCACGTTTAAACTACACTGTGTTGAATGACTCATTGTTGTTCAACGAATGAGTGGCATATACACGATAGTCTATTTATATTATCAAGTATGAGATATTATCGTCAATACAATATTGGATTAATCATTGTACTGTCTTTTAGTTGGTATTGTACATTTCTACTAGCATTGAATGACAAAATATAGTGGCTAGCTTCGTAAAGGAATTAACGGAGTTCCAGTTAGAAGCCATGATCAATGGAGTACAACCATCACGAGTGTGAAGCTGTTACCCACAGAAGACAATGAATAAGATCGCGAAATATCCCGGATTGATTGAAGTCAAGCATTAACACAGTTGAATGGTGGCTCATTGGCTTGGGGGTTTGTGGATTAACACTGGTGAAGAATCTCACATTAAGATGAAACTGTCCTGCAGTACACTTCCATGTCTTTAATGGTGGTTTAACAATGATCGTTCCATGATTTCTATGAAAATAAACAATTGTAGTTAAATAATCTACGCTATTTTTAGTTTTTGTTATCATAAGTAGAATCGCAACTTACTAATAATAAAATAATGCACAATTCAAACAACTTAATAGTTTTTTTTTTCACACCAAAGACTAACTTCACCCACACAACATTTGTAGACCAGGAAATACTGAACAGTTATTTTATCCTAGTGTAGTGGATACTGTTCGCAACATGGCTTTTAAGTAGTATGCAGCGGAGCGTCGCCCATAGAGAAGAGTGTTAGTTCGAAATGCATGGCGCGATCAAACTATTTTGAAGATATGTGAAGAAGACAGTTAATAATCTGCTTGTATTGTAAATGGATGTCTAAAGATGACGTGTACAATTTTTTTGGCGAATAGATTGTATCTTCTCGAAATATGTATTAATTAGTTTGTTCTTGACTCACTAATGTGAAACTTCATGGCAGTGACTTCAATCAGTCCGTAACGTAAAACTATAAAATTCAATTATCTCCACAATTTCTAGTAATAAAAGGCACCAACTAATTTTATACAGTCACTTTAGTTTTGTTCGGAGTTATTTCCAAACCAAACACCCAAACATGTATGTAGACGTTATGATTGTTTTGCGTTATTCGAATGTTTTCTTTTGTATATTTTGTGCATCGTTTTTACATGAAACACCAATTTATCATATTTTTTTAACAGTTCAAGGTCAACACCTGTTTGTATTTTCTACTATATGCACACTAAATTACTCATATGTTTTTATATATTTTTTCTATATTGAGGTCATCTATTTGACCTATACATAAGGTGCAAATGTAACTTTTCTCCCGTATTATGCACATCACTTTTCTATTGATTTAACACAAAGTTAATAAACAATAAACTTTTTAACCCTACGTTTTGTTGATGAATAAGCTTTGACCTAGTTTATTCGTTGTTAATGCTTTTTAGCTATCATTTCATTGTGGCTTTTCTTCACTGACCTATTTTCCTCCTGCTCCTCTCTCTCCCTCTCTCTTTCTCATGATATTTTCAGTGCTTAGAAGATTTATTACGATCAGCTGATGCAGTTGCACCAACAATTCAAGATTCTGGTATCCAATCAGCATTAACTGGTGTCACTCGAAACACTCAAGCTTGTTTAACTGATCTTCGTTTATGTTTTGCTAATTCTGAAACGGTACTTGGTAATGAACCACCTGAATTATCAGAAAAATTCTATCATTCAATGAATGGTGACAAAAATTCACCATCGAATGGATTAACTGAATCCGATTATCATGTCGGGAATATGGAAGCGAATGAATTAGCTAAAATATCTAAAATGATTGAACAATTACGAATAGAATTATTTGATACCTCGTATCATTTGTTACCAAATGAAACGGTAATTTTTTTTTTAAAAAAAAAAAATGTTTACTTCTATTTGTTAATGGATTAGAAAATGTAAATGTAAAATGTTCATACATTTGAACATCGTATTCTTATGATACATTAAGCTTTCTGAACTCTTGGCAAATGTGCTAACCTTGACTATCAAGCAAATAAATAGTAAGAGATTGTCGTACATGAGCTTTACTTCAAGGTAACTTCATGGATAGAGATCATAGATAGGTTGTATAATGAAATGTCACTATCAACATTCAGTAAGTAGCAGTGATTTCCTGTTAACAGATATTTCAGTTTGTGGAGTTTATTGTACTTTTTTATGAACATTGGCTGATTGAATGTATTCGGTACATATTTTTCGTTTGATGTCAGTCAGTTACAACGTAGAACTTCTTACATGAGTACATAAGTTCAGGTTGCCATATCGCATTAGCACAGAGACGCAACTGTCAGTTCAAATCCCATAGTCGTAGAGATGGTAGAAGAATTAGTGGTAATGTAGAAGATTACGGTTCGGAGATGTTATTCAAGAAGTATTATTCAGTGAAGTAAATTCAGAAAGAGAAAGACAGATATGATGAGAAATTCAGGAGGCTTGTATTTGAGAGAACACAATGAATGAATGTACCTGCGCCATCGCAAACGATTTTGAGCCATGTCGTTCAAGGCCTCTTTCTGAACATCGGTAACTTTTGTCTCGCGGACCCCAACCAGATAGCCTACATCTACCAACATGACTCAGTCCATTTTGTCAGTGACTTGTTTTTGGTTTGTCTACCCTTAACTTTCTTCATTTGATGAATGTCAAGGGATAATTTTTACCACTTACTAACACATGGTCACAAGTTAGTAGAAAAGAAAATTCAACAAGAATATATAAATGATAAAAGTCAGTCAACCAAAACTGATTTACTGCTTCCGAAATAACTAGTAGGAAGTTCATTTCTACATGAAATGCGTCCTAATGATATTGTCCAGAACGACAATGAAAGCTATTTAGCTGAGAAACAAGGATTTACCAGATATATATATATATATATATATATATATATATATATATATATATATATAAGAAGGAAATAGACAGATTTATCTCGTTTACTTTAGCTCTACGTTTATGTAAGTGTATTTACTGTAATGAATTAGCACTTCGATTGTCTCATCCATGTAACATTCGAACTATGTACTAGATAATACTGACTTTTCTAATTGTTGAACAATGAGTTTCATTCAATAGTCAAGTTTTATTTTCGCCCCAACTTGTTCATTTTAATTATTGTCCTCTTTCAAATTTGTTTTTTTTTTGAATTACTATTTTCTCAGCTTGATTCAATTTGTGTTTCACTATGGTCTGCAATCACTGATTATAATCAAATATTCAATGTACCAGATGAACATCAAAATTCAAATAATCAATTAGAACAACCAATATGGCATAAATTGCCACATTTAATTGAACGTATTCAACAAACATGTAATAATCATGATGGGACTATGAAAAAAATTATGCAATCCAGATTAAATATTGTGCAAGAGTTATTACATCATCTTGAGCCAATACTACGTGGTATACGTAGTTTAGCTGTATTTTTTCATAATGCAGCTCAATCAAAATCTGTGGATTCAAGTAAGTTCTTTTTTTGAAAGATTACTTATATTTATCTAATGTAAAGGTAATTATCAGTCAGAAATACTGGATGAATAACTGAGGGACCTGTAACTGCTCTTAGGTCATATTGCATGATATTAATATGAATACATATGTTGGGGACGTTAGATCCCCAGAACTCACTTGATAAAGATCCTAATTTTGGATTTTATGCTTTCGAGCATGAGTTGATCAGTTGACTTTGAGATTACATTTCTCATCCCGAATATCCTTGACTATTATTGGTCTGTGTAGTATTTTAGTACACTATTTTTGTGGCTCTCCCAAGGACGTTTCTATGATGTATAAATAAACTCGATTTGTGTGCTTATCGACTTCATATTTTCTGGGTGTTTGTAGAATGCTTTTTCTACGTCTTCTCAGGACTTTTTGAAACCGTTAATGGGGCCTTTGGACGCTTGGATTAAAGTAGCCTATCGTCTCACTAGATCATTTATCTTCGCTCTCGCTAGCCGACTTAGGTGAACTCGTAATAGCATTTAAGCAAATCAGTTGACGAGCATAATAACATGTCAAAATGTTAACTCCGTGGATTTATTCGTTGAAATCATTGTTCTTTTAGTTCTAGTTATGTGCAAACCAATCACGAACTATTGATGCAGTCGGATAAATTCATCAAAGACAATGTAAATAAATCTACATATATTGTACCTTGAAGTAACTGTATTTATTGAAATTGTCAATCACGATTGAAGTATTGGCAGAATACTTTGCTGTGATGAATAAGAAAAGTTAATTTATTTGTTTTGATAGATGTAATATGCATACACCATTCAGTTTTTAAGTGGTAACTACTCCAAACAAATAGATATATTTTATGACGGTGTTGTAAAGATTGTTAAGTTACTCATTTGAAATCATGAATCGATCAAATTTAGATCACCATTAGAAACCTGGAAGCGTCCGCGCGCAAAACCGAATATCCTGGGTTTGAATCCTGCGAGGTGCAGGAGTTGTGGATGTGCACTGCTGATGAGTCCCATACAAGGGCGAAACGGCCGTCTAGTGCTTCCAGGTTTCTAACGGTGTTCTAACTTTGATCGATTCACGATTTAAAATGTGTAAATGGATATACATATATGGAAAGATTCATTGAAAATTATTAATTTCTATTGGTTTAGATCAATATTTGATTTTCTCATTTGATGATAACTTTTATGTCTTGATGATTACTATCACAACATTCTACTTTTATTGTTGTATTTATTTTGTTTTACAAAAAGATTTAGCTCGAGTTATCAATGTATCCCATGGAGTTGCATCAAAACGTCAAAGTAGTATATCTGTTTGTTCTAATCATACTAATGCTAGTATAACAAATACTGAACAACAAACACAATTAACAGCTAATGCTATGCATCAGAATTTAATGTCTATAGCTGAAACATGTCTTGTCACTGCTGGTCAATTGATCACATGGGCACTTAGAAATAATTCACAAATTATACCAGATTATGAATTACAAGATGCTTCAGTGACTGCTGATCAAGTGAGTTTTATTTTTGATTATTTGTAAGCTAGTTAGTTAGTATGTTAATGGATCAATATTTTTATTTTTTTTCTGTTCATGATTAAATTCATATTCCGCTTTATGTTATCGCTCTTTGTGGATACATAGTTTTCTGTTGGTTATGACTGGTGTCTGTTGATTTGTTCGAATGTAACTAATGCAAGTAGGTTACACGGATCAATATTCAGGTTTCAAACTTATGGGACTTAAATGGTTCAAATACTGATTCCACTCTACTTCAAACTTACACTGGTGTTTATAGAAAACCAGTCGCTTCATTGAAATGGGTCTTTTTTGCTATTCATTTTATTAAAAACTTAACTTTTCTCCCTATCAGCTTTGAATGTCAAAATATAAAGTAGCATTAATAATATTTACTTTTTGAAACAGTGTTTTTGTTGTTGTTGTTGATATTGACTTACTTCTTGTCGATTATAACTCACTACTTCAATCTAAGTAATTTCTCAATCAACATATCATTCTCATATTTCGGTTGTAAACACTGTGACTGTTTTGATTTTATTTGACTATCGAAGATATTAACAACGCCTTATTTTTTCCTATTTCATAGTTAACTAACTGTGTAGTGTTGAGTTTCAGTTACACAATCAATTTGATACAAATAAATGTGTCTATAAAGAGACATAAATTGATTTGTTTTTGAACATGACTGAAATCAGTTTATACATCATTTTTGATTTTATGTACATTTGTTTAACAAATGTAACTCAATAGATTTTTATCTATTTCTATTTATTAATGAAATCATGAATCAGTCATTATTAGATTACCATTAGAAGCTTGAAGGCACTGAGCGGTCGTTTCGTCCTAGTGTGGGATTCATCAACAGTGCGCACCCCATGAATCCTGCCACTCGCAGGGATCGAACCCAGGACCTTTGATATAGCGCGCGAACGGTTCCACTGAGCTGGCTGGCACCCAACGGTGTTAATGTCTAACTCTGATCAATCTAAGGTACTAACCTCAAATGTTTGTATTAACTTGTGAGTATAAAATCAGTCTGTATGCTTTTCAAAACATTGTAAAAGTTAATGAAAACAAGAAGAACAACATATACGTGATGAAAGTGAAATCATTATATTTCAGAACCTCTCATCAATTGAAAAACAGCCTAAATGTATATTAGTAATATTATAATAAAAGTATCTTATTATAAACCACAATTAATGAAGTTTGGTACGAACTAACATTCCCAAGTTGCTGCTTGTCACCCCCGAAAGAGCATAGGCCACCGACCAGTGTTCTGCAATCTACTCTGTCCTGGGCTTCCCGTTCCAATTCTGTTCAATTTTTGTTCATTCTCATATCTTTCTCTATTTCGCGGCCTAATGTGTTTCTTGGCCTTCCTGTTTTCCTTTGACCTTGAGTGTTCCAAGTGAGGGCTTGTCTTGTGACTCAGTAGGGTGCTTTCCGCAGTGTGTATCCTATCCACTTCCACTGCTTCTTGATTTCCTCCTCCACTGGGATCTGGTTTGTCCTTTCCTACAGTAGATTGTTGCTGATGGTGTCTGACCAACGGATCTGAAGTATTTTGCGTAGACATCTGTTAATGAATATTTGAATTTTCTCGACGATGGCTTTCGTAGTGTTCCAAGTTTTCACCCCATACAGTAGAATGGTCTTGATATTTGTATTGAAAATTCTGATAATGGTGTTTGTGGACATTTGTTTTATTATTTTGATTTATAAATCATAGTGAAAACAGAATGTAACTGATAAATGTTAAAATAATATACCTATGAAATAAGTTTATCACACTTTCTTTCTGTATACACCAAGGTTTAGATAGAAAGTGTTTGATGACAATAGACTCTATGAAATGGAATAATAATGGTGTATGTGACCATTTTAATTGCTTTTTAATGCTTTCGAAGAATCCACATTGTGTCCACCATTCATTCATTCATTGTTCAGTCATCACAGTTGTAAAAACTTTACACAAATGAAGGGAATATATTCCACTAACCTTATAGATATCTTATTTTCAGTCATGTTTGTGTACATTTTTTATAAAAATCTTACTAATGTAAATTTAAAGATGGGGTCGTGAATGCTCACTGCTAATGTGCCTCATACTAGAACGAAACGCCTATCCGTTGCTTTCAGGCTTCTAATAGTGGTCTAACAATGATCGTTTTATCATTTCAATGAAAACAATTTTATGTCGCTTTAATCTAATGATAAGCCCTAAAACATTAATAAATTCATTTTGTTCTGCTTTATCTTCCAATTTTATCAAGCAGTCCAGGTTGTAAAATTTATTTATTGAATACTTTAAAATCTTTATTGTTGTTGTTGTCTCTTTGGGGTCTCTTTGATTCAACGCCTGTAAATGTGGATTTATTTTTTTTTTTAAAAATTTGTAAATTTCTATTGTTACATTTGTTCTCATTTTATGCCAACCGATCTATTTGTTCACTCGATCAATCAATCAATCAATCAATCATCAGTCAATCAGTTAATCGAAAGCACTATTTTATCTGACAATTAGATCAATGAATATATATATATATATATATATATATATATATATATATATATTCTCTATCAATAATGTACTACTTATGAAACATTTACAATGAACTTGAAATGAAATTCATTGAATAAGCAGTATACAACTACTTCTTTCTCAATGTTCATATTTCAATATGTTTAAAAAACTATTCATAATCATAATTATTAGTTGTAAATCTTGAATATTTTGATATTGCTATAACAAAAATAAACAATAGTCTTAAATAGAATTTCCATTAGTAATCAAATTCCAAGGTATGCATACATCATCCTAGTGAAGATTACTCAGTTGAATGTATTTTACATTTTCCCAACGAAACCCAATGTGTTTCATTGAAATTGCTCTTAATACATGTTATCCATTGATCTATTGAGTTCAGTTAGCTGTTAGTTGTTAACAGGGTGGTTATCTTTAAAAGGTTTTCAGTTTTCCAGTTAATTTTTTTTCAGAATATATATCAATATATCTTTTGATACTGTTGGGGATGTTAGATCCCCAGAACTCACTTGGAAAAGGTACTACTTTTGGATTTTATATTTACGAGCATGGGTTGATCAGTTGATCTTGAGATTACACTTGCTACCCGGAAAATCCTTGACTGTCATTGGTTGATGTATTATTTTAGTACGCTATTTTTGTGGCTCTCCCAAGGACATTTCTATCATGTATGAATAAACTCGATTTGTCTGCTTGTCGACCTCGTATTTTCTGGGTGTTTGCAGAATACACTTTCTACGTCTTGTCAGGACTTTTTGATACCGTTAATGGGGCCTTGGGACGCTCAGATTAGAGTAGACTATTGTTTCACTGGATCATTTGTCTTCGCTCTCGTTTACCGAGTAAGGTGAACTCGTAATATTTTGGGGCAGAGTTTTGGAGGTTTGTGTTTTTACACATTTGAAATCACCAATCAATCATTGTTAGACCACCATTAGAAACCTGGAAGCACTGGACGGCCGTTTCGTCCTGGTATGGGACTCATCAGCAATGCCCATCCACGACTCCTGCACCTCTCAGGATTCGAACCCAGGACCTTCGGTATTGTACACGAACGCCTAACCATCGGACCACTGAGCCGGCATCCGACGGTGTTAATGTCGTAATAGCATTCAAGCATATCAATTGATGAGCATAACAGATACACTAATCTCTTGTATAACATGTATTATTGAATTCTGCACATTGTTCGCTTTTTTTCATTTCATTTCTGACTTTGAATTAATTTTTTTTCTGTTGTTTTTCTTTTAATCATTTGACAAAAAAAATAATTTAGTTAAACACATCAATTAATGCTGTGCTAGGTTATATTCCTGGTGAAGTAACTATACGACGTTTATTTGCATTGCTTCAAGATGCTTCACGTATATTAGAAATGTCAACTAATGAACAACTAGATGTAACTACTACCACAACTAATCATCAGCAACATCAACAAAAATCTAACATGGAACAATTATCCACTCATGAATCACCAACTCCATTGATACCTTTACGTACATCGAATCTACCAATTGTTGATATTTATGAACAAATCGGTGAAACAGCTAAACAACTTGCTCGTGTATGTTTAATCATAATCAATTATTCAGATATATATATATATATATATATATATATATATATATATTCTTCTCGATTCATTTCTTTTCAATAAATTTTCAATTTTTATTCATAATTGAAATAAATTATTGAAAATTTTTTATATGTTTATATTATAATTCACAGTTGAATAGTTGTTATTAGCTAATTTTTTTTTCTTTCTTTTCAAAAAAGGAAATGAATTGTTTATCAGTAGTGAGAAAGAAAAAAGATATATATATATATATATGCATAAATATAAACAACAATTGCCAGCTTTTGTATAGATAGATAGATATTGAACATTTTGAATTGACAATGTAAACAAATGTGTTTTATTGTTTAGCAATGAAAATAGTTTCCTTTTTTTGTTTTCTATTATGAAAATTTGAAAAAAGGTAGTAGTAGTAGTATTTGATCTCATAGATTGAAGTTTTGATTGTCAATAATGTTTAATAATTATTAACTGATTGAAGGACAATTGACAGAAAACGTTGTGTTTACATTTCAACTTAACTGACACTCGTCACTAAGGTTTATCTAACTAATGGTTTCCATGTATCTGAATTCTTGTTACTGATTATTAAGTAGGCACAGAAGTTATCATTGATTTCTTCCAGGACTGAGATTTGTTGGATGACGACCCAGTGGTCCAGAGGTTAGGCGTTCACGCGCAAGACTGAAGGTCCTGGGTTCGAATCCTGTGAGATGCACGAGTAGTGTATGCACGTCCCGTACCAGGACGAGACGGCTGTCCAGTGCTTGTGGATTCTCAATTGTGGTCTTACAATGATCGATTGATGATTTCGATGTGTAAAAACACTCATCTGCATAACTCTAATTGAAAAATGAATAGGAAAATACACTAATTATTTGACAAGTATGTATTATTATCTGATCTGTTTAATCCGTTTGTATTGTTCAAATTGTTTAAAGTAATTAGAAATAAACGGCTCACTATTGTCTTTATATATCAGATAGTTGGGAGTAAATATTCAAATAACGATTTAAGTTAGAATAATAATACTGTAGATACACACACCAGGATGATACAGCCTTCTAGTGATTTCAGGTTTCCATTGTTGGTCTAACATCGATCAATTCTTGATTTCAATCAAGTTGAGCAATCTCCTCAACTCTATAATGCTAGTCGTCTCATAATCAAATGAACCTGCCTATTTGACTTAATCCTCCCAGCTTCAAAAATGTGTAATAACATTTTATGTGAAAATCGATAGTATCACATTTATAAAACATATCCAAAACAGTAAAGTTGGTGTTTCAAGACGAGAATACTAAATGAATTATCGCCACTATGTTACGAAAATCATTTCCAAATCTTGGCATTACTACTATCGCTCAAAATCTGTATAATTTTTGATTTTTAATTCATAAATATATTTTTTTTTAGATCTCATGTGTTTCTAACTTTTTTTTACTTCATTTCAGACTTGTTTAAGTGTTAGTTACGAAATTTCAGGAAAAATGAAACCTTCCAAAACTGAATCATCATTTGGTTCACATAGTAATCTAATATTATTAGCATGTATAGCTGATCGTTTAACCAGTGCTTTAGCTGATGTAGTACGTGCTGCTGGTTATCGTAGTGCACAATTACGTTCTGTTGGCCATTTATTAAATAATTTTAATCAAGCCGCGGAACCTGTTGCTTATGGTTTACAGCATACAATGCGTACTTTAGAATCAAGTCAAAATGATACTGGTGTACCTTCAGCGAATTTAACACTTGCTAAATCAATATTGTAAGTAATTTGATTTCTATAGTGATCAAAATTATGTTTTCGAGTTTTTATCACATTTCCCATCTTTTCTTTAATCTTATTTTAAAAAAAGATTGATCATCCAATGTAGAAGTATCTTGGTTTTTTGATAAAATACTTGATGGGCTTCACACAAAGATCTATCTATTATTTACTAGTTCTCTATCCTTGTAAACGTGCCCCATAAAGTATAGTTGTTGACTAGTATTTAGACAACATGTGTGGTGTTCCTACGCTATCAAAACTTATTCTACCGTCCAAATTTTTACTCTCACTAACCACTCAATCAGACAATGAATGGTATCGGGAAAAGAATTGGCCAGGATTGTATGTAATATGGTAAATAATTATGTTAAGATTTAGGATTTGTGTATATTTTACTGTTTAGATCATAAGCTGATTTTCTTCAGACCATCACTGATAACCTTCGAACATTATAGAAAGCTATTTCTTCTATTATGCATACACGTAAACACGCCATTTGATATGCTTGAATTATTACGAGTTTACCTTAGTCGGAAAACGAGAGCGATAATCGAGGATCCGGCAACACGACAGGCTACTCTAATCCGATTGTCCCAACCCCCCCCCCCATTGAGTCAAAGAAGACTTGATATGAAGTAGAACATGTATTCTACAAGCATCCAGAAAGTACAAGGTCCGAGTCCAAAAGAGAATCAGGATCCAGGACTAGGAATCTGGGTACGGATCCGGATGGGGGACTCATCATCAGTACACATCTACCACCCTACAAGCAAGCACTGAACACAGAATGTTCCACTAACCTCTAGACCACTGACGACCCCAATATCGAACAGTGTAATTGTTTAACTCCAAACATCTACGATAGCACATCGTCCGTTGCTTTCAGGTTTTCAAGGGTGATCTAATTCAAAACAAATAAACATGACAATCACACTATCAACTATTCACATCAAACCTTTATTTACAAAAAACAAAAGAGAACATATAAACAAACATACATTACAATCGTGTAAAAATGATCATTTCAACAAAGCCAATAACTCGGCTTGTTTTTTATTTGATACATGATTCAAAAAAAAATAAACCCAAACTAATGCATATAAGTAAATTGATTTCGTTAATTTCTTTTATCTCTGATCTATTTCTTTCAAATAATAAATCAACATGTCACCAGTGTATTTGCATACATTATTATAATAAGTTTGTCATAAATTTCAAGTCTATCTCTGTCTATCTCTGTGTGTGCGTGTGTGTCGTTATGTAGTAGAATAAATTACCAATATGTATTTTATTCATTTTATTCAAACAAAACAAACCTTTCCTTATGAAACATATTCGTGTATTGAGAATTGAAATTCCCTTTTTTCGTTCTATATGCAAATTATCAACACAAGGCCGATAGATATAATTGTAGCCTAGATTGAAACAATTGAATTCATTAACATTTTGAGGTAAAATTTGAAAAAAAAAAACACAATGTTTAATCACTTACAAAGTATATGGAATAATGACAAATTGAAAATGATAAGTTTTTTTTTTTTAACTAAGCGAAAAGAAGGACAATCTGATTGATTTCATTTGTTTCAATCAATGTACACATGTTACCATTCATCAATGATAAGTGTATTTTTATTTTCTACTGTCCATTATGAACGGACTGAAGTGAACTAATTTTTGAGATGCATAACTTGTCCGTAGTACGTAACCAATTTAACCTTGTATCTAGATTGAACTGATGAACTTCTAGGCCTGATAATAAGTGTGTTATTGTTTAAAAGCTCTGAGTTGTAGTTATATTTTTCAGTTAAATGTGATGTAATAGTCGAATTTATCATTTGATTATACTTGGAGAGAGGTATTCAATGGTTGCAATTTTAATCAATTTTTTCCTAATCAAAATAAATTATGTCTTCTAAGTTTAAAACCAGTAACAAATCCGTATGAATTTTTAATGAATGTTATCTATTTTTGTAAGTAAGTTCATTTAACTACTGAATAATATTCGAAAGTTTTAAATGTTGCTGCAATATTTGAACTTTGTCTCAGTATCTTTGAATTAATCAATGTTAGCTCTAATCTTTTAAGTAAATGGTTTATTTGATTACGAAACATGGTCATTTATAATCTGAACACCATTCAGAGGTAGGGAGCGTCGCCTCAAGAGCAGTGACATAATTAAGAAAGTTAGTAAGCACAATCTGAGTCGTGATTTCTTTGAATATGATTTTTTAAAAAAATAACGCCCATCTAAATCCTGCTTGCAGCTTATTTCTCTGAATGTATATCACAATACGACAAGTTGAATGAATTAACTAAAACAAAAAAACCCACAAATTATCAGATTAGTTACTGTACTTTTCACATTATACCCAATTCATCTAATGTCTGAGCACATTGAGTTTCGTTTGATAGCTAAGTAAAATAATACTTTAAATGACGCCTACTATTTGTAAAACAATATATATATGTACAAATGTGTCATTTCTGATATTATCTCTACTGAAAAATCATTAAAATTAATATTTCCATTAACATTATTTCAATAATAATAATAATAATAATACAAACATTTTGTCGCCTGCTCTAACACCTATTATAAATAATAATGTATACCGTTTTTCGTTTCTAAAAAAAACATCTATCACAATAGAAAATTACGTGAATGGGCATTGGAATTAGATCAAAAAGCTGTCACATGTAAAGAACAAACCTATGATGCTGCATCATCTCACATTAATAATCATGATAGTGATACTGATGATCATAGTCAGTTAACTGTAAAAAATTACAATAATCATGAAAATGAAAATGCAAATCAAAGCAAAATCATTGACACATTCATGCATATGCGTAATCAATGTGATGTGCTGCTGCATCGATTAGATAGTTTAATACATCCAAATGTATACAATGAAGTGAATGATGACAAATCATTGGAAACAACCAATCGAAATAGTACATTTTGTCCTATTCTCTTACCAATTAATGATTTAAATTATCCTCAATGTTGTGATACAGTATGTGATATTGATAAGGTAAGAAGATGGTTGAGCATTTTTTGTTGTTGTTTAAAACGAAAAAAAGTGATACATTTTATTTGTATACTATGGAGTGTATGTAAGATAGAATGCTTCTTTCAAGTTTGATAATCATCATTTACTCAGTCAGTCAGCCAACTACAACTTTGAATTTCATTCGTATGTACATAAGTTCAAGAGGCCACACAACATTACCACACATAGATCGAGTTGTCAAATCAAGTTTCAAGGTAGTAGAGATAATAGAAGTATTAGTGGTAATCAGAAAGCTCAATGATCGAGGATATCATTCTAGAAGTATATCCCAGAAGAATTAATCTAAAACACAGCGAGAGAGGAGAGAGCAACAGTCATATGGAATTCAGAAGATTAGAATTTAAGAGAAGACAAGGAATGAATGCACCTGCGCCAATACAAACGACTTTGATCTATGTCATTCAAGGTCTCTAGCCATCGGTTATTATAGTCTCGCCGACCACAACCTGGTAGTCTACACACGCCAACATGGCTCACTCCAGTTGTCAATGACTTCATGGATTTGTGCCATATTTTGGTGTGGCCGCCCGTATCTTTCTTCCAGCCTACCCCTGAACCACAAAACATTGCTCATCGAGGCAGTCGGTAGCTAGGCATTCATAATACATGTTCCAACCACTTCAACTGATGAAGTTTCACTATTTGATCTATTGATTTCATCATTCTTTAATAGTTAATACTTTTTTTCAGTGTATTTACTTTGAACTGCTGAGAATTGAAGTTACTGTAGACTCAAGGTTTGTCTTAAGAGAAATAGTGTAAATAAATCTATGTTGTTATGACCACTTATGAGCTTTGTCATTCTAAATCTCTCATCATACACAACGATTAACTCTTCGACCCCAACCAGGAAGTTTTCATCTATTGACATGTGTCATTTCATTCCAGTTAGGAAATATTCATCGTTTCATTAATAAATGTCTTCCTTCTTTCGAGTGTTCTATATTTTATCAACTATTTGTAATGTAAACTTGTCATCTACCAATTCTTAAGAGTTTATCGTTTACGAATATTTTACGTTAACTAACGTTTTACAAAATTATTCTATCCATATCAGTTGGTGTGTTAGAAAGGATACAGATTAACTTTTGTAATGCAGGATCAAATATACTGTACAGTTTATTATGAAGTAGATTCTTACTGTACGCACACTATAAATATCAAAACAGTACATCAATGTATGTTATTATTCATGACAAATTGTTCTCTTGAGTTTAACACTTAGTTAACTTACTACTGTATTAGTTATTCATGCAGTAAATTAAAAGATTCTTTAAATGAATGAATATAACTTCATATTTCTTTTGTTGATCTTTGTTTCAATTAATTTAAGGAATACAATGAACATTTAAATGTCATTCCATCATCTATAGTTGACAATAAAGCTGGATTATTTATACAATCAATTAAAGGTTTAGGTCAAGTTGCTAATCATTTAGTACAAATTACTTATCAAGCTGCTTATCTTATTGCTGCAGCACATCCAGCTTCACGACCAGGTCATGTAGCTCGTTTCAGATCACCTGATCAATTAAATACAATACATGATCATGTTGCAGTGATTCGTAAAAGTGTTAGTGAAATATGCAAAACTCAATATGACACCGCATCCAATGGTCTTCCATCTTTAGAGGTATGTTTTCATTTTTCAATTGAATTATTTCATATTTCTTTGTTTATGACTATGAAAGATTCCCATTGTGAAAATTAGAACAATACATATAAGTGAACAATATTGTTTTCTATTAGATAGTCATCAGGCTTTACTATCTAATATACATGAATATTTTTATATGAAAATGTTAAACCAATCAAGGCAGTTTAAGAGTCAATCATCACAATGAAATGAAATAGATTACGTCACTACACACATAATAGGCAAAAGTACAAGTGGATAGTAGGAAGACAGGTGTACTGATAGTAGTGAGAAAAATGAAATACGATAACAAAAGTATTTTGTCAATAGGAGGTCAAACGTGAATAAATAGACTTAAAATAATCATTGCTAAACATCTAAACCATTGTGTAATAAGAAGTGTGTATATAAATTAGATAGTGAAGAATATAAATGCGAAGAGACAGAAAATTACCAACAACTACAGGATGTGAAAATAATGTTAATAATAACAAAATAAACATTTAAAAAAGTTTAAAACGTTGGTTAAGTCATATCTGGACACGGAAGAGGTAGGGATCTCACGAATTTCTTCTTAACACATAAATTGGCGTTGAATGTACGAATTTCTATGGCTTCTGCTATGTGTTGGAGACTGGATCGAGCCTTGTTGAGAAATGATGCAGGAATACCGATAGATCACTAGAAATGATCCAAATTTATCTACATTATTATTATATACACTCTTGTTAATAATAAGATAGATGTCGTTCCGTGAAAAACTACTGTTGTTAAACTCCATTTATCTCCAGTACATAGAATTTTTGGCCAATCGAGTATTTTTACCATTAGTCCTTAAAATTACAAATCCTATTCATAATTTAGCCCAGAACTCTTTGTTTAATTACTGAACTACAATCTTTGCTCAAACGATTCATCACCTGTACAATAAATTGAAATGATTGACGATTGAACTCAGCTTGTTTATGAACAATTGGTCGTTATTCTTTCGAAACGATCAGGAATTCCCCTTATTGTTAATACATCAATACATCATTTGGTTTGGCTACAAAGTTAATTTTAAATTTTCAAAGTATTTCATCCAGCCAAAACTACATTTACCGAGTTTCATCGATTTTTTACCGATCACACATGTTGTTTGAATATTGAATTGAACATCATAATGTACTTTGTTCTGTGCATGATAGTTAAGAAACTAAATGATGGAAAGTTTGAACCTTGGTCTCATGTTTTCTGCGTATCGCTTCAAACACCGAAGGCTCGTGTGTAAATTTGTATGCTTTTAGCTACTGAACTTGCACACCTGAATCCCACCGTTTAAAGCTCCCAATAAAACACTGTTGCGTCCTTGAACCGTCTACCACTAATACACGCAGGAAATAATATTGTCTCCATCTTGTTTGAAGGCCTTGACGAGGTAGGTCATCTAATTGACCTTGAGACTGATAGCACGTGAGTTTGGTTATCACTAAACAGTCATGGCAGAAGGAAGAAAACTATTCTATCAACGGACAGGTTACTAAGTGAGAAAGAAGAGGGAGAGATTAATCGACTGGAACACACTATTCGATATATTCTTTATTTGATTTATCAGAAAAAGTACATGCAAGTTGCTTCGTAAAGTCACAATGCACAAGGATTTAGGAAAATACATTTATGCCCCAAACTAGTTGTTTATGGTAAAAAGCACAGAGTATAAGGGTCATGTCTAAGTTACAAAAATTTTGAAATAAAATCATCGTCATCAACCGAAAAGTAAGGTTTACAGAATAAGTAGTAGGAACAAAGATAAATATTAGTTTAGATTAAGGTTCTGATAAGGTAGAATAGCGTTTCAAAAATAAGCTTCCATTATTTATCACTATTTCTTTGTGTCCATCTTCACTACAAACACAAAAAACTGGTTATTATTTTATATAAAATTTGAAATGACTGCTCTTAAAATGTATGTACAAATTTATTTGATAAATTGTAAAAGTACATTTTTTACAATATGTCTACTTACACACACACACACACACACACACACAATGTAGACATATTATATTTGATGCACATCATCTGTATTGAGTCGGTTTTCATTTTAACTGTATTTAAGTTATACTTTTTGTTTAATTGAGTTAATTGCATACACAATATCCATGTAATGTATAACACAATAGTAATAGCAAAGTATTTAACTGACTGACACTTATTTCTAGGAAGGCCAAATCAGGAAAAGAACTCCTCTATTCAGAAAACAATAAATATCCATGAATGATTTATAATCCTAAGAATAAGATTTAAGCTTTATAATCAAGATTTTTTGAGTTGGAGTTAAGATTCAATGTTCAAGTTGAATAAAATATTTTCAAATTCAACAATATATTTGAAATCATCAGTCAATCATTGTTAGACCAACATTAGAAACCCGGAACCACTGAACGACCTCACTCATTTGTGTTTGGTAGTTACTGCCTACACCCGACAGGGTTGACCTCGATTGGTCACATCTTCTCAACTAGAACTCCGAGAATTTCCTCACAAAGCTAGTCACTAGTGAGCACTGTTACGATATTTTCGGGCAGAGTTTTGGAGGTTTGTGTTTTTACACATTTGAAATCATCAATCAATCATTGTTAGACCAACATTAGAAACCTGGAAGCACTGGATGGCCGTTTCGTCCTGGTATGGGACTGGTATGCGCACTGCTGATGAGTCCCATACCAGGACGAAACGGCCGTCCAGTGCTTCCAGGTTTCTAATGGTGGTCTAACAATGATTGATTGATCATTTCAAATGTGTAAAAACACAAATCTCCAAAACTCTGCCCGAAAATATCAAAAATATATACGAAATAAAACGATCATACTAATTGGTCAAGTACAAAACAAGGATAGGATGTATTTCTTTTGTATGAAAAGGATATCAGTCAATTAGTCAGCTACAACGTAGAACTTCGTACATGCATACATCAGTTCAAGTTGACATACTACATTAGCATACAGACATGGAATCGTCAATTCAAATCATATAGTATAGTAGAAGTATTAGCATTAAAGAAGAGGATGGCTCTCAGTTCATGAGTATCCAAAACTTCTTTATATATATATATATATATATATATATATATATATATAATCTAATCCAACCATTTATCAGGTAAACAATCTTCCCAATTCATTGACAACATTGTACATTTAATGTCGTTATGATTCGATTATGATTTTATAATATTGGACAAGAAATATCATTCTGATATATTTTCATACACAGTATGTACAATTTTATTGAATTATTTTTCATTTATTATAGATTTTAAGCACAGCTAATCATTTAGCACAAAGAGCTACTCAATTATGTCAAACAACACGACCTTATTTGTCTGAAATTAAAAATTTATCTGAAAAAAGACGTCTAGCTGATGTAAGTACTTTTTCTATAATGAGAATTTTTATTATTATTATTTTTATTATTTAAGTTACAAGTTGCCTTCAAAATCTGAAATCATACCTGGGGATGTTTATATATATATATATGTCTAACATTTCATTTGATCTGAAAAATTATCAAGAAGAATTTTGATGATAATATAAATTAATTTCATAAAGCTGCATTCATTCCAACTTACTAGTAATATAACATGTAAGGATTTTGAAAAGAAGTCTACATTATCGGGGGGGGGGGTGTTATTGATCACAAGGCTTTCTGTAATGAAAATGTGAAAACTTTACCTGGTGTAGTTTAAAGTTAGTTTTTCACAAAATATCGATTTATATTAATTACATCTATTGTATTGTATATATAGATATATAATCAAACTAATGAATATTATGTTGGGGATGTTAGATCCCCAAAATTCGCTTGATAATGCCGTATTTTGGTTTTCACGTTTCGCCAGCATGGGTTGATCAGATGACCTTGAGATTTCAATCCCCACCAGGAAAATCCATGGCTGTGATTGGCTGTTGTGTATTTTAGTGTGCTATTTTCTTAACTGTCTCAAGGACGTTTCTATGTTGTATAAATAACCGAGAGTTGTATGCTTGATTGTACTGTGATTGCTGGGTGTTTGTAGAATATACTTTCTACGCTTACAAAGCCTTTTATTTCGACTTTGGGTATTCAAGGTAGCCTACCTGGTAAAAGTCTCGTTCGCGTTTATCCACTAAGGTAAACTCGTAATAGCCTCAAGCATACTAAGTGACGAACTTATCATATTATTCTACCAATTAAGTTGTAACTGAATTTCATTTTGAATTCACTCATAATTTTTATGAAAGTCTAACAGATGGCAATCACGTTTTATGGCAAATAAACTTATTTGCTTTTAATGTTACTCTTCTATTTTTTCTGCTCTGATCTGAATGAGATTTGTGACGAATATACGCAAACACGTCGTTTGATAGGCTTGAACTATTACGAGTTGACTTTAGTTGGAAAACGAGAGCGAGGATCGACGATCCGGCGACACGAAAGACTACTCTAATCCGATCGTCCCAAACCCCCATTGAGTAAAAGAAGAAGACTTGATATGAAGTAGAACCTGTATTATACAAGCATCCAGAAAGTACAAGGTCCGAGTCTATAAGGGAATCAGGATCCCGGACTAGGGATTCGGGTCTAGGTCCGGGTCATAAAACGTTACAGATAATGCGTATATATACATTTTGGTCGAATAGGAACCAACATTGAAATATGAGACATTGAGTGTTAGGTCGACCATAATATTAACCAGTAGGAATTAACCAATAGAACTAGACTTACAAATAATTCTCTTACGGTATTGAATGAATATCCTAATAGATTCAACTGTCACACTTTCATTGTTGTTCTGCATAAATTCTCTAAGTACCTTATTCATCGAACCTGTTTAGTTTACTTTCTAATTTTCTACAATGAATGAATATGTGTACATCTAGGTGACAGTAGTTATTTCATCTAAACAACATCTTCCCTAATGAATACAGTCAATCAATTTTAAAACAGTTATTGTTTGAAAAATAAACAATTTTTTTAACTTACTATTTTCTTATTTGATATTTATGTTGAATAATTGATTATCTATTCTAAAAATTTTTTGTTTTTTCATTTAATTTCCAGTCATTAGAACATGTTGCACGATCAGCTGCCGCTGTATTTAATATCATTAAAACTTCACGTAGTACGAATCCAACATCGGGTACAACGGATTTAATTCAAAAACTATGCTCAACATCATCAATGTTAGAAGCTGATGTTGATCAATACATTGATTTGTTACTTCGTGATGCTTCTGGTTCACCGACTCATTTAGCTGAAGAAACTTATGAGGTAATCATGTCATCACAAGATAACATGATTATAAGTTGACTGAAATTCTTAATAATCTCCTATTATCAGTACCTGATTTGTATTGGTTGGAAGAAAGCTAGTGGCAGCCAAACCAAAACATGGCACTAATACATGACGTCACTGTCAACTGGATTGAGTCATGTTAGTAGGTGTACACTACCTGGTTGGGGCCGGTGAAATGATTAGAGACACTGAATGACATATCTCAAAATCGTTTGTAATGGCTCAGGTGCATCCATTCGTTATGTTCTCTCTAATCCTAAACTTATGAATTCCTCATCATCTCTATCTTTCATTTTTAAGTTTATTTCACTAGATTCTACTTCTCGAATGATATTGTCGAACCGTAATCTCTCCGATTACTGCTAATACTTCTACTACCTCTACTGCTATGGGGTTTTGAAGTGACAATTGCGTCGCTGTCCTAATGTGGTGGTATTGCAACTTGAACTGGTGTACATACGTACGAATTTCGATGTTGTAGCTTACTGGCTGACTGAATACTTCATTTGTATTGGTTGTTTGAATCTTTGACGTTTATAACTGCAAATATTCAGTCTCTCTGACATATATATGCATCCTGTGAAGATTGTCTCAATATTGCCTTTAGGCTACATGCATTATTAACAGAGGTGGATAATGGCTAGCAGTGGAGTGAACAGTACTGGTTTCGAATCCCGAAGTGAACATCAACCTTTTGAGATGTAGGCACATCCCAAATAGGGTGAAGCTCACATTCTAGAATTCACTGCTAATTACTATCGACCTCTCTCGATAATGTTTATTTATTAACTGTATTTTTTTTTAATTAAAGAAAGAAACTTTACCTTTATTTTGTGTATACATTATATTTTTGATAAAATATTAATTTCACTCTATGCTTTGTATTGTTTACGAAATCTCAAGTATTGTTATACAGCTGAATAGATTTTTTTTTCTTTTCAAATAAAATTGAGTAGCCAAGCGCAAAAACAAAAGCATCTGTTTTTTTTAAGCAAAAAACTTGTTAAAATGTACTGCTTAAATAGGAATAATTGACGTTATGTTGTTGTTTATGCCTGTTAATGCATAGAGTTTGTCTTTTCATTCTAAGCTGGTTGTTTTGTTTTAACTGACTCACGCACTGGTTCATGAATAAATATATATATGCTTTTTGGGTGGATACATTTCTTCAGTATTTTATTTATTCTATGACTCACTTGGATTAGAAAAAGTTTATGTACACACACATCAGGAACAATGTGTTTATTTTTGTGTGCGCTCATAATGATGTGCTCTTTCTATCTTATAGATTTAAATGACCTAGCAACTGGATTTTTTCTTCAATTGGCTACCCATGTAATCCGTTATTTACTTAACCATCGACTGCCCTGTCGAGCTATGTTTTGCGATGTAGGAATAGGTTGGAAGAAAGCTAAAGGTGGCCAAACCAAAACATGGCACAAATCTATGAAGTCACTGACAACTGGACTAAGTCATATTGGTAGGTGTCCACTACCTGGTTGGGGTCCGCGAGATGAAAGTCACCGATGCTTAGAGACTTTGAATGACATGACTCAAAACTGTTTGCATTGGCGCAGATGCATTCATTCATTGTGTTCTCTCAAATCCTAATCTTCTGATTTCCTCATCACCTTTATCTTTTTAAGTTTATTTCACAAGATACTACTTCTTGAATAATATCGTCAAACCCCAATCTCTCCGATTACTACTAGTACTTCTACTACCTCTACTACTATAGGATTTGAAGTGACAATTGTGTCTCTATGTTAATGTGGTATGACAACTTGAACTGATATACGTACGTACGAAGTTCTATTTTGCAGCTGACTAACTGACTTATTTGCTTATTTGTTACTTTGATATATTACATAATTCATAAATTATTTTTGGTTATAAAACGACACAGTTTAAGAAAATTCTATTATAAATTTTAATCAGTTAACTGAATGTTAAACCTTTGTAAACTACCTATTTCACCATAAAACATTTTAATAAAACTAAAGTTTTGAAAAAGTACGATAAATTCATAACGTCCAGTTGATTTATTTTCGTTTACGTCATAGGATAATTTCAGTTATTAAAAACAAGTGAGTATCGGATAGCTTTTTGGTTGTTTTAGTGTGTAATTTATCATTGCTGTGCACTCTCCAACAACAACAACCTCCTAGTGTCACAACGAACACTTACATTTTAGAACCATTCTACATTAGTAGTACCCAACGATACAATTTCAACGTCAGTCAATGAATGATAACATTACACACTTTTTTCTCCAAGAAAATCACAATCTATTTTATGATGTATTTCAATGTATTTTTCTTTTTCGGTAATGATTTATGCCCTGTTTATTACTTGTTTATATGAAACAAATTTTTTAGAATAAATTTGTTTATTCATACAGTCAAAGCATATTTCATTGGGCTTTTTTTTTTCTTGCACTCATTTCTCTCAATTTATGTGTATGTCTATGTATGTCAACATGATCAATGTATAATTTAGCTTCAAGTGCCTGTATTAAAATGTGGACAAACTGTTGCCAAATGTATTGCAAATCTAATTGATTCTAGTCGTCAATTAATTGATAATCAATGTCAAATTATACAAACAAAATTAAATGAGGAATTCAGTAATAATAATAATACTAATACTACTACTACCACTACCAATAATAATGATCGAGTTGGTTTATCTAATTTTGAAGATGGTCGACATAATTTACATGAATCTTGTTTAAATTTATTGAGTACTTTACGGTAAGTTAATTGTTCCTATTTTTAAAATCATTTTATTATCAAATAAATCATAGGAAAAGCATACAATGTGTTCACTAATGACTAAATTTGTAAGCAAATTCTCGGAGTTCTAATGAGAAGAAGTGACAAGTGGAGCTTAATTCTGTCGAGTGTAGGCAATAACTACCGAATATAATGGGTGAGGTTGTGCAAAAATCCTTAGATTGATTGGAGTTAGAAATTAACACCATTGGATGCCGGCTCAGTGGCTTTGAATCTTGCAAGTCGCAGGAGTCGTGGATGCGTACTGCTGATGAGTCCCATACCAGGACGAAACGCCCGTCCAGTGCTTCCAGGTTTCTAATGGTGATCGAACAATGATTGATTCATGATTTCAGTAATCAAGATCAATATCTATAACTCTGTTATGAAAAATAATAATTTTTGGTGTGAAATATTAATTAATGTTGTTCTTGTATGTTATCGTTGTTGTAGTTAGCCTTCATAAAATGTAGCCTAATAGATTGATAAGACAAAATCAAGATATTTTACAACAAAAACTGATTTAATAAGTTATTTTGTACTTCCGATTGAGGTTTTGCACACGTTTCCCAATAATAAATGATATCATCTAGAGAACTTTTAAAAAAAGTCAGATGTTACTAGTCAGTTTCCTTTGATATAACTGATGGCCTATCAATTTTTACCTGTGACTTGCTTTTATCTCTTATAATTTCATCTCGTTTTTCTGGCATGGTGAAGCGAATTGAGCTGATGTGTATGCTCTACATTGTTCATAATTGACTAATTGGTTTATGTATCTAGAGAGACCGTAAACGATATGATTTTTACTTATGTCCAAGCTCTTGTGTGAAGATCTATCAAGTGCTTATTAAACCACTCAGTGGTAGATTATCGTTTTACAATCATTTGAAAAGAACCCGTCGCTCTAAATCACCTTCCTTGATTATGAGTAAGCATTGGAAGTCGTGGATACGAGGACCTGGTGAAATTTTTTTTCGAAAGAATTCGCGATACCCGATTAGATCTTCACCATCATATTTAACTATTACAAGGGGCCAAACTACAATGTCGTTTATGTTGGGTGGTATTTCAAGTGAAGACCTGTGTCAGGTCAGGCTGCATACTTCCGCTTTTCCTCTGTTTTCTGGTTGTCTACTAGATTATAATGACCTCCTGTAAAAGTATAGGATGCAGTAAATACTTCGAACGTAAGTGAATGATTTGGATTTTAGAGATGACGTGTTCCTTCTATTCCCTGAATAGTAACAAATTCAGAAGCAGAGAGTCGATGTAGCGAAAGCCTCTGCAATAGAGAGTCTGAATGTTAAAAAAGAAAAAAATAAGATCTTGAACTACAACAGAAAGCACTGATTAAATCGCATTTGATTGAGGAGAAGCTCCAGAGGAGATGGAAACTTTTAATTACTTAGGAAGTATCGTTAGTAAACAAGGGTATCCGATCCAAACGTGAAGTCATGGATTAGAAGAATCAAGGATACACGTTCCTACGATCGAAACGTACAATAGTTATCAATTGTCACCACTGTCAGAAATTATAATTCAAGCGTTAACATATTTCCATTGTACGGAGCTTAAATTTGGAAGACTACCACAATCATCAGAAATATAAGAGTATTTATCAATAGCTATCTGATCAAAATACTACATTTCCACTGGCGGACACCATCATCAATAATCACCTTGTAGCAAAGAACAAACCTGCTTTCGCTTTAAGAAGAAATTAGGAAAGGACTCTGACAGTGTTTAAGAGGTGCACATTACAGAAATCACCAGATTGCATCACGAAAAGCAATCTCTAACTTGAAATTCTCAAAGGCAAACATCTTAAGAATGACTAGCATTTAACAAGAACTTGTATGTAGATTTTAAAACAGAATTTGTTTGGATTTCCTGGTGGGCAATGCTCCTCTATGAATAACAGGCGTTTAGTCATGTCATTAATTGCCTAATTACTTTTATGCATGATAATAACAACACTATTAATGAACAAATTAACAAGATATTCTTATCTCCATTATCTCTGATATTATCAAAATTTTCAAACAATTATCTATCACAATGTCTAATTGCATAAGTATAAAGAATTAGAGTTATACATTGTGTCATTAAAACTCATTTTATCAAAAAAAAAAAAAGGAAGCTGTATATGTGTATGTATGTATGTGTAGGTATGTATGTATGACTTTAATAATGATTACGCATAGAAGTACACTTGTTTTCTTAACGTTCATAAGTATATCAACATATAGAGATGATGTACAAATAGATGAACATGCCTGTTAACCCCTTTTTTACCTTAATAGGAACTTGTTCGATTAAATGTTACATTATTTTTTTTTCACTGTAAATTGTTATCGTTGTCAGTGTTAAACAACTGGTAGAAGAAAATGCAAATAACATTTGGTTTTATGATTAGTGCCTCTTGTCTCGTTCTCCCTATATATATATATATATATATATATATATATATATATATATATACATATATATATATATATATATATATATGTACATCGTTTTCTTATTATTCATTTACCAACAGACAAAAGCAACTAGGTATTTCAATCGTTTTAGATTTTTGTATTGAAATGATAAATATCTAGGGCATTTCATTCATCTCAATTATGAGAATCATATTCAAATATATATATATATACATTTTTTAAGTGAATAAACATGTTTTTTTCTGTTCAACATAAAATAGTCTAGTTGTATTAGATAGAGTGAAATGGATGAATATATTTTTACATTTGTCTGTTTGTTTAATTTTAGTATCTGTATACTACTCGACAAGTTAAGATTGGTTGAAGTTAATTGTACATTGAAATTTGGAACACGTTCAATTTTTTTTCTGTTCATTGAGAATTAATTATGACTGTATTTTTTTTCAATGTTTTTTTTAATTAAAATAAATGTTAAACTTAGTTTCATAGTGAATGAGTCAGTAATAAGCTATAGATAAGAGTGAGTACTAAGAAATCGCAGTGGAAACAGTGGTTTATTGATTAAGGTGTTTGAATGTTAACTACTTAGTTACAAGTTCCAACCCCCCCCCCATCCTGTAGCTACTTCCACTTGAGCGACCAGATAGCATCTCAAAGCCAATTATCTGTATCTGGCGAATGAGTTAATCATAATAATAAAAATAATGATAATAATAATAAAATTATTCATCTGTCTCAATTGATATTTTTTATGTTTTTCTTGCTTACTTACTTACTTTCGCCTGTTACCCCCAACGGAGCATAGGCCGCCCTCCAGTTTTCTACAACCAATTCTATTCTGGGCTTCTCTTTCTAGTTCTTTCCAGTTTTTGTTCATTCTTCTCATGTCTTTCTCTATTTCTCGGTGTAATGTGTTCCTTGGCCTTCTTCTTTCTCTTTTACCTTGAGGGGGGTTCCACGTAAGTGCTTGTCTTGTGACACATTTGGGTGCTTTTCGCAGTGTTGTGTCCTATCAACTTCCATCGCTTCTTCCTGATTTGGAGTTCCAGATATTTTTCAATTGTAGAAATGCAACCCTTGCTTTGCCGATCCGAGCTCTCACATCTGCATCGGATGCACCTTGGTTGTCTATGATGCTGCCCAGATATGTAAGGGTGTTAACGTCCTCCAAGGTGTGTCCATCAAGAGTGATTCGGTTGGTGCATGTTGTGTTGTATCGGAGAATCTTGCTTTTCAATTGTTGAAACCTGATGCTGCTTAGGCTGCTGCTACACTGGTTGTCTTTTCTTGCATTTGTTGTTGCGTGTGCGATAGAAGTGCCAGATCATCTTCGAAGTCCAGATCATCCAGCTGCATACTAGCTGTCCATTTGATTCCGCGCTTCCCTCCAGATGTTGACGTCTTTAAAATCCAGTCGATTTTACTTGGCATACAGGTTTCTTATTTTCGAAATATTAAGGAGTAGAAAAGATAGAAGCATCGTTGGTACTGATTATTCAAAGTAGCAAAATAATCAGTCTAGATTTGGGTACCACATTATTGATATCTTAGATATTTTAGACTTTTCAGTCTCTCAGTCTTTAATCATTATTTATAGGATAGTTGGATTATAGCTAGCAATGGAATCCAGAGATTGCCTTTTAACTGTTATGTCTTATGATTGGATTTCAAATCAATTCAGTTGATCACTGTTCGAGTTTCTGACATGTGCAATAACATTTTCCAATTAGAGTTATGGAGATTAATGTTTTTTGCACATTGAAATCATGAATCTCTCATTGATAGATCACCATTTAGAAACCTGGAAGCACTGGACGCCATTTTCTTCCTGGAATGGGATGACTAATCAGCAGTGCGCATCCACGACTCCTGCACTTCTCAGGATTCGAATCCAGGACCTTCGGTCTTGTGCACGAATGCCTAACCTCTGGACCATTTTTGGAAATTTTTGAACTCAAATCAATTGTTGATTTTTGAAGTTTTGTTTTTCTAACTTTTTCGTGGAAACATCTAACAAATTATCAGTTTTCTTCTTGATTAAAGTAATCATTCATTACGTAAAGACACTGAGTACGTTTTGTTTTATAAGAATTCATTAGTAGGTAGCTGTGTAAACGTTAGATCCTACTCATCTTTAGACAATCATAAAATGTTACTTCTATTATTTGTGAAACAGTGAATCAAAAGTTGGTAATGTTTGTCAATTGTAACTGAAATTACATCCTCTTTTCTGATATGAATTTAACCATTCTCTATCAGCATCTTCATAACGTTGTTTGGTAACACTTATCATTGTGATCATCTGAAATATGGTTGATAAAAACAAGAAAAATTGAGTCAATTTACAAATACAAGTCATTTCAACCCAGATTTATTATTATTATTATTACAAGCTTTTTTCTGCTACTTTGATTATTTCAGACAAAATGTTCCTGGTTTATCTATATGTGATCAAATACAAAAAATTATTAAAAATTTATTAAATGATTTAAATCATGTTATAGTATCCGGGAGTAATGTGAATAATCAATTAAAACAAACTAGTAAATATTCATCTAATGTACATAGCTTAGAAAGTTCATTAGCATTAATTCGTACTAGTATTGAACAAATTGAACATTGGAGTTTAGAAACTATTGAAAATTGTCAACTTGGTCATTGGGAAATAATGGCGCATAATTTACATTCAATTAGTACATATTTACCAAATTTTGTTAAAGTTAGTTAAATGCTTATTTTATCCTTTCATATAAAGTTATTCTATTTTCTTTTTTTTTGAAATTTAACTTTTGTACATTAAGACTGAAATAGTTTCAATAATGAAAAAAATTGCTTTCATCATAAAAAGTTACTATTCCACAAAATTATATACTGGAAAAATTCATTCGATATCAGTTTAACAACTTGTGTAATCCATGAAGATTTCAAAGTCTAGCATCTCTCAGCACTCTTTTGACTGATAAAACTTAGATCTTTCTTACATTATCTGGTTAGATGTTTTAATATTATCCAACTTGCAATTACATTAAAGCTTTACATCGAAAGAAAGAACAACTCAAAATACAAAATATTTGTTCATAGTAGAAACTTTCTACATAAAGTTAATTACACTCTGTATTTAATTGTGAACTAATTGAAGACCGATTAATCCGCCTGGAGCCCCTTTGTGGCTACTGCCAATCCCAAGCCTGATTAAAAGAGGAGAGTTGGGCAAAGGGTTAGCGTCCCCGTACCTCAGAAAACTAACTGGCTATAAAAGTCAAGTACAGATTTTGTTGAATGAACTGATTTCAGACAATCATTCGCGCAGACAGACATGAGAATACATAGCGTCAAACCAAAACGAAGTGGCGCGGAGAAGACGAGTGAGTCAACTCCATGTGACGAAGCATGACTAAGTATCTTTAGTCAGATTAAATAAACCAGACATTTAATGAGCGAAGTAAGTATACACACACATACTGGAATAAAACGAACCAAATTAATGACAAGGTCAGAAGACGATAGACTAGTAACTCAGGCAGAATGGATTGATTAAATAGTGCGAAGGCTGAGACAAGCCCTGTTGACTCAACATAAAAGTACACTCACCACATATTATCACTACGAGTTTTCATGCAATAGCCAACTTAATACTCTATGAGTGGCTTCAACTGTTTTTCGTCATCTTTATCATTTTCTAACTTTGGTATCTAACTTCTTATACAGGAATCTATTCGTACATGTGGAAGTTTATTACGACTATCAGATCAAACAAATTTAAATAGTCTGACACGTACTGTTTTAGAAGCTATGCAACAATTAATCGATTGTGTATCTATTACTCTTAAAGGGCGAGTAAGTTGTAACTTGTTGTTATCTTATTAACTTATTACACATTTGAAATCATCAATCAATCATTGTTAGACCACCATTTAGAAACCTGGAAGCACTGCTCGACGGCCGTTTCGTCCTGGTATGGGACTCATCAGCAGTGCGCATCCACGACTCCTGCACCTTGCAGGATTCGAACCCGGGACCTTCGGTATTGTGCGCTAACACCTAACCATCGGACCACTGAGCCGGCATCCAACGGTGCTAATGTCTAACTCTGATTGATCTAGGGATTTTGCGCGACCTCACCCATTTGTCTTTGGTAGTTACTGTCTACACCCGACAGGTTTGAACTCCATTGGTCACGTCTTCTCACTTAAACTGCGAGAATTTCCTCACGAAGCTAGTCACTAGTGAGCACATGTTACGATATTTTCAGTAAGAGTTTTGGAGGTTTGTGTTTTTACACATTTGAAATCAACAATGAATCATTGTTGATTTCAAATGTGTAAAAACACAAATCTCAGAAACTCTTACTGAAAATATTAACTTATTATCAATTTTTTTGAAGGCATTTTTGTTTACGCAAATAACGAAGGAATTTTTCAACAAATCAATTAACAATTACTAATAATATGCTCATTATTGATTTATTTCGAGAGCTTAACTATGTCAGTTGTGAGACAGTTACTGATTAATGAGATTGAAGGTAGATATGTCAACCATTGGATTCGGCGGTCTAGAGGTTAAACCGCTCGTTGTGAAACCTAATGGTTCATGACCATTGAGGTCATGAATGCTTACTACTGAGAAGTTATATACAAGGTCAAAACAGCTGCTCAGTGCTTTCTGGTTTTCAATACCTTTTTAACTAAAACCAGTTTGTCATGTAAACTATGAAATTCTGTTACTTAAGGATATTTTAAATAGCAAACTGACTTTAACTAGGCCTATCATTGAAAACGGTGCAGCACTGAACAGATTATGTACTAGTATGTTATAGCTTTGTAGTTATCTCCACATATGATTCATTATCAGAGATCGAACTCAAAAGCTATAATAGTTTTCTCTTTTAACATGTTATCTTCAGAACACTACAAACTGCATGAACAAGTAATGATTCGTATGACTAACATCAGTTAATTTCTTCACTGTATAAATGAAATGCTTGAAACTATTACGAGTTCACCCTAACTCGGTAAATGAAAGCGAAGCAGTGATACAGTGACACGATAGGCTGTTGTGATTCAGTTGTCCCCGACTCTAGTAACTATAGCAAAAAATCTTGATAAGGCGTAGAAAGCGTATTCTACAAGCACACAAATGGAACTTATTTATACATGATAGGAACGTCCTTGGGAGAGCCACAAAAATAGCGCACTATAATACTACATCAACCAATGAAAGTCGGGTATTTTCCGAATGGGAAATGTAATCTCAAGGTCAACCGAGCAGCTTGTGCGCGAACATTTTCCAAATGAATTCTGGGGATCTAACGTTCCCGACAATAAATTAATATAAATAAATGAGCTTATTGTTTCATTCAAGTAAACTTTATTTTGTATTATGCCTGAATAGAATTTCTCATTTAAAAAAAAGTGTGTGCCTAATCATTTCTTCATATCATCAATGTTTTCATCTATTTCCATCTATTATTGATACATTTGATAGTCACAATCATTGCCAGTGTCCAATTGTCACAGTTCATTGATCAATTACACTAATCAATTACAACAAGCTTGTATTGAATTATCGAAACAAATCGATACTATTGCAATAGAACAAGGTGGATTAAATTGGCACATTGCCACAATCACTTCAGCTTGCTCAAAAGTTAGTTAGATATTTTTATGTTCTTATGTGTTGTTATTATTGTTGTGACTATTGTAAACTAAGTGTCGATATTTCGATAATATGTGTAGAAATTTGTGTATACTGGTTGTTGTATATATATATATATATATATATTGTGTGTGCTATACAAGAATGATTCATTGAATTGATTTTGGCAACTTATTATGATATCTCGTGTATAGAGAAAAAGTAAAGAAACCAGTTTCTCTCGCTCTATATATTATTCATGTGTTGTATACTGCTTATTGCCCTTTTTCATATGATTATTTCAGCAAAGTAGTGTCAGTTGTTTATTTAGATATGTGTATACAGATAATTTTTTTTTTAAAAATGAAGAAGATAAAAATGTCATTCAATAAATAAATAAAATAAAATAACCTGATAAACCATACAGAGAACAATGACGAAAAAAAAACAAAACAAACAAATACATTCAACTTAACCAGACGACATATAAGCAACAGATTATGTCACTACAACAAATATCCAGACTATTCTTCTATAACAAAGAGTGAGTAGTGATGTGGTGCTGTGGTGCGAGCTACTTATAAGTAGTATATAACGTGAGTGTCAACGTAATGTCTGACAGCAGAAGATGGGGGAAGATCAAGCAAGAAAGGAAGAGTTAGAAAACAATGGAATTTGTATGAAACGCATGAATAGTGACAATGGATTGATGTTTTGCAACAGGAACAGTCCAGTTCGATATGATGAACTGATATTTTGCAAATTAACGATTTAAGATATGGTTTTCCTATTTTACTGAGTAACTCTGTAATTTTCGTTAAATACAATTCGGTTGTCCCACCTGTGTTCTCCTTCACTACAGTGATATGTTGAACGAAATAATTGAAATAATTGACATTGTTTGTCGAATAATAATTGATTCTTATTGATGCACAAAAGGTTATGAAGTTGATTTTTAACTAGTAGGTAGTATTTGGGAACTGATTAAATTCAGTTTATATACCATTAATAATTAAGATGTCTGTTTCATGTGTATTAGTATGAGACTCCTCGATAGTTTAGTGGTTAAGTGCTCGATGTAAGACTGTGAGGTCCTCGACTTATTTACTGATGAATTGATGTGGGCTCTTCGACGATGATTCTCACTGGAAAAATAGACAGCTCTCTAGTCTTCCTCAATTTTTATTGGTATCTCTTACTTACTTGCTTACGCTTATTACTCCTAATGGCTGTCGACCAGTATTCTTCAACCTACTCTGTCCAGGACTCTCTTTTCCTGTTCTACCCAATTGTTGTTCATTCTTCTCATGTCTATCTCCGATTCTCGATGTCATGTGGGTTTTTTGGTTTTGAGGATTCCAAGTTAGGGCTTGTCTTGTGATACAGTTCGGGGCTTTCTTCATTGTGTATCCTATCCACCTCCAGCGGTTTTTCCTAATTTTTTCCTCAGTCGGAATCTGCTTTGTTCTCTCCCATAGTAGGTTTTCGCTGATGATAACTGGCCAACTGATCCTCAACATTTCGCGTAGAAAACTGTTTACGAACATTTGTAATTTGTGGACGATGCCTCTTGTAGTTCTCCAAGTTTCTACTCTATATAGTGGAGCTGTTTTGACGTTTGTGTTGAAAACTGTGACTTTGGCATTCGCTGACAGTTGTTTTGAGTTCCAGAAGTTCTTCAGTTGTAGAAATGCGGTCCCTTGCTCTACCGATTGGTGCCTTCAGATCTGTGTCAGACCCACCTTGCTTATTAGTGATGCTGCCAAGATATGTAAAGGTTTGTACATCTTTCAAAGCTTATCTGTCAAGTGTGATTTCGTTGGTTCATGTTGTGTTTTATCGGAGAATCTGACTTTTTCCCTTGAGTATGTTGAGGCCGACTGCTGTAGAGGCTGCCGCTACACTGACTGTCTTCTCATGCATTTATTGTGGTGTATGCGATAGAAGGGATAGATCATTTGCGAAGTACTTACTGATACTCCAACTAATGTTAATCCTCTGCAACTATCACTAACAGGTCAATTTCTAACCTAAAGCAATAACTTCCTGTCATTGTTGTTGATCGATATCATGAAATCAGGAATGCTTATCACTTTAGAGTTGGTTGGTTGTGTTAAGTTTAAAAGATTGCATCAGTAATAATGTGTACCTTTATTGGAAGTTTAGCTGTATTGTAGATAGCTATTATAAAAATCATAATTCATAACTAGTAAGTGAATACTTAGTTTTTCACTGTATTTAAAAACATTTAACCATGATCCAGCAGAGAAAATCGTAAATTCATTGTCTTTATTAATAATATGTAATACATTCAGAATATTCTTCTTCAAATTCATACTCTGACATTATTCACAAATTCAGATATGCATTTGCTACTTCTTAATCATCTCACACACTTTTTACCGTGTTCATCTTGTATCCACTATTCACTAAATGTCTAATGGTCTCACTTTTGATTACTCTGCTTCTTTACAAGCATTACTTACGAGTAATATGATTGAAAAAGCGCTTCTTTCAGTCTTTCCTGTATACTTGCTGTTGTAAGTATAAGTAAATTTATAATTACTTTCAGAAGTGACCTTAGAAGGTTATCGACCTATGGTTTAGGGAACATTTTGTTTCTATATAAAAGAATTTTTTTAGGTTGCTAAGACGTTTAGTTTTAGCGTCACTTTAATCGCTTTATCGATTCTCTGAAATCCCATTCCCTTTGAATGTGAGACAGATGAAGACAGTCTTTTTTCCTAACATCTAATTTGTTAGGACTTAGCATTTACATTTTGCCCTACTTCTCTATGATTTTCTTCAGATATTCTGTTTTTATAAAACATATTTCATTATGTTCCAGTTCTTCTTCAGTTTTGTCAGCTGAATCCAACCTTCTAGTCCTATTAAACAGGGCTTTAGCTAAATAGCGTTTTTAACTAACATGACAAAACTGTTTTCGTTCATGTACTATCCCGTTGATCTTTTGTTGCTTATGATTGTCCTCTCCATTGTCTCGTTGTTCTTTTGTTTGGTGTTCAAGTTTCAATGGTTTGAATGATCATTACGTTTATATAGCATCATAAATTTGTTGTTTTCTTATGCTTGATTAAACAGACAATGTTTGTGTGTGGTCCTTTCCTTTTGAGTTCATTGTAGGTTGAACAATCAATTTTATTCATTTTTTAGTTCCTTTACTGGGTTTTTGATACTAAATTTGGTTACCTCAGTGGAATCCTTCTTAGATATTTCAAATTTTTAAACCAAGTGTAAGACTTCAACCATTTTCTGCACACACACATTACCACTTTCTCTAACTACAGCTGAACTTTTATCTGGTCTCATTATAACAATCATATTATTCTTTTGAATTTGATCTTTGATCTACAATCTATAAGAATTGAAGTCGATTTTTAATTGTCTTGTAAAAGAGACTGCTATTACATATTCTTCCGATCAAAATAGAAGTTCGTATTTGTTCATTTTTAGTTTTTAATTTTATTGATTAAAAAATTTATCTCATCAATTATTTTTCTGTGAATAAATGATTAAAAATACTTTAAGAAAAAGAAATGTATTTAACTCTCCTCATTTTGAGTCACTTTGATGAATGTACCGTAATTCTGCAAATCATCATACGTTTTGAATAAATTACACAACTTCATACGTATGAATGCTAATTTAATTGTTTTCAACTTTACTACTTAATGATAATCAGTAACCAATATTGTATCACTAAATATTGAATCAACTCGTAAATTACTAGTCTGTTATTTTTTTCTCCTAATTAGCTTGATGATATAGTACCCTTATCAAATGGATCAGAAAAGAACAATTCAACTGAGAATGCTGTTTCACTGCCAACTAGTTTTGTTCAACTACACACACGTCTAGGTCATCAATCTCGTGAATTATCTGATCTTATGGTTAGAGTCACAGAAGTTTACGCTGCTAATCAAGGAGAAAATTGTACAGAAATTATATCTTCTTTTGTACAGCAATTTCTTCAAATGACTGAAACAGTACAACAAATGTCTTCTGTATTAAAAATGCATCCACAAATTGATACAGGACCTGCTTTAGCTCAAAAGCTTTGTCATGCTACACAAGTAAATTTAATCTTATTGTAAAGATTTATTAGTTAGATGAATAATTCGTTATAGTGTTTAGTGTTTCTTGTTATTGCTTTTATCCGATAATTTCTAATAAGCCAACATAGCACATGCAATGTTAAGTTACTGTTTTTTTGACAGGATTCAGTCAGCGCCTAAAGATATGACAATTATGATATTACTAAGTAAAAATAATTAGTGATTTAGTTATCTGCATGTACCTCACTTTGATGAAGTAACTATTCATTCAAAGATTGTGCACACTACTTGCACATCCTCGTTGTATTGACTATTACCTGAAGAGCATTTCTACAGTTTGAACTAAGCCTTCTAAAATTTCATCCTATTTTTTCTAAACAAAACATTTTTATCTGATCAAGATATTTTCTCTTATTCAAATTGAATTCTCGGGGTATAATACCGGTTTTGTATAAACTAATGACGATAAAAGATATCAACTTCCGAGAGTCGCATCAGTGCTGATGGCCTGGTGTGTAACGAAATCTCAGGACGGATACAAAAGGCTCGATTGGCTTTTGCCAACTTGCGTCACTTATGGCGTAAGCGAGATATCCGTTTGCTAACCAAATGTCGAGTGTACTGCGCAGCTGTTCGCTCTGTCCTACTATATGGATGCGAAACATGGCTGGTGAGAGTGGAGGACATTCTGAGGTTATTAGTATTCGATTATATATGTCTGAGAAGCATTGCTCGTATATCCTGGGACAACCGAATAAACAATGATATAGTTAGGAATCGAGTGCTAGGTTTGCAATGGCGCAGGTGCATCCACTCTTTGTGTTCTCTGAAATTATAATCCTCAGAATTCCTCATCATGTCCATCATTCTCTTTCTAAAGTTATCTCCTTCAACTATACTTCTTGAATAATATCTTCGATCCCTAATATTCTCCTTTACCTCTTATTTTTCTAATATCTCCACCACTATAGGATTTGAACCGACAGTTGCCTATCTGTGCTAATGTGATATGGCAACCTGAACTGATGTATTTTCGTACGAAGTTCTACGTTGTAACTGACTGACTGATATCAACTGTCAGATTTTCAAAATCACTCTTTTTAACATTCTAATCAATCACGTTCTGTGAACTCAAACAGCTGTTCAACGTGCTAATCTGTCTGTTCTGCTACAGAAGTACTTGCGGTCAGTAACTCATCAGATTTGATATCAGTGTGAATGTAAACAATGACAGACAGAGAAATTTATCGTTCGAATAAACTTCACTATTTAAGCAATACTTACTTTCCGAAGTTAATCTAGTGTTAAGTTTATGTTTTCTCTCTGTTTCACATTAAATTTCGTCTTAATACTTTTTATAATAAAATAAATATAAATACCACTCATTGTTTTTCCTCCTCTCATCTGTAATTAGGCTATTGGTGCAGCCGCATCAGAATTTCTACGTGCTCCATTACATACAGATCGAGTCAATAATTTAACTTCAAGATTCAATGATCTTAAAGCTGTACTACAATCATGTGCACATGGTGCAGATGCTTGTACAACTGCAATAGCTAATTTGAATCGTTTAGTAGCTGATTTAGATACAGCTGCATTGTTTGCACGTGCTGGTACTACTACACAAGAATCATTCAAAGCACCTATTTCACCTAGTGACAAAGGTTCAATTGCATTTAAACAAAGAGCTTTTCAAACAGTTCAAGAAGCGGTTATGCAAGCGGAAAAAGGTATTGTTGAAGATATGCAAACTTTGGTAAGTTGATGATTGATTTACCTTATAAAAAATGATTAATTACTACATCATTGTTGTCTGTGAAACCTTCTCATAACCCTTTTAATAATGATATAGAAATACACGTTTATGCAGATATGGTTTACGAATGTTTCACGTTTTTCAGGTTAAATGGCTTTAGTTCGGATACTATTCGAGAATATTCTTTATTTGATTTACTTTTGCAATGATTTTCCACGACAAACTAGTGGACGCCTCCTACCTACTGTAAAATCAGTACTCAAATATTTAAAATAACTACTTGGCATTAAAAAAATTTATATTCAACCTGAACCTCAATTCAAAATAAACTAAATTGATCAATACTTCTTCCTCTACTTAGTGGGGCATTGGGATGCTCGGATTAGAGTGGCCTATCGTGTCACTGGACCATTTGCGTTCGTTTACCGACTAAAATGAACTCGTAATGGTTTAGGCATATCAATTGACGAGCGTAACAAAACTTTACTGCATAATATTTAAATCTGTATTGACAGTAACTTTAGTTGTACGATCATAATTCATTAGGATAGGTAATTGTTTTGAAGCCATTCTATTTGACTACTTGCTAATTTTGATGAATCCTATGAATGGGTGTTTTAATCGATTCGTCGAATAGATTTTTCGAACCTATTTTATCTCTCTTTATTGTGTAGTTTTTGGTTAAACGCAGTCTTAATTATGAATGTTATACACTTCAAAATGTGATGATATGATAACAGTCTGTTCAATAAATCAGATGTAATAACTGAATGATTTTTATATTCGTGTATTCGAGAAATGAACTTGCCGATTTTTCAAATAACCATAGTCTTTGAACAACCCTAGACTCTATGAAGTTATCAATCGTTCAGTAGTGACCTGATTTGACCTATTATGTCATAAATATTATTACTGTCATAAATTTCTTAATGACTATTGGAAACATACGGGTTATCTTTGAAATATATTTTATCAAGAAGAATAGTTATTAATGAATACATCATAGTAGAATGTAATGACGTTAGATTCCCAGAACTCACTTGATAAAGGTCCTAATTTCGGATTTTATTCATGGGCTGATCAGTCGACCTTGAGATTACATTTCCCACTCGGAAAATCCTTGACTGTCATTGGTTGGTATGTTATTTTATATGCTATTTTTGTGACTCTCCCAAGGATGTTTCTATCATGTATAAATAAACTCGATTTGTCAATTGATATGCTTGAAACTATTACGAGTTCACCTTACTCGGTAAACGAGAGCGAAGACAAATGATCCAGGCTATTCTAATCCGAGCGTTCCAAGGCCCCACTAAGTAGAGGAAGAAGTCTTGACAAGACGTAAAAAGTGTATTCCACAAGCACCCAGAAAATCGAGGTTCACAAGCACAAAAATCGAGACGATAGGCTACTCTAATCCGAGCGTCCCAACGTCCCACTATGTAGATGAAGAAGTCTTGACAGAACGTAGAAGTGTATTCTACAAGCACCCAGAAAATATGAGGCCGATAAACACACAAATCGAGTTTATTTATGCATCATAGAAACGTCCTTGAGAGAGCCACAAAAATAGCGTACTAAAATACTACACAGACCAATAGTAGTCAGGGATATCAGGGATGGGAAATGTAATCTCAAGGTCAACTGATCAACTCATACTCGAAAGCAAAAAATCCAAAATTAGGACCTTTTCCAAGTGAGTTCCAGGGATCTAACGTCTCCAACACATGTATTTATGTTAATATCGTGTAATATGACCTAAGAGCATCTAAAGGTTCCTCAGTTATTCAGCCAGAATATATCTGACTGATGATTACCTTTACACTAGACAAATATCAGTAATCTTTCAAAAAAGAACTTACTCGAGTCCACAGTTTTTGATTGAGCTGCATTATGAAAAAATATAGCTAAACTACGTATACCACGTAGTATAGGCTCAAGATGATGTAATAGCTCTTGTACAATATTTAATCTGGTTTGCATAATTTTTTTCATATTCCCATCATGATTATTACATGTTTGTTGAATACGTTCAATTAAATGTGGCAATTTATGCCATATTGGTTGTTCTAATTGATTATTTGAATTCTCATAATTCTGATGTTCATCTGGTACATTGAATATTTGATTATAATCAGTGATTGCAGACCATAGTGAAACACAAATTGTGTCAACGTCATATTTTCTGGGTGCTTGTAGAATACATTTTCTACGCTTTATTAAGACTTCTTTCTTCAATTCGACAGGGCAACGGATTAGAGTAGCCTATCATGTCACTGGATCATTCATCTTCACTCTCGTTTCTCCGACTAAGGTGAACTCGTAATAGCATTCAAGCATATCAATTTGAGGAGCATAACAAAAATATTTTCGGAATATATTCGAACAGAACAGAACAGAACAGAATCATTTCATTTCTTTGATCATTTACAATGTAAATCTTTTTTCCATGTACAGATTTATTTATTGTTTTTTTTCAAAAATAAATGTATCTCCTTTTTCCAGATTAAAACAACATCAACTGATCAAGATGCATTAGCTATATCAGCACAAAATTGTTTACTACGTGCTACTGAATTAACGGAATCAACTAAAAATGCAGCATCATGTTTAGCCTCATTATTATCATCATCGTCATCATCATCAACAACAACATCAACATCAACATCATCTACACCAGATGTATCAATTGAAAGTCAAGTACAATTGTTCACAGCAACACGTGATGTAATTGCTGGTTTAGTACGTTTATTAAATCATGGTAAAGCTATATCATCAGCATGTTATGCATTAGAATTTTGGAATAATCAAACTGATGAGAAATTAATGAATTTAATGAAAACTAAACAAAATGCATTAAATGATACAGCTGTTGAAGTGATTGAAACAATATCTAGTTTATCACAAACATTACGTTCTATTAGTGATTTATTTAGTGTACCAACAAAATCACCGAATATCAAAGATGATGAAAATCAATCATCGGCTTCATCTGTGCCTCCTCCAACAGTTCCAGTGAAAAAAATTAGTCTTAAAGTATCTGTACAAAAATCAACCAATTTTGATAAGAAAATAATTGATCCTGCTAAATTAAATGTTCATCATAGTCTTGAATCAATTATCAGTGTTTTAGGTAATTTAAATGAACGTTTAAATAAATGGAATGTTAAAGATGGATTATTACATACACCAGGTAAGGTTGGTGTAATAGATTTTTTATGTTTTTTTTAAAAAATAAAGTTTTTCTTCCTAAAGTTTATGATTTTTCGCTTATGTATGATATATACATGTTGACCGTCTCACCTATCTTTGGAGTCTTACCAGTGCTGAGGACCTTGTTAAACAATAGCACCGTTAAATACCGGCTCATTGGTCCGATGGTTAGGCGTTCGCCTACGATACCGAAGGTCCTGGGTTCGAATCCTGCGGGGTGCAGGAGTCGTGGATGCGCACTGCTGAGGAGTCCCATACTAGGACGAAACGGTCGTCCAGTGCTTCCAGGTTTTTAATGGTGGTCTAACATCGATCGATTCATGGTTTCAAAGAAACTTAACAATCTTCACAACCCCATAATGTATACTGATGAAATCTCAGCACAGGTACAAAAGGTTCCATTGGCTTCTGCGTCACTTGTAGCGTAGGCGAGATATTCGTCTACTAACCAAAGGTTAAGTCTACTGCACATCAGTTTGCTCCATCCTACTTTAAGTATGCGAAATATGGCCGGTAAGAATTGAGGATGTTTGTAGGTTACTTGTATTCGATCATAGCTGTCTTTGAAGCATTGTCCGAATACCCTAGGACTATCGCGTAAGCAATGCTGATGTTAAGAAATACTGTGTACCATGTAAGGATGATGGGTCAATTGACGGAAATTATTTTACATTTAAACCCGTGGTTTAAATATAGTTAGATTTTTCTGTATCGATTGGAACTCTTAGCATAATCAGATTTACTGTAAATGACTATAAGAACTTGTTCGTTTTCGTGATAGCGTTTGTGTCCATCGGAACTAAAAAGTGTGTTGAAATCAATAAAGAACTTGATCGTAATCTGTTTTACGATAAACATATATCTTCTGAGCTATCAGTTAACTTCATGGAGATTTAATGGAAAGCATACATAGTATGCATAACTAATTGAAACAAAAAACTTAGTTTTCCTATAAAGCAAAGAGTTTTAACAAATACTTGTGTCAAGTTACTTCTAAACCAAACGAGCGCGTTGTATTATATTAGACGTAAAAGAAAACGATAATGTGAGTTTGTGTGGTTGTACGTTTGATGGTGATTTAAGTTTCCTTTATTTTGTTGTTGTACACAAAGATTTGACCTCAATGCATCAGGTCAAAGTGTTTCAGAGTGTTTGGATCGAATACTACACTAATGTAGATATTATTCATTCATTCAAATAAATTCAACTTTGACCTAAAGCTTACCACTACAACTGATAACATAATAAAATGTAGTTGAATTAAATTCACTGTTGCCATTCTGTCTGAGGGAAGGTAGTAATTGTGATTGTTGCGGGGTTTTTTTCAAATGTCATTATTTCTAATAATAATAATAAAAGGTTAAGTTTTTCAATCATGATATTTAAAATATTTGTACTTTTCAAACTTGAATCAAGCTTTAACAAACAGAATTGATCAAGCAATTAACGTCATGAATTTCTAAGTAATTGTGTATATCTAATATTTTCATCATATTGAAATTTATAACACTTAGTGTGATTAAAATTGTGATGAAATTTGTTTTGTGGTTTGATAAGAAGACATCAAGCTAGACATCTTATCTGAAGATAATTTACATAATTCAAAACGAATTTTATAGTTGAATTTAACAATTATTCCATTCTATGGTTTCTGTTGCGATGGGTAGCTTTAACAGAAAATTCATTAAACTAGATTGAGTAACTGTTCGACGGGCTATGCTCCAATAGGGGGTAACAGGCGTTACACAATTATTAAATTAAATTGAATAAGCAGATGATTAATATAAAAACTGTTGTTATATAAATTTGATATTCGACTTCATGTACCACCTATTTGTGTTTACAAATAATTCAAGAAAATTTAAGCGTAGTTGTCAGCTTAATTGTTCAATATTTCACACCTTTCTTTTACTTCACTCTCATACTCATTGGATTCATCAGTCGTTTGAATGAATCATTATTTGCTTTGTATAAAGAAGTGAATTTTGCGTCATAATCCAGAGATAGGAGTAATAAAACAAAAAACCAAATATTACTTCATGATTTTATGACTACAGTTAGCTTGTATTGTCGTTGCACTAAGTAGATTATCATACTAGCATCAATTTATAAATTGGTCGAGTTACCTGTAGTAGACCCCACTTGTGTGTATTTAAATATGGAGACGTTTTCCAAAAAGTCTGATTTACATAATTCCTGTTTAGTTTATGAATTAAGCAGTTATTGAATGAGTTATCATTGTCTGATATGATAGGCTAAATATATGAATATTTATTTGACTATCAGTTATTTCAATAATATCCAACTGTACAATGGTGGTTCAGTGATTCAAGTGTCTGATGTTCCCTCAACAATCCTCACACTTAGAGTGGAGTTCAAAGCCAAGTATACCATGTCTATACCTGGCTAGTAAGTTTATTGCAATAATATTAATAATAATCTCTTTTGGCTATCGATACACTTTATATGATTTCAAAGTGTCATACAAATCTGATTACATGTTTTGTTTATTATTATGACTGAGACACACAAATCCATGAAGTCACTGACAACTGGACTGAGTTATGTTGGTAGATGTAGGCTACCTGGAGACAAAAGTAACCAATGGTTAAAGAGCTTGGACGATATGGCTCAAAATCGTTTGCCAGTAGCGCAGGTGCATCTACTCTTTGTGTTCTCTCAAATTTTAACCTCCTGAATTCCTCATCATTTCTATCTTTCTCTTCCTAAAGTTATCTCACTCAGTTATCCTTCTCGAATCATATCTTCGAACCCTAATCTTCTCCATCAGCGCTAATACTTCTACCATCTCTACTACTATGGGGTTTTTAACTGACAGTTGCGTCTCTGTGCTGATGTGGTATGGCAACCTGAACTTATTTACTCATGTGCGAAGTTCCACGTTGTAACTGACTGACTGATTGGTTATGACTGATAATATTACTATCATTCTACTGTATGATTTTAGGTAATGCTCAATTCTATTCACTACATATCACATATAACAAATCTCTATACTGTGTTCATCTTTTATCTGCTTGTATACAAAATTTTCAGATTCTGATTCTGATGCGGAATTTGAACGACAAACTGCATTAGGTCAAACAATCAATCCATCTTATTTAGTATGTGCTGCACGTGCTATCACTCAAGCAGCCACAAATGCAAATAATGCTACTGGGTCAGGTAAACTATCTGAAATTGGTTTAGCTGGTGATATGATACGTCGTACAGCGGAAGAACTAGTACGACGTTTACATTCAGTTCTACAAACTTCATTAACATCAATCTCTGCATCAAATAACCAAACAATGTTATCAAATGGTCGTGCTAATGCTGTCAATGAATCAGGAACAGGAAATGATAATACATCAGATGATCGTGATGAAACTATGCGTTATCATGATTTAGAGAAAATATGTCAACGTGCTATTCATGGAAGTGCTAATACAATGTCAGAGCTTAAACAATTAGTTGAACATATGAATAAGGTAAGCTGTGATCATGTTTTTTTTTTGTTATTGTTGTGTTGACATATTTGCTCAAAAATACTTTTCATCACAAATACATTTCAACACTAGACAGCTATCTGAAGAAGAAGTCTCTTATCCTCTAGTGTCAGTCTCCCCTGATCAACAGATCACACCGACACTTATACATTATGTATGATTATCGTCCACAATTACTTTTAGATTTCACAGTTCTAACATCATCTATTGAAATGGAATTTAAGGATTGTGATAGTTTTTAACTTCAGTCAACTCTGGTTGTAAATGGCACGATTTTTATCCGATGTCATCATTTGAATTTATGTCGCTTTCATTTTATTTTGTTCTTAAACTCTAAAATCCATAGCTTTTGAATGTTTCCCTCTAATGACTAATACTTTTTGTTTCAGCTGTCGTAAATTATTAGATTGTCACAGGTATTTGACTGATTATTTAGCAGAAAGGTTTGTTTACATAGGAATGAGAAGTTAGCCTCCTCTATATCAAATAATATTTTGCTTATTGTACTAAACGTCGTAGTTGATGACTATTCAACTGATAATATTTTCGTAAAAAAAAGTCAATTTCAAATCGCTTTATAAGGTACTTGTTTCAAACATCATCTCTCAATAAGATCTTAAGGTTTTATGTTCTATCAAGTGGAAGATAGTTATTAACGAGTACCACTAAAAAGTCTTATACTAAGATAAAATAGCTGCCGTTCGCTACTCTGTATTCAATAGTTATCTAATTCGGTCTTGTGAACTATGGAATCTACCGATATACATTACCTTTTCATAATAATCCATAAAGATTGTCTTACAATAATCAAGATGATTAAAAATGAGTTATGATTCCTTTGTAGGTTAGATAAATTAAAGTTGTTAAGTATGCATTATCGGTGCATAAGTCATTTGCGTCCTGATGATTTCCATTATCTTTAGAGATCGTAAATATGAACTAAAACCTGAACATTCTCATTTTCCTTAACACAATTATCACTCCTAGTCAAATGAAAAATAGATGTTGGTATTTATAATTGGAGTTGCTTCTTTTGTCGACAGTGAAAATACATGTTCACGCATTTGAGTACAACTTTTACAGTCATATTTAGAAGAATTGTCAACTTGGCCTACATGCATTTGTGAGCCATTTATCGGGTTGCCTATTCTTGGTTTAAGCAAGTCGTTAAGAAATGCGTATTTCGTTAACCCAGTCTTTTATCTAATCAAAATAACTGCTTATTATGACTAATAAGGTTTCGATGTGATTAAAATTACTTTCATGGCATTTAGTGTTGTATTCTAACTATCCATCTTGAAGATACTATGGAAACATACTATTGAAAACATAAGAAACTATATCTAACAGTATTATATCTATCAATATATTTCTTTGTAGGCACTTGATTCCGGTCCTGGAAGTCCGGATAGTGTTCAAGTTACTTTGGCTATGAGACGTTTACGTGAAACTGTATTTGAAATTGTTGATTGTTCAATGTCTTTACCTGGTGCTAAAGAAGATGATATTGCTGGTTTGTTGTTGTTGTTGTTGTTGTTGTTGTTATTCTTTGTTATTTAATTAATTGTGTACAGTTTCAGTATGTTTACAATACCTACTTTTCGTACATTTTTCCAGAATATGCTTAAATTTTATCGATTCAATAAACAGCAAATATAACCATTTTCTATTCTCCCAAAAAATTCTAGAATTTTAATCTCAAACTAGAATAAGTTGAAATATCATTTCAAATGACGGGGAATTAGACTACAATATTCCTTTAAACTATTTAACCTTTGTATTAAAATTCTACTTGGTGATTAAGTCGAGACCGTAGGTCCTGAGTTCGATATTAAGTGAAATGTTTATGAATTAAACGGACTGGATAAATTAGAATGTAGTGATTTAGGGAACTAGAAATTGTAAACTATAATGCATATTTGTACATTTAAAAATAACTTAATTTTTTACATAACAACTGATAAACAAACAATTATGTGTTGATCTCTATAAATTTATCACATAAATACTATTTTTTATTGGTTTGAAATTGAACCCATTGAAAAGAATTCCACTGTTAAATAAATCGTTCAGTAATTTAAAAGTATGAACTAACTGTTTTAATGATGATTATGATTCATCTAAATGACATATTTTGTCAGTAATTCGTAGCTCTAGTCAATAAAGAAGTGGGCATTGATGATAATGCTTTCCTTCAAAACGATTTAAATCATTCAACTGAGATCACATTACATTCTAGAGTGTATTTAACCGAAAGACAACCCGATATCACTGCATCAATCATCGATTATTTTGTTATTATTTGTTTTATTACTGACTATTTCAAAAGTAGTATTCTCATATTTCTTCAAATTTATTTATTTTAGATTTCAAACCAAATGTTTGTACTAAACCAATTCCTGTTGTAATTGACAATAAAGTTATCAGTTCATGTGATAATCCTTTTGATCGAAAATCAATTTATAATCATTCTATGGATATTGAAAAGAGTATTGCTGAAGCAAATGCAACAGCTATTGATAATATTGATCATTCTGAAGCATCATCATCATCATTCTCATCAACATCTGGTGTACAAAATGCACTGCAAGATTTAGCTGGAGAAATTGAACGAAGTGTTGAACGTATTGGTCTATTACATTCAAAACATTCATTTAAGGTATTCACGTTTTGATTGGATTATTATGATTATTATTGGATTTCACAGACTACATAATTTTGATTGTAAGTATCTTCAAAGCATCGTTGGCACATTGTGAAACGACCGAGTAAACTGTGTTAAGGTTAGGCACAAAATATCAGACAAATTTGGCGAATTAATTGACAAAGTTGTGAAACCTATTCGATAAAGGTGTCTTGGGATATGTGCTATGTATGCTTAGTCATCAGCTACCTCGATTTTGAATATTGAGTGAAATAGGATTAAGTCAGAAGAAACCAAGGACTGTCTAACCAAGTTTTAACATTAGTCCATGTAACCATTGTCTTTTGGCCTAAACCGTGTTGAGGTGTGACATTTTAGGGTCGACCTTTTCTGACCCCTCCCTTCATTGTGTGAAGACAGCATCGCTTCAGATGCTGATTTTCTCAGAGAAACACCTCACTGCTGTCACACCCCTCTACCGTCAGCAGTACGATTACGCCTTCAGACTTTGAATTGCTGCTTTTAGTCTCACCGTTCTCCAATCGACCTGTCTGGCATAGTAAAATCTACAGGAACATATGTTCCAGCTCATACAGCTCGTTTGGGTGATCACGATAGCCAAGCCTGACCACCACGTCAAGGTAGCAGCTATGATCGGGTTGCTGAGCAGTATCAAATGAATTCATAGTATTTGATCATTTCAACGGTATTTTATTTATTCCTGTTATCGGGCTTTTAATGAAAGTCAGTAATAGTTTATTAGTTAATACACTCCGATGGATAACAGATTTGTTGACCTACCTATTTCATCGAAATCGTTTTAAGAAACGGATCAGTATCATTTACTCTTAAGTAAAAATACTGTTCATATCTTTGTAGTTGAATGAGTACGTAATCAATGACTGATAGATATTGAATTTTCGAAATTAAAATTAACGTTAATTAAAAATTAGATAACAATCGTTAAACAGTAACATTACAATAAATGCTATTTGAATTCATGAACAGAATAGCGAGCGCATTTATCTTTCTAAAACCTCTTTATTACTAACAATCAGGACATCATGATGTGCGGAGTTCAGACATGTCAGCAATAAAACACTTATCACGAATATCAATGAATGCTAACTTAATAGTTCCAATAGTCAAGCATTCGTTGTGAGACCTGAAGGCTGTGTTTTGCTTTCACCTGTGATAAAAGTCACAACTGCACACTACTGAAAGATGATTCCATGCCAAGATTAAATATCTGTCTAGTATCTCTACTGAGATTCATCTATTGATGAGAGTACCATCGATAAATTAAATTGATCTACAGAAAATCTTTTCAATTAAAAACTCTATCAAACACATGAATATATTCTATAGCTCATCTCTTTTTCCTTTTTTTATATTAAATAATCAACTAAACCTTTGTTATGTTTTATTCTTTCCGATAGAATTCATTAAATTCACAAAAGCCACATTCACAAATGGATCAGTCAAAAGATACGGTAAGATAATTTTTTTTTAAAAAAAAAATGTGAATAACTAATTTTTATATTTAAATATATAACTCAATGTATTATTGTTGCGTTTGTTTTTTTCTCTAATTGTCACCAATTCAGCTAAGTAAGTAGCGAAACTGCATCGGTTGAGGTGGTTGGTGTTACGTATTCCCAACAACAGCCTGCCTCGACGAGCTATGTTTTGTGGTGTAGGAATAGGTTGGAAGAAAGTTAGAGGTGGCCAAACCAAAACATGGCACAAATCCATAAAGTCACTGACAAGTGGACTGAGTCATGTTGGTAGATGTAGGGTACCTGGTTGGGGTCCGCGAGATGATATTAATCGACGGTTAGATACCTTGAATAACATGGCTCAAAATCGTTTGCTATGGCTTAGGTGCATTCATTCATTGTGTTCTCTCAAATCTTAACCTTCTGAATTCCTCATCATTTCTATCTCTCTATTTCTAAATTTATTTCACTGGGTTATACTTCTCGAATCATACGTTCGAACCCTAATCTTCTCCATTACTGCTAATACTTTTACTATCGCTACCACTGTGGGATTGGAACTGACAGTCGCGTCTCTGTGCTGATGCGGTCTGGCAGCCTGTACTTATGAACTCATGTACGAAGTTTCACGTTATAACTGACTGATTGACAGCTAAACAAGCAAATAGTCTAAATGTAAATAAAAATTCAATACAGTTTTGTTGTTTTATACATGTGTTAAATATTTTAATAATAATAAAACGTATTCATCCTTCATAAAAATATTGGGAAGACATAAATGTTTTACAAAATCTAAATAATAAATTATATTGCTGGATTGAATTCAATTCATCAACTGGATGTGCCTTCATCTGCATCTGACAGTTCATGTTCACTCCGGCACCACTCAAACTCCAAAACAGGATGAAACACTCGTGTCTTGTGATTCCACTTCTAGCTACACTCTAACTAATTCTCTATATAAAACACTTGTGTCATAATAGCTATATTAATGCCTATTCGTATATAGAATGTTCATTTGTCAATTAAGACTGATCAACTTTCAATGAAAATATCAACAACGGCATAATCCAAACCAACCCAAACATCCAGCTCAGAGGACGAAACATCACCACATTCATCCATCTGAGCTACAAATTTTCTTCACTATCTCAAAAAAAAATTAATATTTGTGCAATTCTTGCTCATGTTTGCTCTATTCTATTAAATCTCATTCCATATTATCTTTCTTTCTTATATTTGAAACAGCTGTCTGTTTAGTTTTGCATGTGTTTTGTGCGAGATGATCGATAACATAAGTGATTATGATAATTCATCTCTGTGTACATTTATGTTGGGGACGTTGGATCCTCAGAACTCACTTGATAAAGGTCCTAATTTTGGATTTTATTCATGGGCTGATCAGTCGACCTTGAGATTATATTTCCCACCCGGAAAATCCTTGATTTTCATTGGTTGGTGTGTTATTTTAGTACGCTCCCAAGGACGTTTCTACGGTGTATAAATAAACTCGATTTGTGTGCTTGTGAACCTCAACTTTCTGAATACTTGTAGAATACACTTTCTACGCCTTATCAAGACTTCTTTCTATAGTTAGCGTGGCCAGGGACAATCAGATCAGAATCGCCTATCGTATTACTGGATCGTTTGTCTTCGCTCCCGTTTACCGAGTAAAGAGAACTCGTAGTAGTTCCAAGCATATCAAATTGATGAGCATATCAATTTAATTGTTATTTTATAAACTATAATTCATTGTTTTTCAGTTAAAAATTATAATGTAATTTACGTTATTATTAATAGATGGCCCCAACATCGAAATCTTCCACTACTGTTGCTTCAACGACAAATATTCCAATTTCTACCAATGTTAATAATCACATAACTAATACTGGTAGTGCCAATGAAGATATTGATCTTGAATCATCAGACGGTATGGATGCAATTATTATAGCTTGTCGAAATTTAGTTCATGCTACTTTAAGTCTCATGTATTGGGCTGCAGCAGCTCAACGTGAACTTATTCAACAAGGTCGACTTAAACCAATTGATTTGCAACAAACACCTGAATCAGAATCTGAAGCACAATGGGCACAAGGTTTAATATCAGCAGTAAGTAGTTAGCATTACTTCTTTATTTGTTTCAGATTTGTTTTTAATGGAAGTTTATTAGTCACCTGCAGTATAGTTGTTGAGCAAATAATTATGGAAAGTAATTTATTTCAGTTCACCTTGAATAACTTGACAAAATTTTTTTATTGAAATTCTTTTTTTTGTGGAATATTTGCATTACTCACTTCATTCAAATGAATTAATATTAGTAGTGATCTGTAAGATGTTGAAAATTGTTACGCATGAACGCAAACATGTCAATTTGATATGCTTGAACTATTACGAGTTTACCTTAGTCGGAAAACGAGAGCGAGGATCGAGGATCCGGTGACACGATATGCTACTTTAATCCGATTGTCCAAACCCCCATTGAATGAAAGAAGTAGACGTGATATGAAGTAGAAACTGTATTCTATAAACATCCAGAAAGTACGAGGCGCAAGTCCAGAAGAATGCAAGGATCCCGAACTGAGGATCCTGGTCCGGGTCATAAAACGTTACAGATAATGCGTATTTATACTTTTAGGTCGAATAGAAAACAGCATCAAAGTCTGTGACATTGACAGTTAAGGCGACCAATAGGAAAAAACATTTGAAGTGACATTGATAGTCAGGACGACCGTAATGTTGACTAATAGGAATCGACCAATAGAATTTACACTTACAAAATGATTCTTCGTAGGATATTTGGTGAATAGTTACTCACTGATGTCAATTTATCGTGGCTCCAGTCATCCACCAAGCACATGAAGTAAATATAGACACACTAGCATTATTATCATTAGTTAAATATTATTTGCCTCAATGTAGCATTTAAACGATCTTGGTTTAAATTTTCATGTGTTTCTAATTGTGCACTGTTTGGGAGTTATCAACTAGGGATGAAAGTTCTTCATGTGTTTCGTTGTATGCTGAAAAATGTATGTTTTCGTTTCTTATATTATTTTGATTACTAAACTCAGTAGACATTTCAACAACTGAGAATTACAAGGCTATACTCGTATTTTTCTACTCATTAGACAAGTTAATGAGTAACTGCATTCTGTCGAACTTCAATCAACTCACCTTTCACAAACCTCCATCAGTTCATATCGGGTGTGTAACAGTTATGCATTGCCAGCAATGGATAAAGGGTTATGCCAAATTGTTGTTTGATTGTAGTTATAAATGAACACTCTTGGGTGCCGGTCAATAAGTTAAGCACTGGCACTCAAGATTAAAGGTCCTGGCTTCGATTCCCGCACACAGGTCTTTCATGGTTACTGTTGAGGAGCCCTATACTAAGACAAAACGGCTTCCCATTACTTCTAGGTTTTCAATTTACCGTTTATGCATCAAATATTCGAGTTTTATATTGCATTCGGATTGGATTGCATTTGCTAGTTTGATAGTCATCGGTATATTCGATCTTAGTTTTTGCCTCGTTGATTGTTTTCATTTACCAACTTAATAACTGATTATTGACAAAGTTATTAAGTAGTATGTTTTATTTTCAGAGTTTTAACACAATATCATCATAATAAACAGTTACACTAACTTGACTATCTACTTTATTTGTTCTCCATTTATTTCTAATAATCAGTAGCTTTGAATTTCCCTAGAGTTATAGCATTTTCTTTTACTTTGTATTCTAGCGGAAACAACAGAGTGTGTAGAGCTCTAGCAGTACGTAAAAAATTACTAAGTAAAGACGTTTGTTTAGCTAAATAATCATTGACTCGTTCGTTGAATAAGCTATCTTTTTTAGCGATACATAATTGGTTTAAAATAATTTCTAAAAAACATCTGTGACATATTTTAATAATTTTAATGGTTTGAGCAGTATAACTTGTCTCTCTCTCTCTCTCTCTCTTAATTTCCATTTGTACAGGCAAGATATGTGGCTGTTGGTGCAAATCATTTAGTTGAATCAGCTCAAGCATTTGTTACAATGCATGTTGTGAGTGGTTCATCACAATCAATCGATTCAGGTGATATAACAATGAAACCAGAGAGTTTAATATCAGCTGCACAAACCACAGCTGGTTATACTGCTCAATTAGTGATTGCTTGTATAGCTAAAGCTAATCCGAATTCACAAAGTTGTTTAGGTTTACGTAATGCTGGCGGTTCGGTTAAACATGCAGCTGATCGTCTAGTACGAATTGTACAAATGGTCATGTCGAAGAATAAATCACCAGCAACAGCAACAGCGACAACAACAACAGTGGATGCAGACAAAGAACAATCTGATGCGTCATTAGACAATTTAAGTGGTCGAGTTGTTTCATCTATGAGACAAGTATGTGTTGATTTTATTGGTTTTTTTATGTATAAATATTTTTATTACCGCTGAATAATACATATATCTAATCATAATATATGATCAGTATTCATTTTATACACTTTAAATATGAGTCTTAGTGCAAAGAGAATGAGTGTTGCAATTCACTGTGTATGGAAAACACATTGTGAGTTGTGTTATGCTCGTCAACAGTTGATATGTTTGAGTGCTATTACGAGTTCACCTTAGTGGGTAAACGAGAGCGAAGACAAATGGTCCAGTGACATGATAGGCTACTGTAATCCAAGCGTCTAAAAGTCTTGATATGGCGTAGAAAGTGTATTCTAGTAGCACCCAAAAAATCGAGCTTTTGTACTGAAGAGGAGCCTAAAACTTTACAGATAATGCATATTTATACAGTTACGTCGATCGTGAATACTAACCAATAAGGAAACAACATTTAAAAGTATGTGAACTTGATAGTTTACTTACTTACTTACTTACGCCAGTTACCCCCAATGGAGCATAGGCCGCTGACCAGTTTTCTCTAACCAACTCTGTCCTGGGCTTCCCTTTCCAGTTCTGTCCAAATTTTGTTCATTCTTCTCATATCTTTCTCCATTTCTTTGCGTAATATGTTCCTTGGCCTTCTTCTTTTCCTTTTGCCTTGAGGGTTCCATGTGAGGGCTTGTCTTGTGATGCCAGTAGAACCTTCGGGGCTACTGCCGGTCCCAAGCCCGGATAAAGGAGGAGGGTTGGCGATGGGGTTGGCGACCCCATCCTGTCAAAAACTAACTTGCCAAGAAAACGCTAACCAGAAGAAATAATTCGAACTTGATAGTTTAGGACGACCTTAAATATTGACCAATAGGAATTGACCAGTTGATTTAAACTCACAAAACAAGTTAATAGGTTGAAATTTTTTTAAATATATTTTTCATTAGTTTGTATTAGATAACTGCTTCAATGACTTCAAAGTATATATACAATTCACTTGTTACTGATTGATTATAAATGGCACCATCGGTTATTCCAAATTCATTGGGACATTTATGTATAGTTTGTATATCTTCATAATATCATTCATAATCTATGCATATGAGTAGTTCTCATCCAACGAATATACAATAGAACAGTTGTGTGAATATTAATTTGATAGGAGAGTTTAATTTTATAGTTGATTGACTGGTAGAAGAGCGTATGCATTGAATTTATTCAATTTTAGCACTAAATCTGAAACAATGTATTTCAATTTGTGTAGATAAACAAAGTGTCGCCTTTTCTCTTTCTCTGTCACACACATACATGTATCTATAGCGAGTGTGATTCAGAGTCTGTTAACGTAAACCTGTGTGAAATGATAAATTTACACTACTAAATTGAATTGATCTGTGATTTCAAAGAGAAAATAAAAGAACACATACAATAATAACAACAACAATTGAATATTGAATAAAAACTTTTTTCTGTTTAGTTTTTTGTATGTCTAATACATCTTCTCAACAATCATTAGTAGTAGTAGTAGTAGCAGTAGTAGTAGTATTTAATTGTAATAAGAAATTGTTTTTTCAAAAAAAAACCATTTTTATATTCACATATTATTGGGGATGTCAGATCTCCAGAACTCGCTTGATAAATATCTTTATTTTGGATTCATTTCATGGACCGATCAGTTGACCTTGAGATCACATTTCCCACCAGGAAAATCCTTGGCTCTGATTGGTTACTGTGTCATTTTAGTGTGCTGTTTTTGTGACTGTACCAAGGACGTCTCTATAGAGTATAAACAAACGCAACTTGAGTGCTTGGATTCATTGTGTGCTGGTTGGGTGTTTGTAGAATACAATTTCTACACTATATCAAGACTTCTTGCTGATACCTATTTGGTCTAGGGATCACAGTAGCCTACCTGGACGCTGGTTTATTGTTTTGTTCTTGTTATTCGTCTAAGGTGAACTCGTAATAGTTTAGGCATACCTAGAGATGAGCATAACACATATCCACTCCTCTCTTTTTACAACCCCTTATTAGGCAGCACTTACTGACGGAGACGGAAGTCCGTGAGGTAAGGTGAGGTGTGATATTTTTAGGTTTGACCTATTCTAACCCCTTCCTTCCTTGTGAGATGGCAGCATCGCTTCAGATGCTGGTTGTCCGAAGGAAATACATTACTGCTGCCACACCTCTCTGCAGTCAGCAGTACGACTTCGCCCTCAAACGTTGAATAGCTGCTTTTAGTCTCATCATTCTTCAATCAACCTGCCTGGCATAGTAGAACCTTCAGAAACATATGTTCCAGCCAATACGGCTTGGTTGGGTCATCACGATAGTCAAGCCCGACCAGGACGTCAAGGTAGCAGCTACGGTTGGGGTGAGATATTGTAAACCTGTTTGAAATGATGAATTTACACTACTAAATCGAATTGATCTGTGATTTCAAAGAGAAAATAAACGAACACATGCAACAATAACAACAACAATTGAATATTGAATAAAGACTTTTTTCTGTTTTTTTTGTATGTCTAATACATCTTTTCAACAATCATTAGTAGTAGTAGTGTGGTGCGAGCTACTTATAAGTAGTATATGACGTGAGTGTCAACGTAATGTCTGGCAGCAGAAGATGGGGGGACATCAAGAAAGGAAGAGTTAGAACACAATGGAATTTGTATGAAACGCATGAACAGTGACAATGGATTGATGTTTTGCAACAGGAACAGTCCAGTTCGATATGATGAACTGATATTTTGCAAATTAACGATTTACGATATGGTTTTCCTATTTTACTGAGTAACTCTGTAATTTTCGTTAAATACAATTCGGTTGCCCCACCTTTGTTCTCGTTCACTACAGTAGTAGTAGTAGTAGTACTGGTTAATTGTAATAAGAAATTTATTTCTGGTGAAAAAAATCATTTTTATATATTCTTTTATCCATTAATTTGTTGTTTTTTTGAAAAAAAAAACACATAGGTAATTGAAACGAAATCCAGTATTGCAGCTAAACAAAGAGAATTGGATAAATTACACGCTCAGTTGAAACATATTCATCAAGATCAATATCGATCACATGTGCAGTGAACAAAAAGAAAAAAGAAGCACCAGGCGATGACACTGACACAAAAAGGAGATGATTACTACTACTAATACTACTACTACCAGTAGTAGTAGTAGTATTACTATTATGATTGTCAATTTTAGAAGTTTTGTTGTTTATATATCATCAACTCATGCTTCAATTTCTACAATTTTGTTTTAAATCTGAACAACACCAGGAATTTTTTTATGTTTGCCTTTTTTTTCTATCCTTAAAGGGATGTGTACTACTCTGTGTATGCGTGCGTGTGTGTGTGTTTGTGGTTTGGTGACAAAAAAAAACAATCGTCTTCTTTGCCAAATGATTTATTCTGCCTTATTTGCTTGTTATCTTCCTATTGTGCTTTTATTTTTCAAACTTATTTTGATACCTACATAATTCATGTGTGTGAATGGGTGTATGTGCGTATCCGCTTGATAATCAGTAATAATTAATTCATTTCCACTGATTAGACACCTGATGTAATACGTTCAGTTCTTTGAAAGAATGGTACTTTCTCTTTAACAATGATCTGATAATCTTTTCGTTGCATCAATGTGTTTTTTTCGTAAATAACTATGACAGAGGTCGTCTACATCTAATGAATGCGCCTATATGATAAAATAGTATGGTATAATATAACAGCCAGTACCAACCACGCACACAAACCAATACATTGAATACCTCGATAATTTGTTATAATAATATTAATTATTATTATTATTTAGCATTGTTCGATAATTTTTTCTGATTTTTAAACTACTTTTACATCAATTATGAACTTGTCTTGAGAGAGAGAGTACTTGTTATATATGTATTATATTATATACAACAGATTTTTTAATCTATTCATCACATAAACTTACTTATCTCTACTACATCTACTACATTACAATTGCCGATATAATAAATACAACAGCTAAGAAAAATCAAGTATTTTGTACGAATAATCTATAATAATAGTAGTAGTAGTAGTACTAGTACTAGTAGTATTATTAGTAGTATTATTGTTTTTCTTTTTTTTCTCTAAATTTCACACTATCAGATAGTTTAATGTAAAATTTTAACCAATCAATTTTATTTGACCGGATCTTTTCGGTATGAATTAATTTCACTGGCGCATAAACAACCGAATGACGTAATAGAACACTCGTTAAAGATAATAATTATTATTATGATTAAGTCATGCAAAGAAGAAAACACCATTACACACAATAAACCATTCGTGAATAATTTTTTATTGCCTTAACTTGCTGCAACCTTTTGATTTCTTTTTATAAAAAAAAAAAAACAAATTCATTTCTGTAATCATTATGGTTGTTTGTAAATTGTATCAATAATTCTTTTCTCTCTTTAAAGAAAAAAATTCATTCATTTCAATGAACGACTGTAATTAATTATCAGTGTTCATTTATTTCTTCTATATTTTGAATTTTTTCCTCTTTTTAATTGAAAAAAAAAATAATAATTTAAAGATTTTACAGAATGAATTAAGAATTATACTAACTAAAATTGATTGTTTAATTTTTACATTGAATATATTTATGAAAACAATTTTTTGTAAATTATTTGTATCTAATATTGTTATTATTATTATTTATATTGTAAGTTATATATTAATTGGTAAAATAATAATTACATCATACTATAATTTATAGGATGAGTGTTTATTTTTCTTCTTACCTATTGTAAATCTCTGGTCAGAAAGTATATATATTTATATATATATATTTTACCGATTAAAAAATTAGTTCGTTCATATTCATTTGATTTAATATGTAGGCTATCTGGTTATGGTCCTCGAGACGAAAATCATCAATTGTTAGAGACGTTGAACGATATGGCTTAGAATCGTTTGCAGTGGCACAGGTGCATCCACTCTGTGTGCTTTTTAATTTTAACCTTCTGAATTCCTCATAATCTATATCTTTCTCCTTCTAAATTTATCTCACTGAATCATATCTTCGATCCCTAATCTTCTCCATTGCTGCTAATAATTCTACTATCACTATCACTCTTGGATTGAACTGACAGTTACGTCTCTGTGCTGACGTGATATGGCAACGTGAACTGATTTCCCTATGTACGAAGTTCTGAGTTATGTGTGTCTGTCTGTCTATCATCTGATTTAATGAATTATCTGTACTTCACATAAAACGGAATTGTGGTAGAGAATAATAACGTGCTGGTAGGTGGTATTATAACAAAGGCTCTAAAAATAAAATGAACTGGCATTATATGAATGAAGTTCATATATCACCTCTTTGTTGATTCGAATATTGATGAACGCATTACAGACCTCAATAATTAGTCATCTAGAAAGTTTTCATATATGTTGAAGTTGTTTTTGCGAGAAATTATTGTTTAGTAACACCACTTGCATTCTGATTGGTTAATAATGTATCTCAAGGTCGACGATATAACATCAATTCAACAATGACTTTTCAGTTTATATAGAAGCTAAAAGTGATTGTCAGACAGTTTCAAATGAACGATTTTTAATTGTAAACTGCATGCTAATAAATGTTTATTCTTCATCAAAAAGTTACATTAGTTCAATCTGTGAAGCATATTTCAGATTTAGTTGGCAGGTTTTAATTAGCGTTGAAGTATTCGATACTATGATGTTTAGTTAAACATTTGTGATCAGTCAATTAGACAAGCAGCATGCTATTGACTCATTGCAGTATCACGTCTATAGTCAACATTTATTAAGCCCTGAGAGACAACGGAGGTCGCTTTTCCTAGCCAATTAGTGCTTATTGAGTCAAACCGGCCGAATTTAAATGCAATCGTTAATCTGAGTGACTAGACAACGCATGCACTATAATTATTGATGAGATCATAAAACCTTGTAGATTGTTGTTGGTCTTATTTGTAAATAACACAAAAATCATGAGTCAGTCATTGTTAGACCACCATTAGAAACCCACAAGCAATGGGCGGCCGTTTCGTCCTGGTATGGGACTCATCAGCAGTGCGTATCCACGACTCCTGCTCCTCGCATGATTCGAATCCAGGTCCTCCGATCTTGGGAGCTAATGCCTAACCTCTGGACCACGTGGCCGGCACCCGACGGTATTAATGTCTAACTCTGATTGATCTAAGAATTTTGCTTGACCTCACCCATTTGTCTTAGGTAGTTGCTGTCTACACCCGATAGTGTTAAGCTCCACTGGTCATGTTTTCTCACTAGAACTCTGAGAATTTCCTCACGAAACTAGTTACTAGTGAGCACATACAAGTGAGTCCCATACCAGGACGAAACGGTCGTCCAGTGATTCCAGGTTTGTAATGGTGGTCTAACAATGATTGGTTCATGATTTCTATGTATCGAAACGATGATCTGCATAACTCTAATTGAGAAATTATATATATAACCTTTGGGGATTTTTTTTATACTAAAGATGTTATTCTACGTAAATTCGGGAGTAGAAATCAAAAGATTAAAATCAACTTCAACTTCCTCTTTGATGTTATGAATTCGAGGAAGGAAATTTAAGGTGTTTATGCGCGTGACTTAGTGATTGATGTTCCAGTTTTTGCCCTAGTCTTCTGACACTTCATATAATGGCCCAATGCAATAGACCACGTTAATTAGTCACTAACAATAAAGTTTAGTCAATTTCGATCGACTATTCACTCTAAAAATTTACGGTATTGGCCATTTTCACCTATCAAATAAATCCAAATCCACCATGGTTTTTTTCATTTGGATAGAGTTGTATATGCCTGTATGTTGTTTTTTAATTGTCAGTTAGCTTGTTTTTCAAGTAAATTTAACCACCGCAAAATCACTAGTTACAATCAATGTTTCTTTCTGTAATTCATAATAGTTAGATAATAGTTACTAGTTTGAAGAACAATTTTTTTCCCTTTCAAACAAAACAAAAACATCAAGATATGTAAGCATACAATGAATGGTGCATCATTTTATTTCAAGATTTTTCACTGAATGCAACATCTAAAGTGATAAAAAAAAGTGGTAGGATTGAAAATAACAATTTGACATAAGTTAATTCTCAAAGCTGAAATGAATATTCGAAAAAGTAGAGAAAAAGCGTCGTCATAAAAAAAGCGTGAGAATCAAAAAATGTGGATAGCAGACACAGAAGTAGGTATTGTTTCGTCTAGAACTAGTCATATAAAGTAGTACAGGGGAAAATTATATTTAATCGCTAACATTATAAAAAAGCCGTCACTTTGTAAGACAATATAATTCGAATAAACTGAATAACTGAGAATGTTACTAGATAAGTAAGAAAGTTGTCTTCTTTCTGTCAGGTTGAAAATGTCTAATTCCAATGCCTTTAGTAAAATCCAGTAAAGGTGACGTTCATATTCATGGACTAGATGCTTGCTGATTCCTTTTAAGGATAAGTTTATGTTTAGAATATTTTGTAGAGATTCTTCACTCTACATACTTATTATGATAAGATCAATTAAAGCTGTAAGATATTGCGTAACAGTGCTTTCTAGTTAAAGGAATTATGTTGTTTGTGAAATGTAGCATAAGTTTATAAGTCAATAAATAACTATTTTTGAGGGAGTAAGAATACTAAGCATTCTGAAACTTATTTTAATTATTTTCATCAATACTAAATACTTCTTGCTTATCCTAATGCATACATAATTTATCGGTTGTTTCCCTACTGACGTTAAGATGCCCCAATCAATTCACAAAACTACACAAAAAGTGAACAGACCGGTAATTACTCGAACACAAAATCCCCAATCCAATAGTTTCTAATAGCCCACAAATGCCTCATTAAGGTTGATAATAGGTACTCTCATATGGTCACGCGTTTATAGCTGCTGACAGAGGAGTCCTTTTAACGACCTTCTTGTACTGTGGGTGTTGATTATAAAGTTGAGAGTATGAAAAACGAATGTCCGGAATCCTGATGGAACAAATGGCATTTGAATCTAGTCTTGGTCTCAGTGGCTATCATAAGACTACATCTTCTAAAGTTGCTCCACCGTCTTACGGACTAGACATCGGGGTTAAAGACTCTCGAATTGGACCCCTTAGAAAACAACCTGCTTCTATTTGGCCACCCAATCAGTATATCAGTCCATACAAAAATTCAGTGTTTTGTTGTGGCGTATACATATAAGTTGATAAAATATATTGAAGGAAGTTTGAATTAAGACTATTTGTGTCTAGAAACATTAGGACTACAATACATAACTAACTAGCTGTAACACTGAAATGATTCATTAATGAACTGTAAGTAGTTCTCTACTAATTGGGCTATAATCGAATAATAAATTGTCTCTTCACATATTCCTACATCTGTATATCACATACACATTGAATAGATTATTTTCAACAACAACAAAAAAAATACAGCATACTAATAAGATCGAAGGTCCTGGGTTCGAATCCTGCGAGGTGCAGGAGTCATGGATGCGCACTGTTGATGAGTCGCATACCAGGACGAAACGGCCGTCTATCAGTACATCCAAGTTTCTAATAGTGGTGTCTAACAATGATTGATTGATGATTTCAAATGTGTAATAATTTTATGTTTACAATAATTGTCTCATACTTGTTACAAATAAAATAAACACAAGAGTTTTTTTCGATCAATTATAATATAAATCTTAAATCCTGTTTATTTTCTTGTTTTTAGAATATTTTATAAATATTATGGCGATATTTGAGAATAAATAATATTAACATGTCAATAAATTGACATGTTAATCTAACGAGGGAACATTATGCATATTAGAAAATTATACTTACAAATAAACTCTATCATACCCATAAATTAAGATGAGCATTAAATGTTCAACAATTCATGATTTATTAAGAAAGAGTTTATTATTACGAGAGATATGTAAAATATGAAGAGAAATAAAGAATGTCTTTATTTTTTTCAAAACAATGAAGGCAATAAATACTACTGATAATAAAATGACCTTATTTATTTTGTAAAAGTAATTGTGCATTATTATTAATAGAAGGAATAATAATGTGAAAAAACTATAAAATACTATAATTAACACAAAAAAAAGTTATTTACAAAGTTACATTGTGTGTAGAGAATAAAAATATCACATTCATGATTTTGGATGCAATTTACTATGATATGATATGATATGATATGAAGTAGTAGTTTGTTTTTCTCAATCTCTATCTCTCTATGTTGTCACTAATCTTTGTTCTATGTACAATTTATTCGTTGGCATTAAATTAACTCATAAAAACGTCCAGATTTTAAATCATAATAACAATTCAAGATTGGATCATAAATTAATTCGATTAAATCATGATTTGAATTTAAATCAAATGATTTGTTAGAATTATTATTATTATTAGCAGTAGTAGTAGTAGTAGTAGTAATAGTAGTATTATTGAGCACTCCATTGTTAACTAATCCAGTATTTTGCAAATCCATTTGACACACATTAGACATATGTTGTACTAGTTGAGCTGATTGAGGCAAAGATGATGGAATACTTTCATAGATTGGATATGATATACTTTCGTTAGATGAACTAAGAGGAGAGTGTATCATAAAAGGATGTTCAGTAAAAAGTTGGGAAAACCAAAAAACACACCAAAATGTGAGAATTCCAGTCAATATAATTAATTCACTACTGTATATTTAAAGAATGGAATTAATGTATTGTGTAGAATTTGAATCGCATTTCTTTAAATATGAGAACAAGTGCTACCACTCAAATGTCTGTAAATCAATGTTATGCACACGAATGGGATTGAACTCAGGACTTTAAGGTTTGGTGGTGAGCATGATACACCTAGAACATTCAGTCAAGATCCATTGGTTCATGTTTTAAAAAAATAATTAGTCCTTTTTACAAATTTAGATAGAATAGTGAGAAGAAATGTGATGTATTTGCGTTATACGTTAATTTTCTTTCTCCTTTATTGACAGTTATCACCTTATGTCTAATTGAACTTTTATTTAATCTTCATATAAAATGCTTTGACAAGTGAATATGTGCGACCGAATTGTTCGCAATGTATTGCGTAAATACATCACATTTTTCAGATCAATTACGTCTTCTCACTATTCTATCAAAAGACCATATTTTTATCTTCAGCCAGCATATGATGTAGTATGATGGCTTCTCTCAGTAATATTTTCTACCTCTGGTTACTAGAAGGACATAGATGGATAAAAGCATGACTGAGTTAGCAGCGCGCTGATTGGCTTATTCCTATCCAATCAACGCTGGTCGATACTTGGAGAGCATGCTAGAAGTTTCTCATATTGTTAGCTGCACGCTGATTGGCTAAATCTTATCTAATCAGCGTCAGTCGATATTTGGAGTACATACCAGAAGCTTCTGATGTAAAAACTATTAAGATACTAATATTGTTCCTATTTCGCCTTTGCTTCGGCTTCTTACTTCCATTTAACCTTGCTATTTGGAATATAATCTCTTCCCTGTTCAAACATGTTCTGATTTGGGAACTTGTCGAGTGTATTGTTGTCAGAGAATACTAAGCAATAGGAATAGATGAGTTTTCTAAGAGAGAATTATAACACTGGTCAATTAATATAATATCCGATTAGTAAAGTATATTTCTCATAAAGATTGGTTAGATATCAGACATTTTAGTGATCCTTAATGCTGAGTAAACTACAATTGGCTTTCATAAAAAATATCAGTGACAATATTAATTTGGAAGTTGAATTATTTCTCAAATCTTTTCAAGAGTAAAATTTTGTTACTTAAGAATAAGACTAAGTGAAAAATGTGTAGTAAATTTTGGTTTCTTTTGATTCATTGTGTTGTTCTTGTTTAAAGCGTTTGTTAATTTGGAATTTTCATTCAGAGAGAGAGAGAGTTTAACCAAGATTTGGAATCAGTTCATAAATTCATGGACTATGGAACTGAGACATGTTGGATAAGTGAAAACTACCTAGTTTACATTTGCGTAACAATCACGATCAATGGTTGGAAAGTGTGTGATATGACTTTAGAATCGATTATATATTAGCACAGATGCATTCCATTCGTCAATTTCTGTAACATTTCGTATCTCACTATTCATCTATGCGTATCTCTTCATTTCGTGTTCTTTTTTTCAAGTGTTTAGTCTCCTTTCACATGATTATCACTACAACATATAGCTCAAATCTTCCGCTTACTGACAACTTAACCTAGATTATAATTGGCTAGAATATGATTTCACCTAACTTAATTCAATTAACCAGGGAGTGTAAATGTAATCTTGATACTAGGTGATTATTATTATTATTAGTACTAGTATTACTATGAGTTATATAGCCAATAATATTAATTAATATCACATTTCACTACCGATACTATTCAACCTACAGTTCCCATTATGTAGTAGTCCATTGCCGAAATCATCAACCTGTGTCACAAATCTCAAACACAGAATTAGTTGAAGAATCCCGCGGTCAGCATCCTATACTGCATGAGGAAGTAACAGGAATTAGGCAAGTAAGTAAGCATTCATTTAAAAAAACAAACAACTTACTTTGCTGTTTCAGTACCCCAATGACTAGATAATTCAAAACCTGTAATTGATTTTGACAAATCTTCTGTACTATGTGTACGTTGATAAACTAATGATGATGCACGAGAAGGTGTGTGTATAACAGGATAATTTTCATTTTTCAAAGTGATATCATCATTTTCTTGATGACAAGCGTTTGTTTCTGAATTTGGTGATAATGAATGATTCATATCGCATAATTGTAAGTGATGATCACATTTCTCATGAGCTAAATATTGATTATTATTATTATTATTATGTTCAGAGCGTTGATTCCGATGATGCTGATGATGACGTGCTAAATGATAACGTAAATAAATCAATGATCCTAAACCATCAGTTGTAGTGGTGGTATCCTCATCATCAACACCGGAATTGTGCTCATCATTATCACTGAAACTGGCATTTAATAATTGTTTACGAAATGCAATGACAAGTTCACATTGTTCATTTTCAGTATTATTTAACATATTCTTTCTCAGTTGATTGAATGGTGGACCTAAAGTATAAATTTAAAAAAAAACTAGTTTATCAGACAGTTTCTTTTAGATAGTAGATAGCAGTGAATGGAAAACTGTTAGGATATTCATCCAATATCCTAAAAGAAATATTGGTCAATTCCTACTGGTCAATTTTATGGTCGTCCTAGATATCAATGTCACGTGCTACAATGTTGTTTCTTATTGGCTGTCCTGACTATCACTGTCAATTCAAATGTTGCTTCCTATTGGTCGTCTTGAATGTCAATGTCACAGACTTCGATGCTGTTTCTTATTCGACCAAAATGTATAAATACGCATTATTTGTAACATTTTATCACCAGGACCAGGACCCGGATCCCTAGTCCAGGGTACTGATTCCCTTCTGGACTCGGACCTCGTACTTTCTGGACGCTTGCAGAATACAGGTTCTAATTCATATCAAGACTTCTTATTTTTACTCAATATGGGGGTTGAGATAATCGGATTTGAGTAGCATGTCGTGTCGCCGGATCCTCGATCCTCGCTCTCGTTTTCCGACTAGGTAAACTCGTAATAGTTCAAGTATATCAAGTTGACGTGTTTACCTGCAGGCGTAACAAAAACCATGATTTCTGGATAGGAAAATACATATCTGAAACAGTTTATATGACTACAACGAAAATAGCATTTAACACACTGTATGAGAATTAGTCATATCTTATTCTTAGGTTTGTGGAATCTTCAGTGAATAGAAAATTCACACTTCTCATAAGTGTTCTTGTTTTGAATCTTCTTTGGTAATCTTTAATGCCAAATGATTGATTTTTTTAGTAGTGACTAATGTTACTTTTGTCTGATTTTTTAGTTCCGAGTAAAATTTAATCGACCAAACTGTAATGTGGCTACTATTCGAAGTGACTTGACATCACATGCAACATAGTGAGATGTTGGGCAAATGGAATCAGACGATTGGAAGTTTTACACTTAGATTTCGCGCCACTCAAAATTTTCAACAATGAAGTGGTATAGTCTTGAGGAAACATGTCTTTTCTGACAGATCCAATCTTTCATCACTTAGCTTCAAGTCTAAGACGTCATTACTCAGCTGTTCAGACCTTGACTGATCTGTAACACTAAGATATTAATAACTGACTAGTAATTGATATAACGAGGGTTTGTTTATTGATTGTATCCTCTGTTATCTGTAGCTACTAAATGAGTGATCGAGTTTCTATTACCAACGAATTAGATATCCGGTCAATACGCTACATATAAACTAAAAACACAATTCACGACCAAAATAGAGAACCAGAGTAAGTGATAGACAATCTTTTATTCCACACAGTTACAAGCATTCTCATAGCGAGTCAGGAGTAGAAATCAATAAGAGGAATGAAATCACCTATTTTATTGTCAGTAGGCTGTGACTGTTTAGGGATACTACCCCTAACTCAGGTCTCATATGGTCGAAAAATGAAAATTTCGGAAACGCGAAAAAATCATTGCCCGACATGAGACAAAGGGTAATAAAAGTGTTTGGGCCTATTTGCATCAAGCTGGGCTGCCTCTTCTACTATCCTACGCCATATATGTGTACATCATATGCTATACTGCTATATAGAGCTGAAGGTCTCCTATGAGACTAGAGGTTCGCTGTGAATATTGTGGATGGCTTGGCTTTGCTTTGGTAAGCATTGTTAACAGTCCATATACAAAATTGGTTAGCAGGGTGACCGATTTCATTGATATAGGTGGTTGTTTTGCGACATTCCCGAGGGCCATTGTCATCGGGGTGCTGTATTACATATCACCATTGCTAATAATAATGAGTTTGACAGTCATGTAAGCGGGATGGGTCGAAATGGCCTGTTCATGCGGTGCATATTGATTGACGCGATCATTGATCGGAAATATATATACCATTGTGTGTATATGAAATGGTGTGAATAGTCCACCAGGGTATCAGGTGCCTGTGTGGTTGCACCACAGGATTGAGCCGAACTGTTCATGTAGTAATGGTAAAACGTGTCCAGTCTCTTTGGTTCTCCTGAAAACCAATGTAAAATTGCCCTAGACAATACAGGGTAAATTTATATAATTGTGAACAGTAGGCTGTGACTGTTTGTTCACACTCAATGAGAAATCACATTTTCCTCTTACTATCACACTGTAACTGAATACTCGGATCATTTTACTTTACATCTTTCAGATTTTCATTTTGTATATGTTTGACTTTTTGTTTCATTAATCTTGGTTAGTTTTAAGTTTGTTTGCCTGATCAAAATATTTGATATGTATTGTGCAATTAAATTACATCACTCAGATTAATTTAGTCCTCTATCCACACTATTTAAATCGAATAATCTTCTAAGAAAGCGGAAAGCTGATCAACTTTTTTTACATGGATCACTGTGGAAGCGGTGGAAGTGGATAGGACACACACTGCACAAAGCGCCCAACTACGTCAAAGGCAAGCCGTCACTTAAAACCCCCAAGGACAAAGGAAAAGAGGAAAGCCAAGAAACAGAGAAAGACATGAAAAGAATGAATAAAAATTGGACAGAACTGGAAAGGAAAGCCCAGGACAGAGTAGGTTAGAAATTACAGGTAGGCGGCCTATGCTCCATTGGAGGGCGACAGGCGAAGAAAGTAAACTCATATCTAGTTAAAATTAGTTATTCCTTCTCGCTATCTTCAAATTAAATAATCGCCTGAAAATATAACATACTAGATAACAACTTAATAATCGATCAAAAAAACGTTCAAGTGAACCCTCAAACGTTCTTAATTCAATCTGTGGCAAAATTGTGATAATGTGCACTTCTGAGGAGTCCTATACTAGGACAAAACGATTGCCCAATACTCTCCTAGTTTTTAGTGATTCATCAATTTATTTCAGTCATTAATATGAATTTTCATCGATAACTACTAACTGTTGTTCATGTTACTGGTTTTCAATCATACGTGTCTCCAAAGCATTGCTCGTGTATCATGGGACAACCGAGTAAGCAATACTGTTGTTATAAAACAGGTGCTAGGTAAGGATGGCAGGTCAATAGATGAAGTGTTGAAACTTCATCAGTTGAGGTAGTTGGGACATGTGTTGCGTATGCCTAAACACCGACTGCCTCGTCGAGTTATGTTTTGCGGTGTAGGAATATGTTGGACGAAAGCTAAAGGCGGCCAGAACAAAACATAGAAGAAATCCATGGAGTCACTGACAAGTGAACTGAGTCATGTCGGTAGGTGTCGACTACCTGGTTGGGGTCCGCGAGATGATAGTAATCGATGGTTAGAGACCCTGAATAACATGGCTAAAACCGTTTGCGATAGCTCAGGTGCATTCATTCTCTGTGTTTTCTCGAATCCTAACCTAAATTCCTCATCACATCTATCCTTCTCTTTCTAAATTTACCTCACCGAATCATACTTCTTGAATAATATCTTCAAACTTAATCTCTCCGATTACTTCTAATACTTTTACTACCTCTATTACTATGGGATTTGAATTGACAATTACATTTCTGCGCTAATGTAGTATGTCAACTTGAGCTGACGTACTTACGTACGAAGTTCTATGTTGCTGTCAATGATTGATGATGATGTTCATGCGATTTTAACTTCTAATAACTAACACTTATCTACTTATTCATTAAAACAAAAATGAAATCATTGATCAAAAATCAATACACAACATTTATATCATAAATGATAAAAGACAAACAAAAAATAATATATGATAACGCATTCATACTTTGTGATAGTACTGGTATTGATTTGATTAAATCACAATGTGAACATTTCACATTTCTCATTGGCGTCATAGTTGTTTCGTTTAATAATCTCTTATTACCAGTATCATTATTATGATTATGATTATTGATGATCTCTTGTTGTTTGGATGATGACAATGCTGTTGATGATGGCAAAAAGTGTAAATCCGATTCAATCAGTTCACTACCAATTACTGCTTGTTTAAGACTAGCTAAAAGTGATTCTTCAAAACTAGCTGATAAATCATCTGATTGTTTATAGTCAGCTAGATCAATCGGTGGTAATGTATACAATGATTGAATATTATCACGACTGCTATTATTATTATTATTATTATTATTATTATTTGCATTAATGATATTCGATTTTTTAGATGAATTGATATTTCCCATTAGATTTTGATTTAATTCTTTGATAGGATGATTTTTTAATAAAGAAGTATCATTATTGAAATGATATGATGTAGGTGCCTAGTAAAAATAAGAATTAAACGAAAGTATTCTTTGAGGATATGATTTTTTTTTAGAAATGAAGTGACTTTTATATTAGTGAATTATTTCAGTTCAATAAATCGATAATAAAATAACACTACTATATTAGCATTACGGGGTTGTGAAGATTGTTAAGTTACACATTTTTTTGAAACCATGAATCGATCAATGGTAGACCGCCATTAGAAACCTGGAAGCACTGGACGGACGTTTCGTCCTGGTATGGGACTCTCGTGATCACTAGTGACTAGCTTCGTGAAGAATCTTCTCCGAGTTCTAGTGTGAAGACGTGACCAGTGAAGTTCAGCCTGTTCGGGTGTAGACAGTGTCTACCGAAGACTGTGTATGAGGTTGCGCAACTCCATGAATTTGATCAAGTCAGACATTAACGCAATGGAACACCGGCTCAGTGGTCTAACGGTTAGGGCGTTCGCACACAATACCGAAGGTCCTGGGTTCGAATCCTGCGGGGTGCAGGAGTCGTGGATGCGCACTGCTGAGGAGTCCCATACTAGGACGAAATGGTCGTCCAGTGGTTCCAGGTTTCTGATGGTGCTCTAACATTAATCGATCCATGGTTTCAAAAAGCGTTTTACTATATTAGTATAATTCATGGTGGAAAACTATCATCCACAGGATACTGATGATCCTTTGGTCAGATATTATCAGTGACAACCTATTGTAGGATAGAACAAATCAGATTCCAGCTGAGGAAGAAACTAGGAAACGTCGCTGGTGGTGGATAGAGTACACATTGAGGAAATTACCCAACTGCGTTGCAACATAAGCCCTGACCTGGAATCCTCAAGGTCAAAAGGAAAGAGGAAGACTAGAGGACACATTATGTCGACAATTGAAGACAGACACAAAAAGCATGAAAAGAGATTTGGTGGAACTGGAAAGGAAGCCACAGGACAGAGTAGGTTTTAGAATGCTGGTCGGAGGCCATGCTGTTTTGGCGTCAATAATATTATTACTATTTTTGTGAAGCAGTAGAATAATTGTTAAAGAACTTGGTTGTACACAATTGTGTTAATTAGAGATTAGACAACCAAAGAACTTTACACATATACATATATATTTCTATATTGGAATCATGAAGTAATCATTGCTAGATCACCGTTAGAAACCTGGAAGAACTGGATGGTCGTTTCGTCCTAGTATGGGACTTTTCAGCACAATTCACGATTCCAATATAAAACAACATTCTCCATAACTCTATAATGAAATATATATATATATATATATATATATATTTCTATAGTGGATAATGGATTCCTTTGAAATTGCAAAAACATCTTACTGATGATACGCATCCAGTCAAGAATCTAAGTAAAAAGTTCCCGGCTGATTATTTCACTCAAAAATATAGTCATTGAATATTCTTGGAGGATAAATGTTAAAACAAATTTATTACTTAAAAAAATACTATCTAGGAAATGGTGTTCAGACAAACAGCATAAATGTGTATCAAAGGTATTCCCTACTTTGGCGACCATTTGAATTAATGATGTGTATCGAACAGAAAAGAATAATATACAATTAACTAGTAAGCGAATATATCGTTTTATAAAGCATTTGTCAACGGTTAGGACTAAATGTGAAATGTTGCATATTCCCGAATTTCTAGTGAAAAGTTGTGACCAGTGGAGTTCAACCCTACCGATTGTAGGTAGTTACCTACCAAACACAATGGGTGAGGTTGAGCAATACCCATTGGATTGGTTCAAGATAGACATAAACAGTGTTGGACGCTAGCTCAGTGGTCTAGAGTTCAAACGTTCACACACGAGACGGAAAGTTCTGTGTTCGATTCCTGGGGGCATGAGTACTGGATGCACACTACTGACTAGTCCCATACCAGGACTAAAGTGGCCGTCCAGTGTTTTTAGGATTTCACTGATGGTCTAAGTTTGATCGATTCATGATTTTAATGGAAAGAATATCTCGTTTTTAACAACTTATGGATTTTTTTTTCATATTTCATAGTTTAAAATAAACATTTCTTAAGTAACTAGGTAATGAAACTCTATAATCACATAAAGTATAATTTAAATAGATTTCGAATGTTCATGCTGTTCGTCCAAATTTCATGAATGAGAATCCTAAGATTCACTCCACACTACATTAGCTACAGCTTTTTAAGTAACAAATAAAGTAGTTTGAAACCTTATTCTTTCTACTTCAGTTTGGTTAAAATGAATAATTAAACCGATACGTTGTTAATGGTTCAAAAGTTCTATGAAATCACGGTGATTGCTGAGAGGCTATTGATACCAGTCCAACTGATAAATAGGACACTGAAATTAAAATTTTCACGTATTATATATTTTAAGATAAATCATATTTGTCAAATGAAATATACTTGAATTCTGAGCTTTACTCAACTATTCTGTATTACCTAAATCAAGTTTATATGTCCATTAAGTTTTGGTTCCCGCGCTCTTCAAAAGTATTCACATATATTGAGCTTATAAATGAACAATTTTAATTCGTCCGTATTATGACTTTATAGTCTACATTTTAACTTAGGTCATTCATGATATATCCAAAATGAAGTTGCTTCATTTCTAAGTTGTAGGTAGCGGATATATATATATATATATATATATATATATATATATATATCGGTTATAAAAGTTTAAATCACTCTGCAACTTACCATAATCATTTTAAATTTTAAATCTGTATCAGTTAATTCTTTTAATGAATGATGATCTATACTAATACGTTGTAAATAAGAACTTTTTGAACAAATCAATGCCTTTTTATGCTTTAATGATTCATTATGGTCTTTCATCGATGATTGTTGTATAAAGAAACTTGGTGCAGGTTGAGGTAAACTATTAAATAAATATAAACTGCCTAAACGAATAGACTGGTAAGGTTTTTCCGCTTCTGTTTTTACTTGTACATTATTCATCATTTCGTATTGATTTGTTGAATTGTTTGTAGTATTCATTAAACGATTAGAAATAGCATCTGCACTAAAACTTCTTGAACTGTAAAATAGAAAGTTAGAAATGAAATAGTACAGAACAGATTAAAATCTTCATTATTAATCAACAGAGTTTAATTTTAACAATCATAATACCTAGATGACATGTTTATTATTATTGATGACGAAAATAGCGACCATAGTACCTACCATCCTACGGAAATAAGGTTAATGTATTCAGTCGATTAGATTTTATGCTAGAATTGAATTTGAATTCAATAATTTATTTCCACGATATTTTACCGGGAAGAAGACTAGAAAACTTTCAAAAAAGAAATAGGACATGGAGTCTATTAGGAATTTCAAAAGTTAGGTTCTATGGAGTAGAAACAGAGACTTAATACATCATCTGTACCAGCTGGGATAGAAAAAACATTCATAGAGAACTGCTTTCCTCCCAAAATAAATCAACAGTAACTTCAAGTCATGGTTTTAAATGTAGAGACACATATATAATGTGTGCATTAACTCTTAACTTCTCAGAGATCCTAAAATATCGATTGCGCAGATCGCTGAAAAAGAATTTTTGTTGAGATGAGATAGGGATTTTCTTCCTTAGTTGGTACCTGAACCGACAATATATCAAAAACGAAACCTACAATTTTGGGTAATTATAATCTTTAGCTATCGGTTTATTTGTTGTTTTGGAGCATAATACAGTCAATACACAATAAATACTCTTCTCAAACACAGGTTAGAATACTATCTCCTATAGTTATCTAAAGTTAGATATGATTTAGTTAGCAGCTTCAAGCTTCAAAGTTTTAATCAAATTTGATCATCAATCCAATGAAAATCACTACTCAAATTATCCGTCAAGTTAAATGAACTAACTTTGACTCAAACATACAAGGACAATAGACACTTGAGTCATTCAAAGTTTACTTCTGTTCTCAGATTTAACAAGTTTAATCACTTATTCTTTTATGATCCTGAATCCTATTCTTAATTTATAAATAACTATTATATTTTTTTGAATGGAAAATTATCCTCTACCGACCTGGCACTTCTATCTCACACGCAACAACAAATGCAAGAGAAGACGACCAGTGTAGCCGCAGTCTCTGCAGCAGTAGGTCTCAACATACATAAAGGAAAAAGCGAAATTCTCCGATGCAACACAACATGCGCCAACCAAATCACTCTTGATGGAGATGCCTTGAAGGACGTTAACACCTTTACATATCTGGGCACCATCATCGACAATCATGGTGGATCCGACGCAGATGTGAGGGCGCGGATCGGCAAAGCAAAGAAAGCATTTCTACAATTGAATATCTGGAACTCCAAACAACTTTCAAGCAAAACCAAAGTCAGGGTTTTCAATACAAATGTGAAGACAGTTCTACTGTATGGAGCGGAAACATGGAGAACTACCAAAGCCATCATCCAGAAGATACAAGTGTTTATTAACAGTTGTCTACGCAAAATACTTCGGATTCGTTGGCCAGACACCATCAGCAACAACGAACTGTGGGAGAGAACAAACCAGATTCCAGTGGAGGAAGAAATCAGGAAGAAGCGGTGGAAGTGGATAGGAAACACATTGTGGAAAGCACCTAACTGCGTCACAAGACAAGCCCTCACATGGAACCCTCAAGGCAAAAGGAAAAGAGGAAGGCCAAAGAACACACTACGCCGAGAAATAGACAAAGATATGATAGGAATGAACAAACATTGGACAGAACTGGAGAAGGAAGCCCAGGACAGAGTTGGTTGGAGAAAACTGGTGGGCGGCCTATGTTCCATCGGGGGTAACAGGCGTAAGTAAGTAAGTAAGTTTCTTTTTAAAATGTGATTTCCACTTAATAGCTCCTCGTTAAAATGTGACTGTTACATAACTTCTACTTGAAATATAAAACGCCAATAAAATTATGATTCATTGGATAGTAGAAAATGCATCTAAAATGTTGCTGTTCCTGAATGTGATAGTTTAAAAGAATGAGATGGCAATTTATCTTCATGTGCATACATCATGCTACTGATAACTTATGAAAGTAGTTCGAATCACATATTGGGTATATACTTCAAAAATCGCACTGACGAGCATCATAAAAGCTCCTTGAGGAATAAAAATAGAGGATAATTAAAAATTCATTTTGCATCAACTTTAAAAAATGTGAATGATAAGGTTATACTGATAAAAATAAACATAGTATAAAATATAATACAAATAGGCAAATAGCATGAAGCTAAACTAATGAATGAGGCCTCGTCTTCCCAAAATTAGCACACTGCTGCAAATTGAGTCTCCTTATAACTAAGAATCAACAGTCTCATACGTAATTTAACCTAATGACATCAAATTGCGTAATAATCGCAATAACTTGAGGTTACCATTGAGTGTTCAGTTCGTCTAGTTTATTTACTGTCATGGTCTGAAAGTGATCAATGAAGTTATACTAAAGCTACCTTGATTCAGAATCATCATACACATTAAATATAGGCTTACTATAATTCCACTCAATCAAGTAGATTTTTAGAAATCATTTATTTCTGCACGAATTAACAGTATATAAACTTGAACCGAAACACAACTGCATCATGTTGGCTCATATTCATAAGCCTATTGAAAAATTATGAACTCCATGATCTTCGATATTTACTTCTAGTTGTATTAGGTTTTTTTAAATATTCAAATATAACAGAAAAGTGATGATCCTATAGATGATCAGATGAACTTGTTGAAAACAAAAATTCATTAAACAACCTGCTTATCATTTGATACTTGCATGGCTGATTTTCGAAAATTGAGAACAGGATGATTGGAGAGACTCAAAAAGGCATGGAACAAATATTTAAATACATTAATTTTCAACTATTTTAATTTTAATTTATAGTTTCTAAAAAATCAAGTCCTTGAAAGCCATAGAAATTTGTAAGCTGTTCCCTCGATATTCGCAAAGTTTGTTATTTTTCACAGATATTATTTTACTATATATAAGTAGAAAGTAAATTTTATGAACATTAAAGATTCCCATTGTGAAAATTAGAACAACACATATAAACGAACAATATTGTTTTCGATTAGATCGTCATCAAGCTTTACTCCAATATACATGAATATTTTTATGAAAATGTTAAACCAATCAAGGCAATTTGAGTGATAATCACAATGAAATGAAAAAGTCAAAAGTACAAGTGGATAGTAGGAAGATAGGTGAACAGATAGTAGTAGGAAAATTTGTAAAATATGATAACTAAAGTAGGTCAAGGGTGGATGAATAGAATTCAAATAATCATCAAAAAACATCAAAAACATTACGTAATAAGCAAATGTGTAAAAATAAAAAATGTAATTTCAATCGTTAGTTACGTCATATCCGGCCACGGAAGAGATAGGGGAGTCACGAATTCCTTCTGAAACACATAAACTGGGGTTGAATGTACGTATTCCTATGGCTTCTGCTATATGTAGGAGACGGGATTGAACTCCGTTGGGAAATGATGGAGGTATACAATAGATCACCTTGAAAAGATCTACACTTATCCACAATGTGACCACTATCTATCAGGTGTGCTAAGATAGAACTGCGTATTGTTTTTGACTAACCCTTCGTAAACCATACTGGGAGATGTTCACTCATTCGTTGTGTAAGTTGCCTGGAAGTACGCCCGATATAGCTATCTCCACAGGAGCAGCTGAATTTGTAAATGCACATAGAGGAGGCCAACTCAGGTAACTTATCCTTCGTTTGGGTGGACATCGCTGGTCGACTGCAGAATATCAATGCAAGTTTGGCAGCGTTGAATGTTCTATTAATTACTCTTATTAATCTGTCCTGCAGAGTATCGCAGGCAACATCTCCGTTGAATTGTAACTTCATAAATAAAGGCTTCTTTTGGGCGGTCGAAACCACCGACTTCTTTTTTACGGCAAACATATACTTCTTTATGAATGCGCTGGGATAACCAATCTCGGTTAGTGAGCCGTTGATGAATTCCAGCTCCTGACTTAAAGTATCCACTAAACATATCATATTTGCTCTGTTGTTGAGACATCTAACCAAATTTCTTTTGCAGCGGATAGGTGTGTAACTACAAAAGTGAGTGTATTGGCAAGCACTGGGATTTTTTCTATACACGCTATGTGATATTCTTCTTCACCAGTGAACGTGATTGCCGGGTGTACACTGTTGAATTGTTCTAAGAGTTATGATAAAAAAAAATGACTTTCCTTGACATCACACTAAGTAGGCGAAATGATGGTTCACTAAGTAGAAGCGTGTATAGAAAAAATCCCAGTGCTTGCCAATACACTCACTTTTGTAGTTTCACACCTATCCGCTGCAAAAGAAATTTGGTTAGATGTCTCACTAACAGAGCAAATATGATATGTTTAGTGGATACTTTAAGTCAGGAGCTGGAATTCATCAACGGCTCACTAACCGAGATTGGTTATCCCAGCGCATTCATAAAGAAGTATATGTTTGCCGTAAAAAAGAAGTCGGTGGTTTCGACCGCCCAAAAGAAGCCTTTATTTATGAAGTTACAATTCAACGGAGATGTTGCCTGCGATACTCTGCAGGACAGATTAATAAGAGTAATTAATAGAACATTCAACGCTGCCAAACTTGCATTGATATTCTGCAGTCGACCAGCGATGTCCACCCAAACGAAGGATAAGTTACCTGAGTTGGCCTCCTCTATGTGCATTTACAAATTCAGCTGCTCCTGTGGAGATAGCTATATCGGGCGTACTTCCAGGCAACTTACACAACGAATGAGTGAACATCTCCCAACATGGTTTACGAAGGGTTAGTCAAAAACAATACGCAGTTCTATCTTAGCACACCTGGTAGATAGTGGTCACATTGTAGATAAATCTAGATCTTTTCGGGTGATCTATCGTATACCTCCATCATTTCCCAACGGAGTTCGATCCCATCTCCTACACATTGCAGAAGCCATAGGAATACGTACATTCAACCCTAATTTATGTGTTCAGAAGGAATTCGTGACTCCCCTATCTCTTCCGTGGCCGGATATGACGTAACTAACGATTGAAATTACATTTTTTATTTTTACACATTTGCTTATTACGTAATGTTTTTGATGTTTTTTGATGATTATTTGAATTCTATTCATCCACCTTTGACCTACTTTAGTTATCATATTTTATAAATTTTCCTACTACTATCTGTTCACCTATCTTCCTACTATCCACTTGTACTTTTGCCTTTTTCATTTCATTGTGATTATCACTCAAATTGCCTTGATTGGTTTAACATTTTCATAAAAATACTCATGTATATTAGAGTAAAGCTTGATGACGATCTAATCGAAAACAATATTGCTCGCTTATGTGTGTTGTTCTGAATAAATTTCTTATAAAGAAAAATGATGTCAAGGCTTGACAATGGACTCCAATGCAGATTATTGATACTTTATAGTTTACATTTTAGAATACGTTAGGTCTAAAAATAACAGTAAATTTTTAAAAGTTAAAAAATTATGAAATCGGAATTGATTTTTTCAAACAATACTCACTCTTTGGAAACATCTGAATCAGTAGGTATTTTATTAAAACTTGTAGAACTCTGTTCATTAACACAAACCTTGTTAATTTGCATAAGCATTCGTTTCTTATCAGGGTTTCGTCCCGCTGAAATACATTTCTCACCTTCTAATGTTGAGGACTGAGATGTTTTCGTTAATGATTGGTCACTAGATCTAGTAAGCTGTGGTATCTGAAATATACATAAGAACATGGTAATACGACAGTTTCAGGATGTAAATCAACATAATATTATTTCAAATAGTTCGAACTTCCAGGAGTAAAGGTACTGTGAAAAACATATATCCGTGACTATATGCATTTATCAGACTTTTTTAATCTATTCCTACTAACTTGATGGTGATTAATACAATTGACGTGAGTAAATGATATTTATCAAATTAGTGGAATAGTTTTATAGAATTGTCAAACTTTATTTTTATCTAAAAGGAATTTCGTCGATAATGTTATCGGTAAAACGCTCGAAATAGAAAAAGAGCGGAACGTTTCCTTTTTAACAGTATTCATTTATAGCATATGGTTATGAATTAAGTGTAGCTTACAAAGGTTTTATGATAAACTGAATCAAATTTATGACGTATATCTATTCAGGCGATAGTTTTACCATGATTTATAGACTTATTATGGTAGTATCGACGTAATATTCAAAGTAAACAGTCCGAATCAATACCATAACTATTAATATTAGTGAAATGAAGAGGTTACTTTGTGATTAAAGCATTTGATTTACAAACATCGAAGCACGCACTATCTGTTCTGGTTACCAAAATAAATAGGCAGTAGATTATCTAAAAGATTTGTTAAGTGGTAAGAATTCGATGTACTGAATGAGCATAAATATTTTTTAAGCTGCAATAGGTAGGCATTTAAATTGAAGAGTTTTAGAGCAGAGCTGATGCAGCTTAGAAGGATGGAGAATGTGGTCTTGCCTTTCTTCAAATAACATTATTTTACAATTAATAAGAATTATGCTGAGAACATCAAACCTTTAAAAGATCCTTTGAATTTTCTGTTTCTTGCGCATTTATCAGTTCTGTTCTTTTCCATTCATTCAGACGAATTTTCGGAACATTTAAAACCTTATTATAATCAGAAAAGCAAGTATTAATTTAACAATCACAACGACAAACGCGCAAATATCTTGTTAAAATTATTAAGCAAAATGAAGACAGATAAATGACGGTGTTGAAGTAAAAGGTTGGTTTTATGAATAATTTGATATTAGTTCGCTCAGTAATCGAATTAAAAAGAGCATAACTTTATGAATGGACATTCAGCCTTTATATAAACGCTTACTAAATGAGCTCTTCTAATAGTTTTCATGGGTTTTTTCCATAATTTGCACAAACTCTTCTGAAACATGGTATGGTAAGTCTGAGGAAATACTCGACTATAAACTGTTAGAAAATTTTGAGAAAATATGAAACCATCTGCAGATAGATTTGAAAACTCTCAAAAGAAACTACAACTATGTTAAGTGATTTCTGAAGTATTATACACTAATACACAAAAAGACAAATTTTAGCACATAATTAGTAGCATTCCTAATATCTATAAAGAATAGTCCTTATCTAAGCGCAAAATCTCATTGTGCTCAAAGTTAAAAAAAGGGTATGTGACTATATTATGGCTATATGACAGACTAGTAAAGTTGTTTCCTTTAGTGATTAATTTTTTTCCATTACGAACTATAGTTTAATGTTTCGTAATAGTTGGTACATAGTCGCTTACATTGTGCAAGGCTAATATAGCTTAAATTAAGTGTATTAAATTATATTATTTGGACGAGGAATGGAATGCATTATTTCTACAACATGAGTTTTAGCGACTACAATAAGTTAAAATATAAGTAAAACCAACTGGTCTTATATATAATTGATAAGAGAATCCATATTAAGAAAGACATTTATTTTTTTATTATTCAGTCTATAGAAACAAATAAAAGGATATTCACCAAAGTTCACCTGGGAAAGCTGCTAAATTGTTTGAATTAACACTAATATTAAGCCTAGCAATAAAACTTCAACTATTGTTAGAATTCTCTATATAAGACAAAAATCGAAAACATGTTTAATAAGATGACCTACAATAACGCAACCGTGAATCAGTAAAAATCTACAGAGCACTAAACAGATGTTTTATCCTAGTCTAGCAGTAACTAGTTGTAACTTTAGAACCAAGTATATATTTTTGTACCGAGCTTTCGATCACATTTTATTTGGGAAATTATAATAAAAGTTGTATAAATAGACTATTGTAGGTGCTGTTACGAGTAGGTGTCTTCGAAGCATTGCTCGTATACCGTGGGACAACCGAGTAAGTAATGCTGTCGTTAGGAAACGAGTACTAGGTAAGGATGGGAGAGCAATCGATGAAGTGGTGAAACTTCATCAGTTGAGGTGGTTGTGACATGTCTTGCGTATGCCGAACCACCGACTGCCTAGACGAGCTTTGTTTTGTGGTGTAGTAGATTGGAAGAAAGTTAGGGGCGGCCAGACCAAAACATGGCATAAATCCATGAAGTCATTAACTAGTGGACTGAGCCATGTCGGTAATTGTCGACTACCTGGTTGGGGTCCGCGAGATGATAATAATCGATGGTTAGAGACCTTGAATAACATGGCTCAAAATCGTTCGCAATGGCGCCGGTGCATTTATTCTTTGTGTTCTCTCAAATCCTAATCTTCTGGATTCTTCAACACCTCTAGTTTCGACTCTCTAAACTTTTCTCACCGAATCATACTTCTTGAATAGTATCTTCTAACCATAACCTCTCCGATTACTTCTAATTCCCTTACTACCTCTACTACTATTGGATTTGAATTGACAATTATATCTCTGTGCTGATATGGTATGGCAACATGAACTGATGTACTTACGTACCAAGTTCTACATTGCATCTGACTGACTGACTATTGTAGGTAATACATAACAGTTAAAAAGAAGTGATAACTAAGATATCGCACGACCTCATTAACTTTAAGGCGGAATCGACCACAAAATCTTAGATTACCTAGGTCCCAATATTTTAATGAATTTTCTGATAATATCCGTGCTTGGTGAAAATTAAACAACCAATATCACAAGTATGTACCTGGTATACAGATAATATTAATGATAAGAACGGGCTGACAAAGCATACAAAAAGCATACCTGGTAAATTACGGATGAATTGTTTTCTAAAGTTTGTGAATCTAAACAGAGAAACAGAAGAAACTATGCAGATGACGTCTCTAAAATATAAACTTAACAAACAGATGGAAAGAATACCTATCAAAAAATTTCGTAAAAACTGAAAAGGTGAATTATGATAGATTCTATAATGGGACAACGATTAGTGACGATTTTAAACTGCACACTAACTTTCAGACCTCAACAAATGATTTATTTATGAGAAAAAGCATCTATTTTTCACATATTGTCTTTAAAAGTGGAAGTGTATTTGAATTAGGTATTTCGCGTTTAATATACAAATGCTGACAAAACTCTAACACAGAATGGAGGAGTTCAGGGAACGAGACGAAAAATGTAACAGTAGGCAACATCACAAATTAAATATTTGTCAGTAAAACATTAGCAAGTCTTCTGAATTCAGAACAGATGAGTAACAAACAGGCAATAATATGTTCTAAATATCAGATCTATTTTCTTTCGCACGACACTATGGGGCTTAAATCGTACAACTTTATCTGAAGTGAATATTTAAACTCACTGAGTAGATTGCCCTGAAGCTCCAATTTAATTTTCAGATCTTTTACATCTACCAAGTCGTCCATAACAGATTTTATTTTAATTTTCATAATTTTATGCCATTTCATGCGGAATGAGAGCTCAAATTCTTCAAGTCATGTGTATGTCTCACGTAATTAATATCGTCTCCTTTGGAAGCCTTGTAGAGAAAAAACGACACATTCCTATTCTATGACTAAATTCTCTATCTATCGTGTACAGGAAATCTCAACTTCTTAATCACCACATGAGAGATTAAGTTAATTAAAGTATATAACAATCAAATGTAAATTTGAATACATCACTTTGTTACATAGAATAGAGTTATTCAATATGTTGGAACATGACTTACTGTTGAGAGCAGGAGAATCGCTAATGAAGGAAGAGGTAACTGAAAGCTCGGACAAATAGCAGAATGGATAAACAGTGATGCTTTGTAGCTTTCTAATGCCGCTTTGGACATTTAAATCGTGTATAAAAGAGAACAAATCGATCGTAAGATTTAACCACTGAACAGTGAACAAAAATTAGAAAATATACTGGTAACAAACCACTGATCTTAAGACCGAAGACAATGGAACCATCACTGTAAACCTTTTAATAGCTAAGGTCTGTATTTTTGTAGAAAATGTGAAGATAAATGGTCTTCTTTCGCTGGTAGAAAACCTGCTTCAGTATGAACACATTTAGTACAGTGCTTACTTTAAATCGAACTTAAAATCCTGTTCACTGGAAATGAATATACGGAATATCAGAAACCGATACAATACCCTTACTAAATATTGTTAAAACGAATTCGCATTACGTACAACACATTTTTTCATACATGAATTCCAAATGTGTCGCCTGTTGAGATGTAGATAATTTCATAACTTGAGTGCGAAGGAGATTTGATTTTACCTACTACATCAACCAAATTCGAAAACAAACCAAAGAAATGTTCGAAGCTCCGGATATATGACATCTGAAGAATGGATTTACTGAATTTGCTTCGAATAAAATTCGTTTCTGCATGACGACAACGAACTAGCATATCAAGCTGGCGAAATTCACGGCAGAATCAAACATTACACAGTCGTTACTAAATATATATCAAACAACGAAGTATATAATCGCGACAATAGCCAAAATAACTTCAGGCATTTAGCCTTCAGTGTCGTTTGAAACTCGACTGACCTTGAATGCAAACAGAAATATGTATTTTAGTGTTTAGAAACACATCTGACTCTACAGTCGAAATTAATTTCAGGATCTTATAGGTTTTAATCGCAGAGTCAAGTTATACTTAATAGAAATTTCATAATGAAGGTCCCTTATTTATTTCAGGAAGCTGTCGCATGTTCCTTGAAATACACCAAACACTCGAGAAACTTCCCTCTGTGGTTAATCAAGGAGGTTTGAACACTTCCTTATGGGATAGGAGGAATGCGCGAGAGATTTAGTTCATTAGGCAATGGTGATACAAAACTCCGAAATTATTGCGCCTCGGTCCTCCAAAAGTCTTAGAAGACTGTGTGAATAATGTCTAGTAAATAAGTCTACAAAATGACCAAAATGCCTATACTCGTACTACACCAACGGCCTGAGAGAAAGTATGGCATACGGACATTAACGGGAGACAGTAATACGGTACCTAAGGGAAGTCGATTATGTTCGAAGAACAACAACTAGGCAGAATTTCAAAGCTGCCGCATGACGATGGACTGACGAAACGAAATCTATTTCCTTTGTCTTATGGAAGGACCGGAAGTGACTTAATCATAGGTTTTAAATTACTTGATGATGGTTCTAGGATCTCAAAAACCTACGGATTTAGCCCTTCAGGACATTCTGGAAACTTTCACGAACTCAGGACAATTTAATCAGCTGATTGACGAATTACCCACTTAATCGTCAATTATAGTAACTTCTTGTGACTAAAGCCCCATCTGTGCACGCATCGAACGTATTATTTAATGAGTCAAAATCGTTAGGACTTTCAGTCTGCATCTGTTTCCAAAGTGATACTAAAATATTTTATATGTTGAAATGAATCCTTATGCACTGACCTATTTATGATACCACTTACATTTCGGGAAACTGAAGTAAACACATCAGGATCACGGGATTTACTGAATGCTTGTGTGAAGCAACCAGATAAAATAAGCACGTAAAATTATTTTAATTGGATCTTTTGTCAACAAATGATCAAATTATGGTCAGGAACGCCCATTTCCACACATCAGTAGGAAGTGGTGACCATGGCATGATTATGTTTAACACTGTCACAAATGAAATTCTCAGAGGGGTAGGAAAAGTGTTAGAGTGTGTATAAATGCGTCGGGCCCACAGCGCTCGTCCCGGTCTTTGGAAAATTTAATTAGTCCATTTTTTATAATTTATCAACGCGTCTTTCGACCCTGTCTATTATTCGCCCGTATTATTGGTAGCCTTTATTTGAGTGCATGCCTACTTTGCTTGTCACTTTTCTTATCGTTAGTCATGCCTAATCCCATGGAGTTTGGCTCATTCATCTTCTCAGCCTCACTTCGCTTCGCTTTACCTTTACTCATCATATTCTCACGTATGTCTTCATGGAGGATTGTATAAAGTAACTTCGCTCATTTTTATCCACACTGGCTTCTTAATGCCGTCATTGCTCATAAGGGCTTACACTAATGTGGTTAAAGGTAATTTGTTTATTCGCATATTTAATTGTTCATCCACCACAGCGGTGAGCTCTTCTTCCGAATTAGCGCATTTAGCTGAAAAGCATTATATTCGCGACGCCTGAGGAAACTATATGGTGATGTGTGGACAGCTTGACACGCCTTGATGCCACAAAAGTGGTGGAGGTTATTGATAAAGGATCACTGGTAAACGGTGAAAAATATCAATCAAAAACTGTAGTGTATAATTTACCCATAGCCAATCTCACCTGGTGTGAGATCATACGTTAGGCGAGGCATTGTAAGCTTTCTGCAGGCAAATAGGTTAGCGCGGGACAAATAGGTCTCTCTCTGAAGGCTTTTGTCGGTAGTTCTCATTTTCAATTGATAAACATATGCAATGAAAAAGTTCGAAGCGACAGGGTACGCATCATATGGAATCTGGCAGAAGAATATATCTCTTTAGGTTCATGACTAAAAGAAAACCTGTGAATCAGAGTATATATCATTTCACGTATCTACATAGCGAAGATCTTGTCAAGTTGGAGAAGGCTGAGATCTTCAATGCAAACTTTGCTGACCAGTCAAACAAGCTCCTCCATGCGTGAAGCACAACTAAATTCATATGTTATCCGATGGCTCGGGCAATACGCTGTTTATTACCGGCTTAGGACTGGGAAGCTCCAACCTTCCGCCTAGGAACGTCTCCAGGACACGAAAACATCCGTATTATAGTCTGGAAATATTATGCTGATTCTCGTAATTCATCCGCATGTGACCGGTTCATATATTCACTTGAGTTACATATACTCACAGCTGAATGAAAATAAGCGACTCTCTCACCAGCCGTCAAAGGAAGAGATAGAAAGATCCAGACTGCCAGAAAGTAGCTGCAATACTACCAGAGGCAATAGGAAGATTAGTGAATGAGAAAATTAGGGTGTACAAGAACAATAACTACATCCTCCATAAAGCTCAATACGGCTTCTCACAACATACGCGCGAGCACATATTGAATTTCACAATGTCGTCACATCACGCCTACATGAAAAAAACTTAAATCCCTCGAACCGACTGCAAAGACGATCAACTAAATGAGCAACGGAGTAGAAAATTAGGCCTCACGGAGAGAGACTATAACACTTTTGATTATTTTCGTTTGATTATAGAATCACAAGTAATCTGATAATGGTACACAACATATTCAGCAAGCTGAATCAACCCAACACAGGTGTTCTACCATAGAAAGCCTCCACACGAGTCTAAACTATGTAAGGGATGCAGCCAAGGCAAATGCGACACTTCACTTTATGCGAAGACAACTTGGTGCTATCACCACATAATTATTTTTGACCCTATTTAAGACGTACGCGCGCCCACACTTGGAGGTTCACAATGTCATCGAGACGAGAAACCAAATTGGTGATTCGGTTGAAAAATAAACCTTACGACGATAGACTCTAGCTCTTTGGATTATTTCCACTGAGCTTCAGGAGAATCAGAGGTGATCTGATTATGGCATACAACATATTAAGCACGCCAAAATATCCCAATGTGAGGAGCATCTTACCGATGCATAACCACCACTCCCCTCGAGGTAATCCTCGAAAGATTGCACATCAAAGAGCGAATACTCAAATACGTGCACACTTTATCTCCTTGCGAGTCGTCAGAACTTGAAATGCTCTCCTAGCCGAGGTTACCAGGGCCTTCTCAGTAGACAGTGCTAAGAAGAGACATGATAATCACGTACTCACATACGGATTATGATTTCCCTCTTGGACAAGTTGTTCATGATGCATATCTTGAGACCTGCTAGTTATCATTGCCATCTCCTGAGATCACTTACCTAATCTATCTTGCCTCTCATCTCTGTTCCCTCCCACTTGCATACTCTACGGTCCTCTCTCACAATCTTCACTACCGATTAACTAACTAAATTCATCAATATATTACTCAGTTATGAAATTTTGTTCATATTAGCATTGGAGTATTATCCTTATTACTCTCCACATTGCAACTAACTGATCTCCGGTCTGGTAATGTGATGGCCGCTGGTATCCAGAAACCCTACTGCCCTGAAACAAATGTTTTCATTCAAATCCCGAGATATACAAACTCACTGACTAGAACTAGACATTCGAGTGACTAGACCTCCATCCACTGGACATTACCGAACACCTGGAGCCTTAAAGAAAGAACAAGAATCGAGCGCGAAGAAGTCGATTGGTTTACACTAGCTCGTGAAAAGAATATTGGATATATATTGGATATTGGAGTTCATCATCATGTACGCCCCTCGAAGTGATTATCAAAAAGCTGCACATAAAGAGCGATCACGCAGCTAAGCCCGTATATTCTCTTTAAGAGTTATCTTTACTTGGGATGCTTTCTCAGCCTAAGTGACCGAAGCCTCCCAGTGGAAAGCTTTACTAAGAGACTTGAAAAATATGTACTCCTGTATCAGCTGCACCAGATGCATGCCTCGAAACTTGTTAGATGTACCTAAAAAATGGTCAGGTAAAGATAAATAAGTCGGCTTTTACTTGCTCAGGAAAAAGATACTAGATCATTAGTAGGATGGTTTGTTCAGCCTTATTGTTCAGTTTTGTAGTGTTTACAAGGTCATGTGTTGTCATAATTTTAAACTGGCAAACTGAGAAGAACTGGTCAGTTTTCATCGAAATGTAAAATAGTAGATTCTTAATATCCTCAATAACGCTTTAATGTGTTCATATCCGAAGATTCACCCTTATAACCATAGATTACAAACGGTATACATCTGCCGAATATACTGTTTCATTCTGGGACAGATTTTCGACACCTATAATTCGTAAAGAATTGGTTGGAAGTGTTCGATGTTTGAAATTTATGAGTAAAGCTCTGAGTGTCATTTTACATTTGGTTGAGTCAAATATTTCAACTCCTCAAATTTGCTATGTGATTAATATCTGCCAATTTGTAACTGCATTATATTACGTATTTGTGCGTCTTAAGTCTTGGAACTCAAATCAAAAGTACACTTCTGATACTAAGGCATGTTTAGGACTATAGTCCTTGATGTATGTTGTTATGCAGGTACCGGTTTTTGAGCTCTGAAGACGTCTTTTGATCAGATTCACTTAATTCATAGTTATAATCTGCTTCGTCTGCATTTTTATGCAAATTAGGCAATTATGTGCCAACAAACATTGATTTTCGAGTGATAAGTATTTTCTGGTTGTGAAAACACTACTAAAAGCGTAACTGGAGCGACTAATTGTATTTGAGTGAATCAGTTTATGTATGTATATTAGTCCAAGTCGTCATACCCCATTAACATAGAGATGGAGTTTTTCACCATCGATTGTAGACCAGTTGGTTTAATTTGTGCTTGCTTCTTGACGTTTTGATACAGTTACAGGTATATGCTAACTGTTTTAGAATCATAGAAAAGATTAAGAATCAAACATTCGGTCCAAAAAACCGAAATTAGTTGCATGAGAAACTATGGGGTGTTTAGAAGCTTAGAATGTGTAGGAAGACTAAAAATGAATGCATCTGCTCAATTGCAAACGGTAGTGAGCCACGTCATTCGAAGTTTCTAACCATTCTTTACAGTATTCATAGGGATCCTAAACCAGATAATTACGTTTGGCAACATAATTCCGTCTAGTCAGTATGGCCACCTCTAACTTCTTGCCTACTTTTACATCAGACAGCATCAGGATAGACGATGACAGGGTAAACGCGATACATGTCCCAACCACTTTAATTGAGAGATATTTACTACCTCAAAAATCAATTTGTTATCTCACCTAGAATTTTATTCTAGACCACTCATTGCTTGCTCGATAGTCCCAAAAATATATTAGCGATACTATGAAAACACCTGTAATCGAATACTAGTAACCTAAAAATGTCCTCCATTCTTAGTAGCGATATTTCGTGCCAATCAGGTATGTTGGGGCGAACTGCTAAACACTAAAATCATACTTGGATTGGCAGACGGATATCTTTCCTATTACACAAGTGATGCAAGTTACCAAAATTCTTCTATATCAGATTCGTTATGGGTAGCCAGTGTACTTAGTATACCACCCTTAAAACAATGGTAGACTCCTTCATCCTGTAAAATCCCAGTCTGCACTATGTACTATCGTATTTATGGTATTTTTTCTTGGTGAAAACATCTCATTAAATAACAGTTGCATATAGGAATTGTTAACTCATCTTTATCTACAGATATGTGGCGACAAGTTCCAAAGTATCCAAATATAACTGCTTCATAAATGGTTTGTTAATTTTTTGAGGTATTATACTTGTCTTTATTTTTTATCAGAAAAAGAGCTTATCAAACTATTCTACAGCTGCGCCAACCCTTCACCCATGCATACTTTTGAAAGTTTTGTTATTGTAATTATCTTCCTGCGATACCTCTCTGTTGAACAAGTTGACAGTTTAGAAGTGGGTAAAAGAAATAATGTGTTTCACGACGTCAAAACCTTATAGTACAGATTAGAAAGCAATAAATTCAAGTAGATCTTGAATTCAACGAAATTAATTATGAAACGGTCTACAAAATTAGACCAAAGCAGTCTTCGAATATGTACAGTTCTTTACACCCGATACTTATAGAAACTTTTATATGTACAACTAAAAAACGTCAAGCTCTAAAGAGCACTAAAACAAGAGAATAAATTCAGAATACCTTGATGGTATTCTTTTTAACGTGATAACAAATTTACCGTTAATGAGCTTAGGTACTCAAACCTGGTTTATCGAAATTTTAGATGTACTCTTAAGCATTAACTACCAGAAATAATCTCATAGATCAAGGGGAGGTGACTTAGTGCCTGACTTAAATAAAAAGCTTACGCTTATTACCTTCAACTGCAATAATTTATTTGTCTGTTCCTACACCAGTACATAACAGGAGAAAACGATAGGTTCCTGTATAAGAGAATCTCTAAAAATGCCCCAAAAATTCTTCAAATAGTCCGAGAGTCCGTAGCACTGTCTTAAGCAATCACATCATAAATGCAGGTCTCATAAGTCCAGTTACAACATTTCGCATAATCACAAGACAGAACAAAGTAGAAAGACTGCTTAATTCGGAACAGGGAGCACTTCATCATCTAATTCTTATCTATCTAAAAAGCTTTCTATTCTCTCAACACTACTATTGTACTCCCCTTGTACCCTTCGTCCACTTTTTTATTAATTGTTTTGTTCTCCATCAAAATTTAAAAACATTCCTCGCTCTGTTCATCACTTTTTATTTGATAAAAACAATGTCTTCCTTGCTCATTTAAGTAGACTTTGTATGTTGATTCGAATGTTGTTATCGTAGTTAGCTTTCTTAGTTTTACTACTATCTAAAACAATGTTTCATCTTCTATCAATTTAGCTATTTAATTTCTCACTAATTTTCAAAACTTTTATACTACCTACTACTGTGGTGCGAGCTACTTATAAGTAGTATATGACGTGAGTGTCAACGTAATGTCTGGCAGCAGAAGATGGGGGAAGATCAAGAAAGGAAGAGTTAGAACACGATGGAATTTGTATGAAACGCATGAATAGTGACAATGGATTGATATTTTGCAACAGGAACAGTCCAGTTCGATATGATGAACTGATATTTTGCAAATTAACGATTTACAATATGGTTTTCCGATTTTACTGAGTAACTCTGTAATTTCGTTAAATACAATCCGGTTGCCCCACCTGTGTTCTCGTTCACTACACTGCTACTACAACTTATTATTATTTCTCGATTATTTTTTAAATCACTAACAACTTCACCCTTTTACCTACTACGTTATCTATTAATTTCTGATGGTACTTCTGCTTGATTACAAAAAAATTTCCCTTGCTTAATGTATCTCTAATTCAATTGAATCTGAATGGTTATAAAGGGGTTAAATAGGAAATTGTTTTACCAATTCCAAATAAAAATAGCATGTTTAAAGGATTAATGTATTTGCTAAATATTTAGAAGGTATAAAATGAAATAATTTGCCTTCACCCTAAAATATTTTATCTTTATGCCTAGAAAACCTATTGCTCATCGAAATGACATATCATTGTAAACTATATTCTGATTTATATAGTCAATTATGAGATTTTGGAGTACAAATAATATCTAGACTTCATTAACATGATCTCTGTTTTTGATTTCTAGTTCAAATGTCTATAGTTTCCCTTCAAATTGGCCAATGTGGTAATCAAATTGGAGCAAAGTTTTTCAATACTATATATGATGACTGTTGTGCCAAGCAAAAATCACTTTCACCAAAAGTTGATACAGCTTATATTCAAGACTCATTAAATACATTCTTTTATGAATCTTCGAGTAGACATACTGTTAATAATTTGACTTTACTTCAGAAGGATGTCTAACAGCCAGATGTGTTCAAGTGGATATGGAAGAAAAAGTTATTGCCAGTGTTACCAAGAATACTTGTCCGGAAAAGTGGATTTATTCTCCTAATAGTTACATTACATCTAAATGTGGTTCAGGTAAGTTAATATTAAGTTTGTTTCAGTCAAAATGACATGACTACACTATGTCAATACATATTCTTATTTCGATTAATATGATATCCTATGAATTTATTATGATTTTTGGCTAACAAACTAAATAGTCGATTAGTAGTCATTCTGACGCTTCAGAAAACTGTAAGGTACCAGGTTGAATAATCATTTAATGGTTGACATAAAACTCAAAACCTTTTTACTTACCATAATCTTTATTGATGTAACATAAATTTTCTGATAATTCTAAACGAGCAAACTAGTAAATAAGAAATAAAGATGTTTTTGAACGGTTAAAGTTTTTGGAATAGACAGACTTTCACTGATTGCACTTACAGTTTTTTCCATTGAGTTGTTGATGATTCAAATCATCGAGCTTATATTGATTTGCATTGCTGAAATCAGTGGTTACTAATTATAAAAATGCCATATTTTTCTGAGGTTTTAAGTTTCTTCAACTTGATTTACCAAATATGGCATGAATAGGTAGATGGTTTTTTAAGTAAGCGACACATTTTCCAGTGGTTTAAATCACCACCATTGAAAAAGTTCCAAGTTCATATAATCTATAGAAACCCTAGAAGTGTAAAAGAATCATTGAGCTTGAAGATGTGTGCCAAATTAATAAATACTTATAAAGTCATTTCAACGAGCTTTGAACAAAATGACAAGGGATGGGTTGTTATCTGTAGATTAACTTAAAATTTACACAGCGATCGTAACCGGCGTCAGAGGACAACAGTGGCAGAAGACGAAAGTGTGACAGTGACAACATTAAACATATGTTTAGTTTTGTCGGTAAATCTATCTTGGAAAGAGACGAGATTATGTAATACCGTCAGATCATAAAACTATGGCGATGAACAGCACACTTTCGGCAATATTTTAACTGAGCTACAGCTACTTTACAACTTCTTCCTGCCCACCAATGATGCCGAAGATGTTGGCTTCTGTAATCAACCATCTCCTATCTAGAGATGGATAACAACAAGTGTAAAGCAACCAAGGAAGTTTCGGATGTATAGACCATGTGTATATTTGCATTTTTTAACCTGAAAAGTGGACTTAACTTTGTTGATCTTCATGTTCTGTATCAGTATATTTTATTAAATCATATACCAATGCAGTTTACTAACATATTGTCTTTTATTTAAATACTTAAATTTGAATTACGGCTTGTGACGAACTGCTATCATATTTAGTTGTACTAACTGATGTTAGTCAACATTGTTCATTCCTCTCATTTCAGTTACGTTTCTCCGTACTAACTTCGTCAAATACGTTAGTGAATGATTTTTTATGAAATCTCGCTGAAAAAATTCGAGTTACTAAAGTAACGAAGTTCTATTTTACAACAAGCGGAGATGACGAAGTCGTCATCAAAATAGTATCCCTCATTGTCATGTATCGAAGCACACAAATTCTCACTTTGTATATCTTCAAAACGTACTATTCATGAAGTCTAATGATTTTTCTAATTGTATTATTATGTATTCGATAAATTGCAATTTCTAGGGAATAATTGGGCATATGGTTATTTTGTGCACGGAAATAAATTCGAAGATCAGATACAGTGTTTAATTCAGAATCAATTAGAAAATTGTGATTCACTGGACGGTTTTCTAGTGACGATGAGTTTAGCTGGTGGAACAGGTTCCGGTATGGGAACGAAAATACTCACGTAAGCTTGAATGTCAATGGTGTTGTATATTAATTTGAAAAATACTTATTCAAAAACATGAACTAATCATTTTGCTTCTGATATTCAAGCTTTTCAAAGTTTTTTTAACACTCAATCCTGTGTATTTGTTGACCTACATCAATAATAACGTTACTTAGTTAGTTATATCTATGAGATGGAAAATGTTTTTGAGTTATCAGTCTTTCTTCTTGTAGGTAAATGAAGCATTCTTCGTACTTGCCAGGTAAATATAACCAACTGCTAGTGATTAACTTATATAGCTCAAGGCCGGCTGATATTTTTGCAGCAGTACTGGTGCGTCCTTTTTTTGTGATATATATATATATATATATATATATATATATATATATATATATATATATATATATATATATATAATACCACTGCTACTATTGTACCTCTCGTTAGTAAGCCCGCAATTCATGTTTAGTTTAATAATCGTGTGTAAGAATTCGTATCTGTCATTGCAAATGGTTCTGAGATTTTCGCTTCTAAACTGATCGAGACGAACAATGGAACTTCAACGAATTAAGCGACATTTATTGAGTGTATCAGTGGCACTGATGCAACCAATTGATGAATCACAGCATTGTGTGTTCTAAATCTGTGGATTAATTATTTCGGTTGTGATTATACAACTAATGCAAACATATTTGTCGCAGGAAAACTCTCTATTCATTAAGTGTGAACCAAGAGTTACGAAGAACTTGCAACGGCTAATTTGTTCAGAATAACCAGTCCGTATTCATGTCTCATTGTTTCCTTGTTTCAATAATGAGTTTTAGCGTTTTAAAGTTCATTCGAATCTGTTGATTAGGGTTTCTGAGAAACGAAGCTTTTAAATTGATCACTGGCTATACTCACACAGATCATGATGTATTTTTCATCGAGTCTCGTATCATGCTGGAGAAATTCGTCTATCGGATGTAAATTTGACAACTGAATGCCAAATATTTATGCGAATTATAGTAGCTTCATTGTTTTGTTTACTGTTGATTAGGATACGCTTCGGTTGTATTTACGTATTCGTCGTTCATTTTTCACTTTTGTTTTATATAACTTACACTCTTCTGACGGTTTTAAGTGTGTGTCAAAAGGTTTTGTGAATAGTTTTCATGTCATTATAAAAAATTTAATGGAATATTTCCAGGTTGACAAGCCCTTGTCAAGTGTTGAGATTGTCAAAATACAGGACATTTTTGCTCGTAAATTTACACTGAAAACGTCTGCGTTTTTGACATCACAAAATGACTCCAGGATTCAAAAGGGACATCACATGAAGCAGCATACGCTTATTCCACTCTTGAAATTAAGACACCTATAAACGGATTGATCAAATGTTGAATCTATTTGTTTATACTATTTCCCTAAATGATTCTGATAATCATTTTTTAGGTGCATAGTGTTTAAAATATACATGATTTCATAATTTGTGTCCAAAGTATAAAAGATATCTAAAACGATATCCTTAATGTGGTTATTCTCGACAATACACTTGATATTCTGTTTTCTCTTTTGTAAAAACGGTCTGGATAACGAAAACAACCGTACTCATCCCCCAAATAGTGTAGTCGATTTTACTTATTATAAAGTTAAATTAGTTGAAACAACTTCAGCTAACTATAAATGTATGCGTTCATTTTGAACTATAACAGGTTTTCTGGAAATTTGTTATGTTTTACTTAAGGTTTTACAATGTGTAAAATCTGGTTTCCTAGATCAACAAGCTATTAACTTCAGTGCAATTATCTGGGCAATTTAATCTATTCCCTTTTCCTTGTCCTGACAATACTGGTTTGCGTGGCTTATTTCTTTAATCTTTTCTATTTCATTACTTCTGTCATTATTATTACATAACTTGTTTTATCGAAAATGTCCATTAGTATTTCTCACCATACTTATTCGTATTTCAGCACTTTGGAACAAGATACATTTTCAAACTTACATTATATAATGTTTTAACCCATATATTTATATTTTAGGCATTTATCTGATATTGTACCTAAAGCATGTGTACTATCACAATTAATATGGCCATTTACACGTGGTGAAGTATCGGTTCAAGCTTATAATGCTATACTTACACTTGGGCATTTGTTATCTCCATCTACAGCCAATAGTCTTGATGGTTTTCTAATGCATCATAATGATACGTTACATTCAATTTGTTCAAATCGTCTTTTAGCTAGTGATCCAAATTGTCAAATTGGAATGGATCATTTAAATGCTCTACTTACTCATCAATTAGCAGGAATTTTACAGGTATGTATTGTAGGCTACTGTATATGACTACTTAAATATATATATATATATATATATATATATATATATATATTTCCTTGGGGTCACACTAAGTAGGCAAAGTGACGGCTTGCTAAGTAGAAGCATGTACAGAAAAAGTCCATCTGCTTGCCTATATACTCACTTTTATAGTTTTACACCTATCGGCTACGAAAGAAACTTGGTTAGATGTCTCACAAGCAGAGCGAAAATGATCTGTTCAGTAGATACTTTAAGTCAGGAGCTGGAATTCATCAACAACTTACTGACCGAAATTGGCGCTACCCCAGCACATTCTTAAAGTACGTGTACGCTTTAAAAAAGAAGTTGGTGACTGTGACTGTTCAAAAAAACCTTTCATCAAACTACACTTCAATGGGGTTATGGCTGGTGATCTCCTGAATGATAGATAAGCAAAAGTAATTAGCAGGACATGCTACGCAGCCAATTTCGCATTGGCTTTCTTGAGTTGACCAGTGACGAAGGATATGTTACCTGAATTGGCCCCCTTAATGTGTATTTACAAATTCAGCTGCTCCTGTGGAGTTAGCTATATCAGGTGTACTACCAGGCAACTTAACCAACAGAATAAGTTGACATCTCTCAGCGTGGTTTAGAAAGGGCCCGATAAAAACAATACGCAACTCGATCTTGGTATACCTGATTGATAGCGATCATAATATAGATAAGTCTGAATCAGTCCAAATGATCTACCGTATACCTCCGCTATTTCCCAACGGAGTTCGATCCCGTCTCTTACATTTAGCAGAGGCCATAGGAATCGGAGCATTCAACCCCAATCGACTTGTCTTTTTCTTGGTCGGATTTTCTTGTTACCATTAGCATTATTTTCAACCATTAACAGTCTGTTCACTAACTCTGATTGATGTATATGCTGACGGATCGATAGACAATGAGAATATTCTCATCTATTCTCAATCAGAACATTGGAACGACCACTTAAAAATGCCTGGAATTATTTTGTATTATTAGACTTCAAACTGATGATATTATTATATAAGAAAATACCAAGTAATCATTTCATTATGTACATGTTTGGAGTTAATCGACGGTAATTTATAAACAGGGAAGAACATGATTTTCCCTAATATTATTTACAATGTGTTAATTTAATCCTATGGCCTATATAGATCTATAAGTGGAAATGCGCATTAAATTTTCTCCTAATTTTTACGCTTCTTCTTTTCCAAACAGCCTACTATAAATTATACTGAATCAGAATATTTTAAAGATAAAAAACGTTTAACATCTTATTTATTGGATCTTTGTGGACATCCTGATTATCGAATAACACGTTTACGTTGTTTACCTTATATGCCAGTAGAAAATCGTAAATTTTGTACAGAAACTTGGTCTCAATTAGCTCGACATGCTAGACAAATGTTATTGACAGGTTCTGCTGTAGAAGATAGTAAGTCTTTCGTTTTTTTTTGTGTACTACACCTTTTATTTTTACAATTCCCTTGTGTTTTATAGAGCTACGTATAGAAGCATATATATGTTGTGTCTGCTGTGTACTCATCAGTTCACTGCTCAGAATTACATTGTGACATGATATTTGACAACTCCGCCAGTAGAACCTTAGGGGCTACTGCCGGTCCCAAGCCCGGATAAAGGAGGAGGGTTGGACATGGGGTTGGCGACCCCATTCCGTTGAAATCTCACTTGCCAAAAAAACGCTAACCAGAAAAAATAATTCAAACCATTTTAACTCTGCCCTGGGAGTTGGAAGAAGAATTATGACGTCTCGTGATGAAAGCCGAGTTCCCTCGGAAGTCACGGGGCTGATGCCTCTTCTGACAACCAGAGCAACCATTTTTTAGGTACATGGAACGTTCGTACATTGTGGGAGACTGGAAGACTATTTCAAGTTGCGGCAGAAATGAAACGATACAACCTCGAGGTGCTCGGCATCAGTGAAACGCATTGGACACAAGTAGGACAACTGAGACTAGCTTCAGGGGAACTGCCGTTATACTCTGGTCATGAAGAGGAAAATGCTTCACATACACAAGGAGTTGCACTGATGCTGTCCAAACATGCACAAAAGGCACTGATAGGATGGGAATCTCATGGACCCAGGATCATTAAAGCATCCTTCAAAACGAAGAAAGAGGACATTACAATGAACGTCATCCAATGTTATGCACCTACCAATGACTACAATGACGACGTTAAAGATCAATTCTACGAAAGGCTGCAGTCAATCGTCGAGAAATGTTCACCAAAGGATTTGACGATTCTTATGGGGGACCTGAATGCCAAGGTTGGAATGGACAACACTGGATATGAAGACATCATGGGACGACATGGACTGGGAGAAAGGAACGAAAACGGTGAGAGATTCGCAAACCTATGTGCCTTCAACAAACTGGTCATCGGTGGCACAATATTCCCGCACAAACGCATACACAAAGCTACATGGATTTCACCGGATCACACTACTCAAAACCAAATTGACCATATCTGTATCAACAAAACGTTCAGAAGGACCATGGAGGATGTGAGAACCAAGAGAGGAGCTGATATAGCTTCAGATCACCATTTGCTGATCGCCAAAATGAGATTGAAGCTAAAGAAGCACTGGACAACGGGGCAGACAACATCACACAAGTTTAATACAGCCTTTCTTCGGGATACCGTAAAACTCAACGAATTCAAGATAGCCCTCACCAATAGGTTCCAGGCCTTTCAGGATCTACTCAATGGAGAGGAAGCAACATTGGAGAACAATTGGAAAGAGATTAAGGAGGCAATCACTTCAACATGTCAGGAGGTCCTTGGTCGCAAGAAGCACCATCACAAGGAATGGATCTCTGTTGATACTCTTGCAAAAATTGAAGAAAGGAGGAACAAGAAGGCAGCAGTGAATTTCAGCCGAACAGGAGCAGAGAAAGTTAAGGCGCAAGCCGAGTATACAGAAGCAAACAGGGAAGTGAAGAAGAGCATCAGAGCTGACAAACGAAAATATGTGGAAGATCTAGCAATGACGGCGGAAAAGGCTGCAAGAGAAGGAAACATGAGACAATTGTACGAAACAACAAAGAAGCTCGCCGGGGACTATCGTAAACCAGAACGACCAGTGAAAAGCAAGGAAGGGAAAATAATCAGCAACACTGACGAACAGCGAAATAGGTGGGTGGAGCACTTTAAGGAACTATTGAATCGACCAGCTCCACTGAACACACCAAACATCGAAGCAGCATCCACGGACCTCCCAATTAATATTGGCGCACCTACGATTGAGGAGATCAGTATAGCCATCAGACAAATCAAGAGCGGCAAAGCAGCAGGACCAGACAACATTCCAGCAGAGGCAATGAAAGCAGATGTGGAAGCAACTGCGAAAATATTTCACATTCTCTTTAAGAAGATTTGGGATGAGGAACAAGTACCATCAGATTGGAAAGAAGGATACCTGATCAAAATACCAAAGAAAGGCGACCTGAGCAAGTGTGAGAACTACAGAGGCATCACTCTTCTTTCAATACCAGGCAAAGTCTTCAACAGGGTATTGTTAAACAGAATGAAGGACTTCGTAGACGCCCAACTTCGAGATCAACAGGCCGGATTTCGTAAGGATCGATCATGTACTGACCAAATTGCTACATTACGGATCATTGTGGAACAATCAATTGAATGGAACTCACCACTCTACATCAACTTCATCAACTACGAGAAAGCATTCGATAGCGTGGATAGGAAAACACTGTGGAGGCTTCTTCGACACTACGGTGTGCCTGAGAAAATAGTCAACATCATACGGAATTCTTATGATGGATTCAACTGCAAAATCGTGCACGGAGGACAGCTAACCGACTCTTTCGAGGTAAAGACCGGTGTGAGGCAAGGTTGCTTACTCTCACCCTTTCTCTTTCTCCTGGTCATCGACTGGATTATGAAGACGTCAACATCTGGAGGGAAGCACGGTATCAACTGGACAGTTAGGACGCAGCTGGACGATCTGGACTTCGCAGATGACCTGGCTCTTCTATCGCACACGCCACAACAAATGCAAGAGAAGACGACCAGTGTAGCAGCAGCCTCTGCAGCAGTAGGTCTCAACATACATAAAGGAAAAAGCTAAATTCTCCGATGCAACACAACATGCACCAACCAAATCACTCTTGATGGAGATGCCTTGGAGGACATTAACACCTTTACATATCTTGGCAGCATCATCGACGAGAAAGGTGGATCGGACGCAGATGTGAGGACGCGGATTGGCAAAGCGAGGGCTGCATTTCTACAGTTGAAAAATATCTGGAACTCCAAACAACTTTCAAACAAAACCAAAATCAGGATTTTCAATACAAATGTGAAGACAGTTCTACTGTATGGAGCGGAAACATGGAGAACTACCAAAGCCATCATCCAAAAGATACAAGTGTTTATTAACAGCTGTCTACGCAAGATACTTCGTATTCGTTGGCCAGACACCATCAGCAGCAACTTACTGTGGGAGAGAACTAGTCAGATTCCAGTGGAGGAGGAAATCAGGAAGAAGCGGTGGAAGTGGATAGGACATACACTACGAAAAGCACCCAACTGCGTCACTAGACAAGCCCTCACATGGAACCCTCAAGGCAAAAGGAAAAGAGGAAGGCCAAAGAATACATTACGCCGAGAAATAGAGAAAGATATGAGAGTAATGAACAAACATTGGACAGAACTGGAGAGGGAAGCCCAGGACAGAGTTGGTTGGAGAAAACTGGTGGGCGGCCTATGCTCCATTGGGGGTAACAGGCGAAAGTAAGTAAGTAAGTAAGTAATGATATTTGACAGAAATATTAACTACTGATCAGTTTGTCTTTTTATTTATTGACTCTGTAACATACTTTTTTATTCGTTCATATAATCTTCTCCATTACTGTTAATACTTCTACTATCGCTACCATTATTGGATTCGAACTGACAGTTGCGTCTCTGTGCTAATGCAGTATGGCAACCTGAACTGATGTACGTACGTACATACGAAGTTCTACGTTTTAATTGACTGACTGACTAACTGACGATTATATAAAATTGGTGAATAACCCTATAAAAATTTATTTTCATGTTAAACACCTGGCTAGATATTCAATCGCACTTATGTCTGTGAAGCTGATTATTAAAAGATTTATTCACGTAATTATTGATCGCATCGGATGATTATTTATTTCGCATTGTTACAAAGTGAACTAACCCAATAATTCTAAAGTAGAAGAACAGTTAAATAAAATTCTTATGTAATCTTCAAGTGTAATGCAGAGTTTTTACTCTGATATTATATTTATATATATATATATATATATATATATATATATATATTCTTGCTCATGTTTACGTCCAAAATATTGAGTTACTGAAAATTGTTGGAGTTAAGAACATGATTTCTATTGAACACATTTTCACTGTTGACAGCCATGAAGTTTTAAATTTTGGTTTTTTGGAAATGATTCGGGGATGATAAAACTAACATTGTTTAATTGTGTTTTCTGGTACTTAGAACTTGATTGGTCGGTCAATACTTCAGGTAGTGGATCCAAAAACAGATTTGAGAATTCACGGCTACCATTGCTGTCCTATCTATCTGTATTACGTGGTGACGGAGCAAGTGATCACGTTCGAAATCCGATTAATTTTATTAATTCACTTACTAGGGATATTTTGGTTGCTGGACCTCCACCAGCTCCTGTTCCCTCTTCTTTAGGCTCAGCTGTTCGTGGACATCCTCGTCATTTTGGAGAGTACCCTCGCAGTTTATTTGTTGCTTCTAACGGTGGTGGCCCACGTATAGACAATACTTCTACCGTTGGAATTGATCGCAAAGAATTATGGATGTCTGCAGCGTCGTTAGGTGACACATCATCTAGTTTGAAGTATGTATCCTCTCGTGCCTGGGAATTGTTTGCTTCTAGAGCATACATTCATCAATATGAAAAATATGGACTGACAACAGATATCTTCATGGACTGTGTCGCTACAGTAGAGCAAATCGCACACTGCTATTCTACTTTATCATGGCACTAAAATTTTTCTTGGGTTTTAATCTTTAATTTACTTAACATTTTGTAAATAGTTTCTTCAATGTATATAAAAAAAATATACTCAATTTTCTATTCATTGTACTTTTTCAGTTGAGTTTTTAATTGACTGCAGAATGTTTGACTACTTGCAAATTTCTCGTTGTCTTATCTTTATTCTTTTTATGTTATTTTATTAATGACCATGGGGTCAAAAAAAATCATTGCTCATGATATGTATATTTTATTTTTCTGACAACATTTTCAAGCTTTCATCATTTGTTTTTAAAGCCGCCAATAATAACGTATTTTTTAAGAAGATACTAGTGTTAGGAACAATCAAACCAACAGTTTTGCTTATTACCATAGTTTTCGGTTGTGTTAAGTTCTCTGAGTTCAGTGTTTTAATTGTGCAGTTTTCAATGTCACTTTGATAGATGCAGTTAGCGCTTACTTCGACAGAAACAATTCATCATCACCAAATCATCAACAATTGTTTATTGTAATTCCAATTATTTTAATTAGCATCATACATACCAAAGCAAACATAACTAAATGCTTTTATTTAAATCCACCTAGATTTAAGTTACATCGTATAAATATGCAATAATTTAAACATCTCAAATATGGAAGTTTTTTGATTATTGATGTATTATTCACGAAATTACTATCATCATAACTGAATAGTAGCTGACATAGTTCATAGGTGATCACTATAGTCCAAATGAATTTATTCTTAAACATCATTTAGATTGGCACCTTCCATTTTCTATAAATATTTTGAAAGACTATAAATCATGTTATTACGAAGAAGGTATGAGAGTACTAATAGAGTATCAAATCTACATGAGGAGCTAACTTTTTAAACTTGTGGTGTTAACAGGCATAAGTGAGTCAAGCTGTAGATGACCAATTATGTCAATTCAAATGCGAAGGATTTCAATGCAGAAATGTTATTGTTTTGGCTTTACAATGTAACCCGCCAAAAACTAACATTTTTATCCTCAACCCTTTAAGTTAAGCCAATGGTTTTAGTAGCAATTAGTCTTTGAGACCACTGAATGACTAATTCACCTATTCTGTATAGGGTCAGTGAATTTTGGATCAACTGTTCAATAACCTCAAATAAACGACCAAGACATTAATCTGCTGCTGATATTCGACTTGGTAGGTAGGTATCTGCTTATTCCCTTATTGTCATGTTCCCTCCGAAACTCCCGATAAAATGCATGAGTTGTCTGACGACACTACAACGTCAGTGAGAAGTTACAATGTATAGAAAATCGGCCATAAGTAACACGGAAACGGAGCAATACTGGGAAATGAACTAAGGATTTATCTAAAGTAGTCAAAAACTATTGGTTTAAAAATCAGTAAAAAGCTTACACATGAGGCGGAAAAAGATATTGCCAATTTAGGGTTGTGGAGATTGTTGAGTTTGACTGAAATCATGAGTCCATCACTTTTAGATCACCATCATAAACCTACATGCACTAGACGACATTTTCGTCCTAGCTTGGGACTGACCAGGACTACTCATCCAAGACCACTTAAGCTGCATAGTACATGACAGTATGTACGTCTATGAACCATTAGTCAATCGCACAATCGCTTAACCTCTAGAACAGTAAGACGGCATCAGATGGCGTTAATATCTAAGTTCAATTAGTCCACGATAATGCGCAACCCCACCCATTGTCTTCGTGAGTAAACTCCTAACACCCGATGGCTGTACAGTGCTTGAACGTTTCTGATAGTGTTCTAACATTCATTTATCCATAATTTCGATGGAAAATATTGCCATTTATTCACCTTATAGTTGTATAATTTGAATGTAAGTAGAAAATTTTGTAGAATAATTTCGTAAACTCACTACTCCAAATGTTTTAAAATAATGCCTATTTTTTGAGACAACTTTGACAAAATCATGTGCAGTGGAATGCTTCTACGAAAAGAACACAAGTGGTTAATTGGAAACATTTATTATTGTATACAGTCGTAACGATAACTGTTTTATTGTACTCCTCTTGTTTAACTGTACTATAAACACTTGCGCGCAACTTTCTGTTTGTGTTGCTGCCATCATTCGTTACATGCCACTCTTTATGTCGCCTACTTTATTGTTGTAAATTTGGTGTTATTTTGACACCACAAAATCATCAGTAAATATATTTATTATCCTGGATTTTGGGATGGTGGAGAAAACTTGTAGCTCAGGTGGATGATTGTGGTGGTGTTTCGTTCTCTGAGCTGGTTGTTTTGGTTGTGGAGCTTTCATTGTTCTTCTGAACAACATCATCAGCACGAACTTCAGATAGAAGTGAAGCATTCGAATTTCTCCACGTCAAACGTGGAGAACGAAACACCACCACTATCCTGGATTTATTTATCACTTATATTGACGGGCTAGTAATTAGTATTTAGTGGTGATCATAGTCACTCTCAACTCGATCACCACTGAACATGTATGGGAGTTTCCTTCCCTGTTACATATGTTTAGAATTATGCTTGATTAGTCTGTTGTAGAAACGTCCACAAATAAGCAAGCAGTTTTGTATAATGTGACTGATCTGCTTGTCTAAACACTTTTCCTCTAGTTGACCTCGTCTGTTCACACCACAAAATGTGAACTAAACTCATTCAACTGATCATGAGAGAAGATTATTTAATGTGCGAAAAGAATGCATTAATTTAAGGAGAATTTCTGCCAACATTTTTAAACAAAATAAAATACATTACGGGGTTGTGAAAATTGTTATGTTACACATTTTTGAAACCATGAATCGATCTATGTTAGACCACCATTAGAAACCTGGAAGCACTGGACGGCCGTTTCATCCTGATATGGGACTCCTCAGTAGTGCGCATCCACGACTCCTGCACATCTCAGGATTCGAACCCAGGACCTTCGGAATTGTGCGCGAACGCCTAACCATCCAGTGCTCCTAGGTTTCTAATGGTGGTCTAACATTGATCGATTCCTGGCCTCAAAGATGTGTAAAATAATATACATAAATGTTTTCATTTAGCATCTTTTACGAGCATCTGTGCAAGGTTCACTTTCGAAAAGCTTTTTGTAGCGTGAAAAATGACCACATACATAAACTCGTATTGCTGAAGTGATTATTACCTTACTAAGGCTATCTAGTCTCCAAACTGAGTGATGATTACGAGCTTTCAGCTGAAATACCCCTGTAAAATAACACCCACTTGTCTTATGTTAGCCATGTTTGAAGTTGATTGATGCCGTGTTATAAACAGGAGAAGTATTTTCCTCAATGTTGTAGGAATACAGATCTATTTTATGACTGTATCTTAAACTACAGACGCTATATACGGCAGAAAAGAACTTGACTGTAAAGTCGTTGCAAACAAATTGTTGTCAAGCCATGTATATCTGTAACACTTCAACATCTACCAATGCGATTCCAGGAACTTCAACTCCTTTCTAATCACCATGACTAGTTCATATATTACCGACATATAACATGCATCTACCTTTATTCCATTTCCATGCGTATTATCTTTTTTGGTATTCTTTATTCGTTCAATTCTCATATTTTCACTTGACCATGATAAGTTTATTTCATTCAGGTGCCTTCAGGATTCAAGTATAAATCATACCTCATCTAAAAAAACACAACTCTTGTAAAACTGATACAGAGAAAAGTTAGAAGATTCACTCGAAATTGCTTGCTAGGACAGTCAGAGGTAAAGTTTCAGTTTCCGATAACTTTCTGGTTCTGTTCCCACATAGCATAACTTCAATGAATCTACTATTATCACTTTCCTCCCTCGAAACCAATCAGATTATTTCAGCCTACTTTTCAGTCTATTGAGTAGCAAGCGCAGTAAAAGCGCTGCCACCACTTCTCACACTATAACTGCTAAGAAAGCAAGTGAAGGTTTGAATTCCGGAGCTAGTATGGAGTCGAAAATTCCAGTTTCTAAAGACAGACTTACGGAATAGTTGATAATGATTTTTGTAGTAATGTGTATTACTTCGATTACTCCGCCCAAAACGTTTACTGGATCTCTAACAGAAACCAAGATAACACTCCTTCACGCGTTTTCATTTGCAATAGGACAGGTGGGAAGAAAAGAAAAGGAGGAAAGTGACTCATATAATTCTAGTGATTTAGAAAGAATATAATAATAATAATCTTATAACTCTGTGTTTGAATTCAAATTTTTTGGTGGATGTGTTCAATGCTAATGTCATACTGCAGTACTACCAGTGTATGTTAAATCAGGAATAAATGGGGTAGATGCTAAGCATTGCTTTCCCTCAGATGTTGATGTCTTCATAATCTAGCCGACCACCAGGAGAAATAAAAGGGCTTAGAGTGAGTATCCTTGCCTGATATTGGTCTTCATTTGGAACAAGTCTGTAAGTTGTTCTTTCAGGCACGCCGTAGAATCGAAGAAGTGTCTATAGTGTTGTCCTGTCTACTCTATCGAAAGTTTTTTCGTAGCTAATGAAGTTGATGTGAAGAGGTAAATTCCATTTTCATTGATTATTTCACAATCATCCGTAATGTCTCAATTTGGTCGGTACACGATCAAGCCATATTAAATCCAGACTGTTGATCTCGAAGTTGGATCTCTTTAGTTTCCTACATGCATTGAGGTCGGCTTTCTTCAGTATCTTGACCAACTGTACTTTCAGTTCTGTTGGTGATTTTTCTTCATCCCAAATCTTTCTAAAGAGAATGTAGAATATCTTTGCAGTCACTGCTAGGTCTGCTTTCAGTGCCTCTGCTATGTATTCGCCTGGTATCGCTGCTTTGCCGCCATTGACTTGTCTGATATCCTTGCTGTGCTCTTCAACTGTGTATGGGACAACTTTTATTAGGACGTTCATTGGTTCTGCTTCGATGTTGGGTGGATTCAATGGGGCCGGTGGTAGGACAGTTCTCCAAAGTGCATACTCACCTGTTTCACTGTTCTTCAGTACTTCTGATTACCATTCCTTGCTTGCTTTTCACTCGTCGTTCTGGTTTACAATATTTTCTGGCTTATATCTTCTTTGTATCATACAATTGTCTCATATTTCCTTCTCCTTCAGCCTTTTCCGCCGTCATTGCTAGATCTTCCAAATATTTGCGTTTGTCGACTTTGACGCCCCTCCTTACTCGCCTGTTTGCTTCTGTATATTCAGCATGCACCTTGGCCTTCTCTGCTCGTGTTTAAAGGTTGTTGATTGCTGCTATCTTGAATCTTAGCCGTAAGAAACTTAACGATCCAGTCGTTGTAATGGAGCCGGCTGTCACCCACAACACCATCACATGTTGAAATGATTGCACGGATTAGATCGTATAAGAGGTGGAGCTGATTGCTGAGGTCTATCCTGAACTAGTTGAGCTTGTCAGGATCTGGAAGACAGGCCGTATTAAATTTCGTGATAATGTCCGTCCCACTGCCCAGTGTTTCTTGAGTTCAGTTTCATTTTGGCAACTAGCAATTGATGATATGGGGCTACATCAGCTCCTCAGTCGTTTCTCACGTCCTCCATCGTACTTCTGAATGTTTTACAAACTCACAAACAAAATGCTTAGCAGATAAGTAAACGCGTCCTAATTCTGCTGCACGTCAATAGGAAAGCATCTTTACACACTTTACGGCCACAAGAATAGCAGAAGCAAAGAGAGCGACATCAATCACAACGCTGTTCTGCATAACACACCTTCAAAGAAGACGTAAGTTAAGCGAGGCACTGAACCTGTGCCACAGGCAAAAAGAATAACCTTACACAAAAGAGAAGTCTCTCTCAAAGAGTCTGCTCGTAATCCCTACTTGACATTGAGAAACAGACGCAGTGCAATAGTTCGAAACCATATGTGACGTCTCCAGACGAAGTTGCCAAAATACAGTCATCTTGAAGTATTCCTTTGGGTTTGGAGCTAAGAAAACCTGCGAACCAGGATGTATGTACTCTTAAAGGTCAGACTGGCGGGAATCTTAGCAAGTAGGAAATTGATGAGATTTTTAGGGCCAACTTTGCCAACGGTACACACATGGTCAGAGAACTAGTCAGCTCAAGTGCCAACAGATGGCTTGTGAAAATCCGACGTACACGCGGCTTAGTACTTTAGAGTTCAAGATCTCTGTACCAAGTAAAACAGCAGAATATGAGAAAACCCATTCTTTAATCTTGATACAGTCTGAATAGAGCTATTGGTTAAGCGTTATGTCATCTATTTAAACACCCACTGGAGTCATACCAACTTCATAAAGGATGTAAACAGGCTATTCTCACCTAAGTTTAAGACATAGAAGGTAGGAAGCATCCATCCCGTTACAGACCAGTTGTATTACTGGTCAGTGACCTGATGAGAGGATATATAGATAAACAGCATCATCCATGAATCCTAAAACGTGTTTGCGAGAGGCAGGTCATGCTCATCCAAGCTTGTGATAGCATAACACAGTTGGACAAACTACTGAAAGCAAAATAAACTGGTCCCTATAATATTATTTCGCTTCTCAAACGCCTTAGACACATTGCCATACGTACCCTAATAACGAAGGTTTCGAAAATGGAATTTAATGTTTTCACTTCTATATTGGTTCCAGCTGCACGACCAGAGCCTCACAATTGACCATCCTAGATCCACTACACTTAATGATGTTCATATATGACTTGTTAGATAAAATCAACTCAGCCGCACTAATCTGTTCAGATGTCCGAAGATCTGAAGGTGCAAAAGAAGAGAAGAGGATTAATCGGTTTCCAACAGAACTTATGACAAACGAGAAGTGAGCAATTGACAACAGGTTAAAATTTAACCATTCCAAATATCACCCTGATAAATTTTCGCTCCCCGTGACATAAATGACAGAGATGATGCACTGAAGGTAAATGCGAGCTCTGTTCTTCCACCTTGGGATGAGTCTTAGCTCTCTTTAAAACATATGCTTTGCAACACTTCGAAATTCACATCATCATCGCACCCTAACTCCATGAAAGAGAAACAAATCTCCTGTGTCGAGTGCAGAAACGAGTAACCACGCTGGTTACAGGATTAAACAATAGACAATTCGATGATAGACTACAGCATTGTATTATTCCCTCGGAAATACAAGAAAATGAGAGGTGATCGAATAAATGCATGCAACACAATTAGTACAACAAATCATCTCAACATGAGTATCTTGTCAACACATCACCATCAGACACCACGAATCTTAACCTATGTGCCTTCAACAGACTGATTATCGGCAGCAAAACTGTTAGGATACTCATCCAATATCCTAAGAGGACTATTTGTCGATTCCTATCGGTTAATTCCTACTGGTTAATTTAATGGTCGTTCTAGATATCAATGTCACGCGCTCCAATGTTGTTATTGTTGGTTGTCCAGACTATCAATGCCACTTCAAACGTTGCTTCCTAATGGTCGTCTTAACTGTCAATGTCACAGACTTTGACGCTGTTTCCTATTCGACCAAAATGAATAAAACGCATTATCTGTAACGTTTTATGACTAGGACTTGGATCAGGACCCGTTCCTGGATCCCTAGTCCGGGATCCTGATTCTCTTCCGGACTCGGACCTCGTACTTTCCGGATGCTTGTAGAATACAGGTTCTGCTTCATATCAAGTCTCCTTATTTTCACCCAATATGTGGGTTCGGATGATCGGATTTGAGTAGAATGTCTTGTCGACGGGTCTTCGATCATTGCTCTCGTTTTCAGACTAGGTAAACTCGTTATAATTAAGTATATCAAGTTGACGTGTTACGTGCAGGCGTAACAGTTTGTACTACAACATGATTGATTTGTCTACTCATTATCTCCTGACATTTACTTTTTCATGAAACATTTATTTTCAAATTGTCATTAGCATTTCCTCGACATAATTCTCCACATTACAACCTTTTTATATACGGCCTGCTATTATGATAGCTACTAGTATCCTGAAACCCTAGTGTGCAGAGACAAACGTGCTCACTCGAAACACTCAAATAACTGCCAACTGATTGGAATTTGGACAGATGAGTGGCTTGACTATTGAGCACCATAAAATACCTGGAATCGTAGCAAATCAACAAGAACCAAGTGCAAACACATCAGTCGGTTTGTGCTAGTTCATAAAAACGATATTAGGTATTGGATAAAAATTCATCATAGTAGAATCGATACTTCAATTTTTCGATATGATCAAATTTTGTTTGTTCCTTTAGAAGTCCCAAAATCCTAACTACAAGGAAACGAGCCTTATATGAACTCACTATTTTTAACGCATTCAAAACTTTACAGTTACAGCTTCTTGCTTCATTTATCAGTTTGTCGTGATCTAATGCTGGATTCATTTCGGGTTGCTTTATATTTATTTCTCTACTGAATGTAAGTGCATTCTATGTGCTTACTAAATTGTCGGTTAACATTTTTCGCTTTTTCTTTTCTCTTCCAGACAACCTCATACACTACTCCACCGATATCCCCAGCTCACAAGGTACTTCCTGACTGAACGCGAACCAACCAGAGGCTGAAGTTACATATTAGTAGCTAATCCTAAATCTTTCTCCGTTGACTTCTTCCTTTGACTTTAAAATTATCAGAGATTAATGCTCCAAACGTTCACCACTGCTCCATTTGCCAACCCTACTGAACTTAAGTTAATCTTGTGAACTCAGTGTCGTATCTGTCTACTTTTTACAATGTTTTCGCTAGATTTATCACCCGCTACTCTCTAAATTGCCATACCAAGCAACGCCTCCCCAGGTTCAATTCAAACACTTGAGTGAATTAAACTAAATATTAGCCACTTGTCATTAAATTCAAATGCTGTATAAAGTTATCTGGATCCAGATAACAGTGGCAAACCTTGAAATCTGTTTATCTGTAAATTCTTGAAGGGTATTCAGTAAATGGATAGCCTGAACTCTAATTCCAAACCTCCTCCAAGTCCCAAAATTGAATTAGATGTTCCTTCAGCGGATAGCCGTTCAAATGTCTCCTGTGGGTATAACCTCCGACCGTCGGGAAGTGTATCGTCATTTATTTCATCATTCACAGCGTCTAAAAATGAGCTAGCGACCAAGTAAGTGTAATTTTTGAACTAGTAATCAACTCACTGTTTGGTAGAAACTACCTGGTCGGGAGTATAGCCGGAGGTGCTGGTTCTTTATTGGGAATTAAAGAACTGAACAAGATGATTCCGGGTAACAACATTGATATCCAAGTTATTACATGGAATATGTTATCAATGAAGTCTCAGGTAATACTTAAAAGATTTCACTAGGTTTACAGGGAAGTATTATCCAGAAGATCTAAGTGATCTCTTTTTCAGTGGATCTTCTGAAGAAGCTGCAAGCATCTACGCTATTTGTATACAAGAGTGTTCTTCCGACAAGTAAGCTTGTATATTTAAAAAAATTGAGCATCTGTTTTTATGGTATTTGTTTTTTGGTTAAATATGCATACTTAGAATGGTTTGTTGTACTTTCGTTCTTAATTGGAATTACGGTGATTTAAATATTGTCTTAATGATATCATTATTGTTCCAGCATCAATCATGTTTCTTATTTGTAAATGTCACATTATTTTCATCGTTTTAGCTTTGTCATTGTCGCTATCGACCTAGAGAGAAGATGATTTGCTAACTCATGTTATTAGCTTTGTCTGATATTTGGTACGAAATTGGATAGTTCTCTTGTGAAACTCTTGAACTTCACATAAATGTTGAGTCACCCATTAAAGATAGTCCACTTTATTATTTATTGCTTCAGTCAGGATGAAACTGCAACTCCCAAGCATGCACTATCAAATTGACTGCGTGAACCGTAATTCGAAATTCTTAGTTATAAATGCTAGGCGATTATCCCCCAAGTTAGATTTGGAGTAGCATTTGAATGATAGCTTGTTAGTGCCTACAAACTTATTTATACAGTAGCCTAAATTGTTAATTAGGCGTATGTCCTTGATGATAAATCACAGAAAAAGCATTTCGAGATGAAAGCATAGGCGAATTTCTTCTGAGTAGTTCATGCACCTTATGCTATATTCTTTAAAAAGCATAAATAGGTATATCACTAGAGCTTGCCTTCAGAATTCTCTAAAAATCATTAAAACTTTTTCCAGAAAGAAGATCTTCAATTTAGCGGATTCTAATCAATATTGTTTGACACATCCATATATACAAGAAGCACACTTCGGGTCTTTAACTTCGTGATGTCTATTCTTCATTGGAATCTTCGTGTTCAACCAAAACACAAGAATTTCAGTGATGAAACCTTATCCATCACACAGATCATTCTTATGTCATGACTGCAGGATTCTATGTATCTTATTTTCATTTATTGTCTGATTCTTTTCATATCAAAGAACATGATAGTATTATACCAACACTCAGAATCAAAACAGTTTAGTGTGAGTACCGAATTTATGGTAGCTTACATTCCCTACAAAGCTATTCCATAAACGTTCGGTTGATGAGTTCGAGAAGGATGCCAAATAGTTACTCTAAAAATGTATTTTGTGCTATCAGGGTTTAAAGGGTGACCCGTTTAGCTAAATGTTTCTGTTCAGGCATATCTATCTCACTAATCTATAACCAGCCTTCTATATGCTTCAAAATCTAAACCAACATTGAATATTTTGAATAGTTGGACGATAAGAAATCCTAATATCATGTTTTATGCTTTCTATCCGAAACCGACTCTTTATGGAGTACATAACCCCAAAAAAAATAATCTAGATTTTGCGAGTAGGACTTGCATGACTTCTACCTGCTTGATGTAAATAAAGCATTTTCATAGGTTTTATTACAGTTAACATTGCACTTGTTACAGGAAAAATTTAATAGTTTTGTTTTAACTCAATCAGTCAAATAAAATGCTGAAAATTTTGTTTTTCTACTTAATAATAAAAAAATTAGTACGTTACGAAAGTAAGGTTGAACCTCTTGATCTAATAAGATTACTGTTTTTCAAAACCCTACGTATAGAATAAATTTGCTATCGAATACCTAATACCTATAAATGAATTAAAAGGCACTATATTTAAAATTACAATAAAATGTTAAAGACGTTGATCAAATAGTCTGAATTCATCTCATCATGCGCTTACTTTATTACTTACAGAACTGAACTTCTTATACGGTTACAAGCCGCCATTGGCATTAAACATGTTCTGTTCACATATGCAACTCATGGGACATTGGCTTTAATGATATTCCTGAATCGCGATCTTATTTGGTATACTTCAGGTATGTGTTATAACAACACTTGGAGTTTAGTTATGATTGTTCACTCCTTTCTGTTATGTATAAGTTTTAGGTATTATATTTCAAATCGTATCAACTGATGTAAACGCATCATGAGTGACCGCAATTTCACTTAGAAATTAATATGTTGGAAGTGTCTATTCTGTAGTACTTATCAAAATATGGCTTGAATGGTGCATTTCTGCATCAAATTGGACCAGTGTTTTAATGTGTACTCAATCTTTATTAAAATAACGATTCTTACAGTGTTTTTGTATTTTATTTTGCTAAAGTCATTACGCATAAATAAGACCTATATGAGCCCAACTAGGATCTTAAAATTTATTTTAATTTACTGAGATATCCAGAGTTTCAAGGGAGCTCATTCAAAGCAATAAGTTTGTTTAATAAAAGAATTTCGAGTAAATTTTTACAATATCATCGTCTCATATGATTGATTTGAAAATATCTGACTCGGTGGACAAGATTTATAAAAGTTCAGCTTTACTCATCCCGATACAGTTTTGTACTTAAGGTTAACAAGTTCATTAAACCTCTTACCAGTGTGTGTACAGAGCCTTTAGGACATTTGAAACGGTTAGTCTCTTTGATAAATTTGAATAGTATAATAAGCAGGTAAAGATAATCATAACTATTTGATAGTTTAGTGCAATACATTTCGATTAATTTGATCACACATATACTTATTAAGAACATTTATCAATAAAAAAAAATGAATGGTCAACAAGGTGAACAAGATGTAATCGAAGAAAAATGATAAAATAATGTTGAAAACAATCTGAAACGAACAACTCTGAGTACTAAACCAATATTCATAGGGTAGGTTTAGCATGAGCATTAGGTGTTTAAAAATTGAGGAGGCTTAGCATATTTTTTTCGACCAACAATTTCAGCATCCAATTTTTTATGTCCTACCCTTTTTAAAACCCTGTCGGAAAATCACTATTCACACAATAGACTGTTGGAAACAAAATATCTCATTTGGCTGTATAGTCATTTTCGGAATAAAGTTAGCTTTAAAAACTCAACACGTCACTTGTAAACAGGGGATATACATGATGTTTATTAAAATATCTGTCTCTTTTCAAATCACATTCAACAAAATTAATAGAGAAGCCTTCTTTATACCAGTTTTAATGTTCAGCTATACTACTTACCTAATATAGAGTATATTCAATAACAAGCTCCAGAACACAATGAAAATAGTTCACCTATTTGACATTTAAGAACCCTCACTAATCTGATTTAAAGTTAATAAATTTGTTCGAAATATTAGTTGAATCACCGAATATTCAACGGCACTCATATATATTCACAAATTTTTATCTTATATTTTAGTGCCTCAGTCTGTTGGTGTGACAACTTCAGCTGCTGTACGAACTAAAGGAGCTGTAGCTATTTGTTTTATACTTTTTGGTACATCACTTCTATTCCTTTCAGCTCACTTCAAAGGTAAAGATCATTGAATATTTGTAAAGAAATTCGGAAAAATTAATTGTGAAACTTTGAATTTCATTAACTTTATTTGCATATATCTTGTTAACATTGGTCAATATAGTATTCGATTCTTGAGAGAATAAGTCAAAATAATTTCTTTGCATAATATTCTAAAGGATTTTTATGTTACTAAAAGAAAGTTGTTTGTTTGGTAATGATATTATTTACAATATTTGATAAATCCTACAGCAAAGTATATATGAGTGAGACATATAAAGGTTGTAATCTTACTATAAATCAATTATTAATTGTGTTGAACAATCAATCTAAGAACAAAGATTGAGAATTTGTTAAAACAATGACATATTAATCGATAAAACCAGTAAATAATAATATTGTTTTTATTTATAGTTACGTCGATATTTGGTCTCTTTGATCAAATTATCATTTAGTTTCTCAGTTCTAGAATGATAATTAATGAACCATCCTTTATGTTACGAGATTAAAAAAAAAGTGATATATGACATACTGGTGAAAACACACGGATTAATTAAGTGTCAGTTGTACAATCGTAACATAATCTATAATTTAAAGCCAGGTCACTTACCATATCATACATTTAATAATCGTAGCAGGTGAGTAGTTGAAAATTACCGAATATTTTGACGGAAAGAAATAGATGTATTGTGGTTAAGACTACTAATGCTTTGTCGTTTTGCTTAATATTTTCATTTCGGCTATGCTTATGTAGTGTAGCAACTTGAACCAATTTATCTTTGTTTCAGACTCTGCTTTCTGTATGTCTGGCTGTATCCAGTGATAAAGAATTCACTTTCTGTTACAACCAAACTAATCAGATGAAACCTTTAAATAATCCGATATCGGAAGAGTTTAGCATTGTTAATGAAATAATTTATTCAAAAATGAATATAAGTAATTTACAGTGTAACTATTTGTCTCAGTCAGTTAATCAACAGCAACGTAGAACTTCGTACGTACGTAGTACATCAGTTCAAGTTGCCACACCACATTAGCACAAAGATGCAAATTTCACTTTAAATACCATAATAGTAGAGGTAGTAAAATTATTAGCAGTAATCGGAGAGATTGGGGTTCGAAGATCTCATTCAAGAAGTAGAGTCTAGTGAAATGAACTTAAAAAGATAAAGATAAGGGTGATGAGAAACTCAAAAGGTTAGGGTTTGAGAGAACACAAAGAGTGAATGCACCTGCGCCATTGCAAACGGATTTGAGCCATGTCTTTCAACGTCTCTAACCATCGATTACTACCCCAACCAGGTAGTCGACACCTACCGACATGACTCGGTCCAGTTGTCGGTGACGTTACGGATTTTTACCATGTTTTGGTCTGGCTGCCCCTCGCAAAACATAGCTCGGCGAGGCAGTCGACGGTTATAATAATGATCAAAATTTTAGTAAAATACTCATCTAGTTACTTTGAAATATATGGTTTACATTTATATTACACGCGTTGTGACCTTTGAAGTTAATCAGTTCAGCGGTAAACAAAACTAGTCATGGAAGATAATAACTCATTCGTACAACGTAATTTATACAACACCTTCCTGTTATACTCACTGTGTTTTTATGACATCGACATTTTTTCTCGACACATTTAGCTAACACGCGTTCAACAATCTTAGCCAAAATTGGTCAACCTAGCGCTATCATGAATATCATGTTGTTCTTACTTCTTCTCAACAGAAACAGAAACATTTCTTAACAACATCCAGTCAAAACTAATTGATTATAAGTCCTTTTAAATCAAATGAATGATTCAAATAAATACAATAAATCTTATTCTAATAAGTAAAATCACCAATCACAACGGACAACAAGCTTAAAATGTATACACTTGATAAAACAATTAATTACTATTGAATATATTCTCTTTAAAAAGTTTCATATTGTATTTGAAATACTTATTTAACCATGATCTCAATTAAACAACATTGATCTTAATACAAATTTTAGCTAATCATACAAATTTTGATCGAAGAGTTCAAGATTATTTACAAGTAGTGAATAATATTAATCTACCAAAAGTTGGTTTTAAAAAAGGATATAAATATGAAGGTATGTTATTATGATTGATAATAAATAATAATTTCTTGTAAAAATTTATATCAAACATTTAAATTAAATGCTTTATAGAACATTTTTTTTATCCGTAAAAACCTCTTTCTTCCGCCTAATCGATAATTGCAAAAAAGCTAATTACAGATTACACTCTTTAATTAGATAATTCATTTCGATGAAAATCACATCAGATACAGCTAACGAAACAGAACAAGACTTTTGGTGTAAATTGTCAAACCTCGCTTAACATTGCAGTATAAGAAAAGATGGAGAGAGAGAGAGTAAACAATTATAGCCAGTGTAGTGAAGGAGAACACAGGTGGGGCAACCGGATTGTATTTAACGAAAATTACAGAGTTACTCAGTAAAATCGGAAAACCATATCGTAAATCGTTAATTTGGAAATTATCAGTCCATCATATCGAACTGGACTGTTCCTGTTGCAAAACATCAATCCATTGTCACTATTCATACGTTTCATACAAATTCCATTGTGTTCTAACTCTTCCTTTCTTGATCTTCCCCCATCTGCTGCCAGACATTACGTTGACACTCACATTATATACTACTTATAAGTAGCTCGCACCACACCAGTAGTTTTTTATTGATAAAATGAACATTACAGTGATTAGTTGAAAGCACCAATAAATGTAGTTCATTTTTATTTTCAACATTAATCAGTTTTTTTTGAAAAACTATTTCTAGAACCTAATCCATTGGATCGTTTTGATGTTGTATTCTGGGCAGGAGATTTAAATTTTCGAATACAACGACCAAGGCATATTGTTGAGAATATAATTAAAGGAAAATATAAACATAAAACATTTGAAGAACTTTTATCAGTTGATGAATTACTAAATGCTCAATCACAAGGTAAATTATTAAAAATATTTTTCTCAAAAAACTATTTATTTCACAGTATTGAATTTGATATTTCAACTTAAAACTGCTTTGAAATGAATAACTCTGTCCATTTGCATTCATCAAGGCAATAAAGTGATAAGTGCTGTTGTCTTTCACAAAACACATGTAAATCATAACTTTACAAATAGATATGTAGATATTTTTACTGATATATATATTTATTCATATCTCAAAGTATATATTCAGTTATATATTGCAATCGTACACAACTCGAAATGTATAAAAAAGAATAAAAAGATTTGAATTTAAAATCGGTTTGTAGCATTTAAATTGACTCTTAAATGCTTGGCAAACACTTGTATAGCAGAAATAATCATACACCTATCATTTCTTGAACTCACCAACACGGTAGGCTAATTATACCCGGCAGAAATCTACGTGATGTTGATAGGGTATTCATCCAATATCTTAAGATAATTGTGTAATTCTATTGGTCGTCCTAATTATCAATGTCACATACTTCAAATGCTGTTTCCTATTCAACCTAACTGTATAAAAATGCATTATCTATAACGTTTCATGACCTGGACCCTCACCCTCTTTTGGACTACTCACACCTCGTACTTCCTGGAATAGAATACAGGTTCTACTTCATATCAAATCTTCTCTTACTCAATAGGTTGTTGGGACAATTGGATTAGAGTAGCATGTCGTGTCACCGGATCCTCGCTCTCGTTTTCCGACTAAGGTAAACTCATAATAGTTCAAGCATAGTAAATGACATGTTTACATGCAATGTGTAACAGATGTCATTTTTGTGATAAAAGCTATGTTTAGGTTAAATAAATCTTTACCAAACTGTTTCATTTAATCAGCGATCCAATGATCACTAATTAGTTAGAAATGTATTCTCCAAGGTTGCTATAACAACATTTGACCTGTAAAGTTCACCAAGTTGAATTAAGAAAGAATTTACTACTAATGTCATTCGATGATAACAATGAATTAATGTTATAGATCATAAAATGACTAAATTTAAAAATTCTCTTATTAAATTCCTACCTAATAGTTAAATGATGATATCCTAATGACTGAGAGATATTCAGCATATCATTTTTTGTATAGGGCTTAACTTCACTATGAAATTCGTTAACGATAGATGTCCATTAAAACAAATGAAACGATTCTTTAACAGTTTATTTTTAAACTGTTCCTCATATGATGTGTATTTATCAATAAACTTACCTTCCTTTTTCTGTTAATTTGAATGAATAAATTTTCTATTTATCTTGGTTACCAATTCAAATGATTGTTTTTGTATTAAAGTGATCCTTCTTTTACTAATAATTATACAAATCTCTATATATGTCAGTCAAATGGAATATAAAATATATTATAAAGCTGAAAGATTTTGCTAAAAAAAACTTATTCCAAAAAACTAAAATGTTTACACGTAATAAAATTAAATGAGTCATGCTATAGACAGGTAGATAGATAGATTCTCATCAGATAAAAATCTTCTAGAAGTTATATTATTTCAGTACAATGAATCAATTTCTGACTAAAAAAAATCAATCCATATTCGTTATACAAGTAATTATTTATTTGTAGTGCCGCCACATACATTTGAGTTCGCTTATATTTAATTCGATTAACTTATTCAATCAAGCAATTTGTATAACCAATAACTTATATGTTGTACCATTGGTTTTCACTATTGTCTAGTTTGTATGAGCTGGTACGACTGTGAACATTGCTTACCGCCTACGCGCATATTCATCCTATTCCCTTGAATGTTAATCTCTTAAGAATTTCGATGATTCAGACATTTTCCTATGTATATACATGAACATTTTAATCTTATTAATACATTCACTAATTCGTCAACTCGCTCGCTAGTGTGCTTGACCTTCTCTGTGCGTTTGTAGTCTGCTGGTTCGCTTTGTGGTGTGTCAAAAAATAAACGTATTCAACGCTTTTTTGTATTTGCCTTCTGATTTATAACCGTCAGGCTCTGTTTGGTGACGATTGCCTAGACGAGCGAATTACGAAGCTAGTGATACATTGGCCACCACATACTACTAATGAATGTGGACTAGTTATCGAATATATATATATATATATATATATATATATAAGTTTAGGATATGGATCTGTATGTTTTGAGTATATTCATTTCTTAATATACCATGTATGCAATATCAAGCACTTTCAAGGTGCATTTTTTCAGTTATTAGTAAAATGCTTGATTTTCACTGACGATTTCATTTTTGAACTTGTAACTTTTCTGTTATATTTGTTTGTTTTTCATTCAAAAACTTGTTATGAGTTACAATGGTGTTATTCATAGAGAACATATTTAGATAGGTTTAAACTAAAATTCCAATGAAAGTCATGCTCTTTATATAGAGAGCATTCACTCATTGGATAAGCACAGATGGTCGGAAATAGTAAATATTAAAATTTTTGTTGAACGTCAATCTGTGCATTATATGAGAGAGGTAATGATAATCAAGGAAGAGCAGTAATAAATGCATACAAAAAACTGTACGGACGGTACTAGTATATGAATAAATACTGAGTTAAATGTTCAAGATTTACAGAGAGCAAAAGTGTAGATGCTTGTACATCGTATAAATTAATCTTAAGCCATATTTATCCATATGACTCAGTATTAAAAGCGCACAGTTTTCGATAACTGAAAAGATCAAATGTTAATGATATTAATGCATGTTCTAATTCACTCTAGGAGACTGGTAACATCAATTTGATATTATCAGATTGCATAACACAAGATTAACAATTAATATCCTCATCATTAGGTATTCTCTATGAAAATCATAACTACTTACATTAATGTGAAATCTTAATTATCAGTAAAGTCTCCGATTTTTAAGGTTGTTTGGTTGATATAGATCAACATAATTAAAAAATCAAGTGAGGTTAGTTCTTAAAACAAATGTGTTGAAGTTTCATCTGAACAAAGTACTTTTATTATATTGGTTTTGAGAACTGAAAACATTCGTTCATAAATGCTTTCTATATGGCATAAATATTAAGAGACAATATCTAAATGCAATTCGATAATCCAATACGAGAATGTGTACTAGACCATTTCCTAAACCCCATTGCGTAAGCAGTTTGTCATAACACTTCGTAGTTTAAATTGAGAAAGTTCCAAACGTGTGACCCAGAAAGTGACATTAAAGCACGATAGGGCAGTTCAGTACTTCTGGCTTACTTATACACCATTTTGTGAACTTCAACACGATCTAATGAATTATTCTTAAATTATGAAACTACCCCAACAAATAAAACCAATCTTTTAATCAAGTATGAATCGAGTCTCCAGTTAGAATGCCACTTCATTTACCTCGGTTTAGGAAACCAGATATTACACCCAATTTATACGGTGTACCTCGAAGTTCAGTATACAAATCCGTACTTTCTAATAGATCTACAAAATAACAATAGAAAGTGAGGTTCAACCACTGAAAAAACTTCAATCTAACTTGTGATTACTGACAGTGGAAACTATCTAAAAACTCTAGATATACTCAGTAATACTTATTTCTTAGTATAATCTCATATCAATCTCTTTATTTCCTCAATTTATCCAGTTAGACAAAACTGTAGAGAAAATGACGACCCTGATAAGGGTTTTATTTTATATATTTTTTGTGCAATTTAGCAAATTAATGAGTAATTATTGTGCTTTGATCATTTTACATGAATTCTCAGAATATTATTGTAATAATAGTTTAAAAACTACAGTTGGCTAAATCTCAAGGTCACAATAATAATAATAATGATAATAATAATAATAATAATAGTGATAATAATAATCTTATTCTTAACCTTATATCTCTCAGAGAATATGCACACACGATCTCAAGATTAGAAAAGTAGTATATATATATATATATATATATATATATATATATATATATATATATATATATATTCGCCAAATTATTCCGGTTTATTGGATAACTAAGGCTTCAGCTTCTACTATGTATTTTATCTTTTAAAAGGTATCGTTTTCCAGAATTTTGATGAAGGCCGCATTCGTTTCCCTCCAACTTACAAATTCGATCTTAATTCAGATGTTTACGACTCATCGGAGAAACAACGCGTTCCATCATATACGGTAAGCAATGCAAATTCCTTTTTATTGTCTCTACACTAATTGAAGAAATCAGTAATAATGTTATTTAAATAAAATCAAATATATTTCTCATTAATTAGACGTGTCGCGCTTTTTCATTCTCAACATATTTTACAATCACAGGAATAGAGTGGACAAACAGATGAGAATCATCCATAAAAGTCTAATTTATCATACTTAACATCAAGAAGATCGAAGGAAATAAAAAAAAATGTAGAAAGTTAGGTGGTAAAGATGATAAGTAAAATAGTAGCAATCATAAGAGAACAATAAGCACGAGAATAACAATTAGAAATTAAAAAGTCTAGGAATGATCACAATGGAACAATGCTAAGTTCATGATTCAAATGAATATGCAAGTTGAATTCGCCCGTATATGACATTATTTGAACTATTAAAATGCTGCCTACAATGAGTCATAATCACCTGACTAACATGGATCAGCTCCACATCCTAGCTCAGACTAACAATAAGTAACGTCACATATTAAGCCTACATAGTTGACTTGCTACCTTATGAATTATTTTCTTGTTAGTACGATGCATCGATGAAGGGAATTTCTGGAGTGTCAACTTATTTCCTAACCGACTTCTTTGATTAATGTTCATGCAATTACGGAATGGAATATCGGAAAGCATTTATGATTTCATGCTATTTGTGATCGTCCTGATTAAATCAAAGCATAACAGAAATTACTTTTGAACTCATTATCACAGCATTTTCGAACTTGACGGTAGTTCGATGATACGTTTCATGTCATAATAGGATCCAATAACTTACTGTTTTAACTTTGTTGATTTAAGTATCTTACTGACATTTTCCCCTTGTTTGTTTCCTATTATCTTACACATTTTTTTTATAGGACAGAATATTGTTCTTGTCAAAAAAGAAAGGAAATTTGATTTGCTTAGATTATAACAGTATTAACACAATCCGTTCATCAGATCATAGACCTGTGTTTGCACTATTTAGTTTAGTTCTTAAACCTGGATCAGATAAGTAAGTTTAGAAAATATGTTAGCTAGATAGCCTGAGTACAAACTTTTAAATGAGTAATTAGGAGTTTAATTTTACAGTTTGTATCAATGTTAACAAACGTAAATATGTAGACGTTAGATTTTTGACTTTTTAGTGGACAGAGAAAATTTAAATGGAAATCTCACCTAAAAAAAATTCGGGGTAAATATAATGAAATGTACGGTGATGGGCTACAGATAATTCCGTAATATTCCTTTTTAATAATGGATCTATCACTGGAAATTACATACAATCGGACTTTAACACCGCTTAAGATAACTATGCGAAACTAACGTCTATCATTTAGGAAGTGAACTTAGACTATGAGAGGCAGCGCTTTCACTAAGTAGCTCTAACAACGAAAACTAGAGACAGAGGGTTAGCAATAACAAAAAACCGTATCAGATTACGGAACCAGTTTTTACCGGCAACTGTTTAAAAAGATCAGAGGAAGGCCAAGGAACACATTAAGCCGAGAAATAGAGAAAGATATGAGAATAATGAACAAAAATTGGACAGAACTGGAAAGGGAAGCCCAGGACAGAGTTGGTTGGATAAAACTGGTGGGCGGTCTATGTTCCATTGGGGGTAACAGGCGTAAGTAAGTAAGTACGTGTTGCTGGTGCTCGACTCGTTTTCGCCCACGATAATAAATCGACACAAATTTAATCGTTTGTTTGAGATCCAGCCCATAGAATGTGAAACACATCAAAAGTATATTTGCAACCCAATAATTATTCGATATTATGTGATCAAGTGACAAGTCCTCACAGCTGACAATCCTCATAATGAATTATCACCAATCACCAGACGAACAACTATATTGTATTTAATAAAGTAGGAAGTAAGCTAGATCACTATGTGATTGGTAGTTAGACTTCAAGTCAAAAAGCACTGACCCCACGATTAGTTTACGATAAACGAACAATACAGAGACTCTCTTGATAACTAGGGTCGTAACATAATGCGCTTAGTTTTGAACTGTTAATAGCGTACATACCTATATAAAATCGCTTAAATGCTCACTACATACCACTCTTAAATTTTGATTAAATTTAAATAATTGTGTTAATTACTCTAACAGAATCATTAAATTTCCTTTATAGCATTGCGCTGGCGGCTGGTGCATTTAATAGAGATATATACATAGCAGGTACGTTTAGACAGATAGAACTGTAAAGTAACGAGTCCAACGAACTTAATACGGGACAAGTGATTGTATGCATCCAATCTATTGACTAACCTCTTATCTTGCTACTAAATAAACGCAAGTAATTTTGTGACGCATTGTACATCAATCCTTTCATATCAAAACACAAATTCACAGTTGTTCGATACTTATGAAAGAGTGATTATCTGTTCATAAAAATGCTAATTTCAGTCTCAAATAGCGCAAAGATGTTGATGACTGATGATCAAGATTACTAGCTGCACCTTTCCAAATTTCGTAAAAATGGATATCAACTCAGTTTTGACGTTTTTTGAACTAATACGAACACATTATTTCAAATCTTATCAACATGTACATATTTTTGGTACACTTTTATGATTTACTCCAACTTCGGCACTTGTTTTCTAGATTATACTAATTTTTCACCGAATTTCTTTCTGATGTAATGGATAACTGTTGATCAAACTCAATAAGTAGTTAAACAAAACAAGAATCTAAAGCAGAACTCATATCCCTAAAACAATATCGTGTAGTAGCTTTCAACTGAAACATTGCAAAGCTTGCATCTCACTTCAACTATAATTGATTTTTACCAGCGCTTATACTGAATATGTATGACTTATAATCGGTGCATGAGCCACATTGAATTGTGGAGTAAGAAATCAGTCTAAATTAGACGTTTTTAAAAGAAGACAATTTATCTATATTTTTCTTTATTCTCAGTAACTCTGCATTATTACAAGTAAAGATAAAAATTAAAGAAACTCTAAGGAGTATTAGAATGTACAACAATGAAGTCGATTATGAACAAGAAAATACGAAAATCATACTACTCAACCGGTATATCTCAGTAGTTAGCCATCTGTATTAAAATCCATAACTTTACTTGAGTGCAAGTCTATAAAAAAACAGTAATACGTGGGAAATTGTTTTACTAATGAATTTCACGATAATTAACCCAATACTGAATGCAAAAATCTCAGTTATGTTTCATAATTCATTATTCAAACTAGTCGAAATAGTATACTACAGTCTATATTACCTAAAACTTGATTATTTACAATGTGGTTAACGCCCAATTAGTTTTTTGTCCCTTAGAAAAAAGTCATGTGATAATTGGACGTACTAGTAATTAATTTAGAGTCTTCAATCTAACGTTTTTAACTCAATTAACAGTATTCATGAAATAGTTCTTTTATATTATTTATTATTATTATTATTATTATTATTATCCTATTTCGATGTTTCCAATTTGTTTCATCAGGCAATCAACGTCGTGCTCTACGTTTAGATAAACTTAAATCAAAAAAGAGTACAACTCACGCCAGAGTGTGCACTATCCAGTGAGATTTTCATAACGATTAAAATGAATAAGGATGTATATAGATTATAACATTTGAAACAAATATTTCATGTACAAGTTACTAATTTTCTACTGAAATAAATTTTGTTAAAACCATATAATTTTTGGTAATTACTACTATTATTTCAATTTCCGTATAGAAATACATGAATACGTGTCTGTTAGCAAGATGGATATAATACAGAATAGACATAAACACAAGAATATCTCACGTTCACTGAATCATGTGTTAAAAAAATTCGAACTTGTTGAGTATGGTATGTACAAACGCTTTAGCAACTAGTAGGGCATTAAAACTGACATCTGATAACACAACGATACCAAGTGTGAATAAACATTTTACATATTAATATCAAAATTGAAGAGAATAAAATATAGGAGTGTACTATAATAATGTGGACATACGGAAATAGTTAGACAAGTAACCATCAATGGAAAGTCAACAAGCGTTTCTCAATGTAGGATAATAACTTCTCTGGGTAGCCACGAGTAAATCCAACGAAGCCAGCTTGCTCCGGTAGAATTTCAGGGCCCAGTAACTTTTGAAGTTCAGCCAGTGACAAATTCTAAACATCAACAAATAAAATTATGAGGAAAAAACATTTAGATGGATATTCAGAGGTTTACCTCATTGCGTACAAATGGAGAAGAATAAGTGGACTCATTTCCTGTCCATATCAAATGGTTAAGTGATGCAGGAGTACACACTAAAGCATGTTTTCCTTGTAGCAGAGCAAGCGCAAGTTCTTCCTGATGATTATCCATCAACGTGTTATTTATGACGACAATCAAGCGATGGCTGCCACATGGAGTAAGCGCCTGGATACAAGTGCCTGCACCGCCATGACTAATAACTAAGGATGCGCTTTGAAAATCATCTACAAGAGAGTCTTTGTATCGAAAGGCTTTGATACGTAGGGAAGAATCTGAAGACAAATTTCCAGTATTTTCGGTGCAAATGTTTTCCGGAACATGTGGTATGACAGATCCATTTCCATACTGTATGATCAGATCTTTATATCCCAATCTCGAAAGACCTTTATGAAACTCAGGTTTATTAACTTCATTGATCAGCTCATCAAATGAAGTTGTGCCAACAGTAACGAATGCAACAACCATTCTTCAAGGTCGAAAAATGGTGTTCGATGTTACGCAAATGTCCTAGTTATGAGTGATATATTTATGACCAGACAGTCTGGCCTTTTTGTCTACCTAAACCAATAGAAAACACAATACACACACATACTGGTTGAAGACAGCACAAGTGGAAAGCACGCCTAGCTACTGCACACTCAGGAGGAAAGTTTTCACGTTCCAAGCACTTTCGTGGAGTGAGTTTTTTCTAAAGCATGCTATGACTTTATCAAGACATACATCCTGACAACAAGGACTGCGTAGTAAACAAAACAGTAACTCCGCCTTCAAGTCTTCACAAGGTCCTTTTTCTCTCATCTACAGAAGCTGATTGGCAAAGTCTTGTATCCGATAGTCCTGAAATACAAGAAAAGCAGTGTTTAATTTGATAGGCCACTAAACGGATAAGTACAGTGGGTTTTGTTGCACTTTGATGCATTAGCGAGCTCCTTTATTCAGAAATGAATACCAGGAAAATTAAAAATTTTTATGCGTATAGTGGGATTGTTCCTAGGATAAACAACTAGTTTTTGTCTATGCACCGAACAAAAATAAGAGAACACTTTTATTACGGAACCTTAAACCTGTTGTTTGTGAATGGTTGGACTCCTTGATAAGATTGAGGTATAAGTATTGAGTTTATGACAACTTACGCATTACAACCGAACCTGTACTTCAGTCTGGGAATGCAAGTAACTACGCCAAAACTTTTAAAAACCATGTAGGACCAGTCTTAAATGAAGTAATGAGACGTAAAGCCTGTTTTGATTGAAGCTGAATGACTACACATTGATAATTTTCATCAATTCGAATGTCATAATCCAGAAAGATTATACTTATCTACGTGAATCGGATTAACAGTCAGTGACAGTGACAGTCAGTGTGACAAAACTTAGAATTTTATGCAGCCAAAATATGTCGCATACAGCAAAAAACGTTGACGTGACTAGATTTTTAGTACAGACCCTAATAAATAATCTGGTCCAAGTCTGTCATTTTAACTTATAATTTTAATCACTAGAGAATAACGTTAACCTCCAACATTGCTCAGTCGATAGTTGTATTACAAGAAACAAATGCTATGTAAACACTAGTGGTTGAGTGTTTGTAATCAACGTATATTCTACATTTTGATGCTTATGTTTAGTAAATTGCTTTTTTACTTCAAAAGGAAAAAGGATATGTTCATTAAGTTACATACATTGTACTTTTACAAACGCTGACCTATCCCTATGAGAGTGTACAAATATTTTGATAGAGATCACCTTACTTCGCTGACAAGAAATTTGTTAATGACGTCCGAACTTTAGTGAACTGATGAAGACATTAATATGATACCACAAACTGTGGACCCAATATTTGCATGCAACTAAAGTGATTGACCTGAATAGAACAGACGGATTATCTGTTAAACCATTCAAAACTACCCGTAGTATTTATACGAAACATTTTATGCAACAATCCTATAATACACACTATAAAACTAACAAAAAATGAAAATACAATTGAGTAGAACTGTTTCTGATGGTTGTTAGTACTGAGGGGTTGAAGAAGTAAACAATTATTCTTGACCCTGAACAGTTTGACAAATAGGTATGTGAATTTTTTTTATAAAAAACCAACTTAAACTAACACAAAATTGTTGACAATGCAGAAAATAGATTTCATAGCGGAGGATAAATTCTGCAAAGATTGTACCCTTTGTTGTAACATGGTTTAATTCATAATCTGAACAATTCCAAATTAATCGGAATATGACTGTCCATGAGAGACAAACAAATGCTGATATCGTAATACGTAAGGCTTCAGAAATTTTTTTCCATTATAATACATAACTGCGTGGATTCGTTACCGAGCCAATCGTTTAGTTAGACAATGTCTCAAGAATTCCGAAGGATTGTTATGATTGAGTTCACTAATGGACTGTAAGTCTGTTTAGTTTACTAGTATGGTCTACACAGTAGTATGAGCAATTAAATATGAGCTGTGTGTTGCTTTACGGATGTGAAACATAGACTTTTGATTTACAAGACATGAGTAGGCTGCATGTTTTTAATCAAATATGTCTTCGAGGAATTCTCAGCGTTCCATGGGAGGATCAAGTGAGCAACGTCGACGGTGAATGCAGCAGTTAGGTAATTATGGTAGATCCGTTGATGCAGTAGTTAATCTACATACAATGGAGTGGTCAGGGCGTGTTACATACATTTAGCCATCAATCATCTTAACATGCAGTGTTTGATGATGAAGTCAGTTGAGTGAAAGATTAGGGCGACTAAGCTAAGACATGATATTAACCCATAAGGTCAGAGACTGGAGGAGCCATATTACTGAATACAGACTACCAGGTCGGTGTACGAGTAATGATCATGACAAATGGTTAGAGGAGCTGAGTAACATGGCTCATAAAGTCACAATAGAGCAAGTATATTATTTACGTTTTCTTAGATAATACATAAATACACTTTTCTTTGCCTTTAGGGATCATATCCCAAATACTTCATACTCCACGTTATCCTTGACATATTATTTGACACCGGTTGCTTATATAGTAGTTTCATCTCAACATGGTGATAAGAAATGTCAGCTTGAGTCAACGTATATATATATATATGTATGTATATATATATATACATATATATATATATATATATATATATATATATCAGGCTGTGTTACTGATGATTAACTGAGATATAGTCTACAACCGTTTAAACTGCTTAAACTTAAAAACTATGTTTCGCATGGTAAATTATGGACTGTTTAGAAGTTTGTGGTTACGTGATACGATAATGTAAGGCTTGATAGAACTTTCAAGACGTGAGAAATCAACTTAACCCGATATCTGAAATCTAGGAATAAATATCATAGATGAGTACGGATGTACACCCAACAAAAGTCAGTTTTCGCTTTATTGAATACTACAATCTACACCTGTACCATTCACTGTCGGAAATAGTATAATTAGAATAACTAGCACTTTTGTCGAGAATGTTATCAAACCCAGATCCCTGATTTTGAGACGACTTACGAAGTTATACTACAATGCCTGCTTGACACACCTGTACGGCCACTCCTGGACAAACCGCACCATTCCAAATTAAGAAAAAACGGATATATGTTAATGGTTGTTATAGTGTCATTTACGTAACTATATAAATGGATGAACTCAATATCAATTTACTAATAATGTTCTTCGGGGTAAGTCGGACTTTTCCTTCATAAGAACTTACTCTTGAAATCAACGTCAGTGAGCAGGCAGTTCCAAGGTCAAAATTTTTAAGAGTTCGGCAGGTGGAGAAACGAATATTAATTTCTGATTCCAATATTCAATATCCATCATCATTTTCACGAGCTAGTATAAACCACGTCATTTCCTGGTACTCGATTCTTATTGTTTTTGGACGGTTCCCGGTATCAGGTAATGTCTGACGTGAGTTTAGTCACTTGGCTGCACTAATTCTAGTCATTTGGCATTAACAGATAAATTTTTATGTCCCATTTTTTGAGTGAGTGCGTTTGTCTCAGGGAAGTAGGGTTTTTTGATACCACCGGTCACCACGTTACTAAACTGGAGACCAGTAAGTCTCAATGGGGAGAGTAATAGGGAAAATATCTATTACTAATGAAAAGAACAATTTAAAACTAAGTGAATAAATAGGGTAATGAATTTGGAGTGAAAACTACGGCACAGGACAGAAGTGTGCACAGTGATGAAACAAAGATAATAAACGAGATAGAATAAGTTAGTAATCTGAAGAAATGACAATAACAAGAAACAGGTTTATAAACGTGCATCAGACGCAGTCTGTCAGAGAGATGATGATCCCTTTGTGGTTTCACGTTTGTTAAGTTGCTTTTTGAAGCCTTCCATTGAACGGACTGTGGTCACTTCGGCTGGGAGAGCATCCCAAGTCGCGTTAACTATTAGAGAGAAAAGGCATGCGCAAAACTGGATGTATCTTATTTGATGTGCAATTTTTCAGCAGGCGTGGTGGTAATGTTTTGAAAAGACGCTCATGTTGGGATGATTCGATGAACTTGATATGTTTTATGCAAGTATCAGATCACCTCTCGTTTTCCTATATTTCAGAGGGAATAGTCCTAAGTGTTGTAGTCTATCATCAAAATGTCTATTCTTTAATCATGTCACCCATGTAGTTACTCGCCTCTGCATTCAATCCAGGAGATTTATTTCTCTTTCATGGAAATTAGATGCATCGACGTTGTGATCTCCGGATTGTCGTCATGAATATGTTTTAAACAGAGATGGGTAGCATTCCTAATCGGCAGTACTAAGTTGTCTTTGCGTAAATTGTACGGTAGCATTTACCTTTAGTGTGTAGTGATTTCATTTTTCCGAACAAAAGTACGTCTGGGTAAATAGCAACATTCATTATTATAACCAGTTACATCAATTAACGTCTCACCCAACATTTGTTTATTCTTACTTTTGTCACGCCCTGACCTTATTTTTTGTTGATATACCGACATTACACTACAGTCACGCGCCTCTCCTTTTCCGGTTGCTGTCTTGATTTTTATCCTATACCTTCATTCAGTTCTCTGAAACGTTTCGGTATTCTTTCGATACCAAGAAATCGCCAGTATATACACTTATTTCATCTGGTCAATCCCATCTTCTCATTCCGACAATAGATTTCGGATCACGCTTGAGACCCCAGCCTAATTGATTTATAGATTTGTTCACAGTTTTTCTACTCGAACGTTTTCAAGTGCATCCCTTCTTCCATTTGAACTGGTTTCTAAGCTTCCTGTGTGTAATGGACCAAGATGGCCCTCTGAGGAAACTCTAAGTAGCGGACTTCCAATGAGGATGTAAGTTGTAAGGAAGACTGTTCATGACGTGAAATTTTAATGGTTCAGTTTGAATAAGTTTTCCACTGCCCATTCGTCGATTGTGTGTCCACATTATTCCGTGTTTAAGAGCAACATCACCGATGCTTTAACGTTGTAACCTAGGTACATAAAAAATTCATAAACGATAGAAGATTAGTGTGACATCGAATGGGATATCTGAATGCATTGTGAGTCTTCAAGTAAATGTATGGTCCTTTCATATAGGAAAGTTACTTGAACCAATGAGGTGTTAGTGTAGAATCTTTTTTGAATGTTTTGTTCTTCGGAAAATCCCTCCATGTTTACATATTTTTGTTATGACATGACGGACTCTTTTTTTTGACATTTTTGGTATTTTATTTGATTCCAATTTGAGATTTTATCATTGTATATTGTTATTATTTCTATATTTTGTACTTATATTGAAGTTTTTATGTTTGCTTCTGAACTGTATATATGTTGTTTAAATTTGATCTTTAATATGGCTACAGCCATATTTGGATTGATACGGTGGCGGTTGGACTTATTACCTTTGCCTTGGATACTCTTCGGAGTAATTGTGACCTGGAAAGTGCATCAACTCCAGGTATTGCTTTGTATTTCCATCTTTTAATTAATATAGACAGTTTTCTCCTAGAATTGTTGTGTTTTTAATATTGGACCGGGAGATACGCGTTCAGATTGCACTTATTAGAACCCATTTGAACTGCTACGGTAGAAATCCATTTATAGTTAGGATATCCCAAACCTCCTTTACACATAATAAACTGAAGAGATCCATATAGTTTGGTTAATGACATGGCACCTGTAGTGAATAGTTCCCCCAAAATGTGTAGGTCTATATGGTATCTGTAACAAAATTGTCTTCTGTGTCGTATAGTGATTTCCTTGCATTTAACAGCTCGGTTACATTTTTCACAGCTTTTTTAGTTTTATCCCTTGACTAGGCCTTCGCCTCATTCAATCAAACGTATACACAAGATCGCATTCCAGTAAATCGATGAATACCTAATGGCTGGATAGCCTATATTTCATACGCTTCGCCATGTCTGCATGAAATTCAAACACGCCCTCCGATTGGTTGTCGGCGCATTTTAGTCTTGAAGAGGCTGAAACTATTATCGTGTCTTTCTGGATACCTCGATAGACTCTCAACTTCTGAATATTTTACCTACGTTCATTTTGAAGTAGACAAAATGGAGTGCCCTAGGAAATGTCTGAAGGTACTTGGGATACTGCTATTAAGTTCATCCTCAGGTGCCTACATTATAGCAAGAATAAACCTAGTGTTTCAAACGATCACCGTGATATTTGAGCTCGAACACAAACCAACCTCGTTACTTGTTTTTCCGCACAATCCGGAGTTAGTTTGTTATCCTACGTTCGTTCAGTATGTCATTCATTGCTTTCTGGTGCACATCCTATCATCTATCGTGCTCTCCATAGCTGTGGCTAATATACCTCAATGTTTGTAACGATTTACGAACGCATATTTTTGAATATATGAGTGACAACTAGAAGCTAGCACCTTGCTTTCAAATAGAAGTCTACCTTTTCCACTGCTACACTTCTGTTCCTTCAGCAAGCCCGCAAAATAAAGATCTAACTAGAAACCAAATATACATGAGCCTTCAAAATGCAGATTAACGTCTAATTGTGATCCACTGACAGTACGATTATGAATATCAGCTATCAGAGCAACCATAGTCTCCTCATGATTATTATTTTTATTCCATATGTCCACCCGCCCTTCCATTTATCTTTAGACTTGTCAATACTGCAAGATCCTAGTGTCCACATAAATTTGGTTTCAAATCAAGCTAACGCTGATCATACTCCCACTTCAGTATTGTAACACTATATCCTAGCTAAAATAGCAGTCGAACCGCACTTATCTCTGAACCGTTCATCGGTCCTTGTCAATCTTAAACGATAACCAACGAGTATCAGTCGATTAAGGACATTGCTCAGCTTACGAGAAAACTAACGCAAACTTGGCTGTTTCCTACTCTGATATGCCTTGCCAAATACATAAAATACTCCTGTTAAAACTTTTATTTTTTTCTTCAGGCGTGTTGTGAAGGTAGGACTGCCTTTTCATTAAATCATGGAATCGTCAGCCCATTAAATAACTATTTTGGTTTCTCCTCAAAGCTTGATATTTTTAGGTTTCAATTTGTAGCATAACTAGCTGTAGCTTTGTGAATTGCTTTGGGCTATACCTATTGAAGTCCCTTTCAAACTAGTCCTCAGATTTTTTCCTTGAGTGAGAGGGTGTGAATTGCTTGTAAAATCGTATATGTTGTTCATTACCAGGGGCTTAGACCTTTTCAACTCAATTGTACGGAAGCTATCTGAACTGAAAGATTTTTACTAGTTGCAGGTGGCGTTGTAGAATTCGGTTATAGATCCAACTACAGTCACTAGCATTCAGTATTTTGTATGATAAGCGATTTTTCAATATATGCAGGTCAGGTATCTTAGGATAGTGCAAGAGACCGAGAAAAGGTTAAGTTTAGTTGCTTAATTACTTAAACCTGTTACCTTATATGGAGAATAGGCTACCGACCAGTATTTTCAAACCCGTTCTGTCCTCAGCCTTCGTTTCCGGTTTTGTCCAATTGCTGTTCATCCTCCTTATGTCTGTCTCCATTTCTCCGTTTACTGTGTTCGTTGGTCTTCCTCTTTTTCTTTGACCTTGAAGGTTCCAAGTGAGGGCTTATCTTGTGACACAGTTGGGTGCTTTTGTCAATATTTTGCCTATCCACTTCCAGGACTTCTTCCTGATTTCCTCCTCCACTGTAATCTGATTTGCATTTTAGACTCACAAACTAAATATTTGCACACAAGGTCATCTGAGGATCCATGGGACATAAAACATCCCTAGACAGACGCTATGTTCCTGAAATACGCTTGATTATCACCAAGCTTACTAAGGTACAGAAAGAACCACAAGAATCGAGCACAAAGAAATCAGCTGGTGAAAATGATATTGGATATTGAAAGGTAATTAATTTCTAGTAGATTTCCAGATGTGTGGCTAGCTACCTATTATAAACCGTGTTGAAGTACGACACTCAACTGATAGCCCTAGGTATACTAACAATTTTACAAATGATGTTTAGAACAAGGTATTTTGCGAATTCTCATTAGCAAGGGCTGCTAGTATAGTTCACATAATTAAAATCATTAAGATAAGATTTTAAATTTCAGGGATTTGAAAAAATTATTACTTATTGAAGACATTAGTTAGCTAATTAGGACTAAGTTATTAACCCTTCTGTTTTCGCGCAATACTTAAATCACGGTGTAACACTGGCAATAGGGTTAATTACTACCGTTGATGTGAAAGTAATTAAGTTATCGACTGTTTGGATCAGTACCTTCAACCCGAAAATTTCAGTTAGTTGGTTGCTAATTTTGTGAACAATTTATACGCACATGATTTTGTGATTTACTTAGTCCAACTGATCGAGATTCGATCAAACTACACCTGTATGTTATCATTAACATAGTAAAAGTTGGCAATAAACAGTTTTTATAATGCTTGAAATTTATAAAAAAAATTTTAAAGCCTATTCTCTGTCAAGAATGGACCCAAGATGACGACTAAGCTAAATTGGAAAACTGTTACTCTCAAGGCAGATTGTCTACTAAAGTTCTTGTTATTATTTAGTAAATGACTAAGCACCTATTTAGGAAAAATAATATTCTCGATTTTGATTATTTCTATGAATCTCAAGTTTATGCTTTTTAAGCTTGGAAACAGAGTTCTGTTCAAATCCTTGACTAAGGTTGACAAAGGACCTCATCAAAGCTTGTCAGTTTGAGACAAAACCGAAACCCTCGTTTGTTAATTTTTCTAGAAACTCTAACTTAACTCCTAATGTCTGACCGCTTGGCATTTGTAGCTAGTGTCAATTTGTAATGAAAACTCTGTGATAACAAGCCCTTTGTAAAACCAGCAGTCATTTTCATCAATTATACAGTCACTATCTAAAGGGTATCGCGATCAATTATCATATGACTCTTTTCCCAACACAAGTACAAAGCTTCTGGTGATAGAGATTCTATTCTGGCTAATACCTTAAACTTCTATCCTTCGTTTATATATATATTTAGAAACGTTTGTTTTGAACAATAAACTACGCTACCAAGAAGAATATTTCGTCAGATAGATTCTGTAGGATTCTCTGCGTGAGAGTTGCGCAAATGCTAATGTGCTAAAAATCTTGCGAATATTATTTGTCTACCTGCCGTAATGTAAATCGTCGCATAAACAATCCTTTTAATCCTAGCGAATGCTCTGTACATATCTATATGTGTCTCCAAACTTACTAAACATCTACTGAATATTTCCAGGTAAAATATCTTACTATAGTGGTTTGACACGTGTCTACATTCAAGTGCGTAATTGCATACGATCTATTGTGTCTCGACTTCGTCTTTGTACTTGAGCGGCGTCCTACATTTTATATAAATCAAGTTTCTCCAACTGTTTTAGCGATTTAGATGCGTTTGATGTCATCTTCGTTGATATTTTCTTTATTAATTCTTATATATTCCTGTTCCATCTTCACTGCTTCTACTTTCTCGCCTAAAGCATTGTTTCGAACTATGTGTCGATTAGTCTGTTGTGTTTTTTGATCGCCTCAGTCTGATACCGATATGTCACCCTCCTATACATAAGCCTAAACCAACTGTTTTGGCCATAGGGCTGAGAGCGAGAAGGAACTTTTGTTGAAAAGACCCGAATCATGCATATATGTCTTTACAACATAAAATCATTTTAGTCAGTGCCGTATGTCTCATTCCTTAGGAAAGAAAACTAAATTCCTGTCTATAGCATGGACTTATCTTTCGGTCAATGCTTGGTTGGCAACCTGTCAGAGCTCTTTCTTTAAGAACATCGTGAAATTAGGCCTAGCAATAGATTAGTTCTCAAGAAGTTAACTGATGATAAATTTTTCAATGTTCGTGCCCCTGAAAACAGTCCTTACCTCCTATATACTTATACAGCCATGCATTTCCAAGGTTTATCACGGAAGTCTTATTCACAGCTTTTCACACTAAAGCGAGGAACAGAAGTGGGCAGACAGTTAACTCGCGACCTGATGTGAAATTTTATCGATCCTGGTTTTTTAGCCGTGTCACTATAGGGATTAAGAAAATACAGTTGAACAAAATAATGTCTGTAATAGTAAAATTAACTGTACGGAATATGGTCTGAAAAAAAGAAGTGAAATAAGGGGACATAATACAAAAAGTCACACTTAAACTTAAGATTTAAAATAAAGTGATCTATCCGAGCCCATTATACCTAGTCTCCGCCTATTGTTACTCGAACCCCAACCATAGAGAATACTACAAAAATACCCAATAGTTATTTACTTCATGGATAAATGTCACGTCTTGGTTTGACGTTTTCTAATCTTCTTCCCAACTTACTCCTACGCCAGTTAGCAGTACACATCTGTAAACGAGTCAGTGCTTAGCATCACAAACGTTGTACATGCTGATTATAACATCGCATTTCAGTATAGTTTACTTAGAATATACCAAGGTGACACTGCTTCTTATCCCATATTTGATAGAAAAGAAGCCAATCCAATTATTAGTCTAAAGGGTTTTATTACACAGTATATTGTGTTCCATATCACATGCAAGATTGATCTGTTCATTATACTTGGTCAAAAATTAAGACTAAAATATAGTTATTTCATAGTTTTACTCGTGGATAATTAAAACTAGGTTCAGTCTCCTGTCAATTGATTCGTTTACCATTTCATCATTTCCTTCAAATAAGCATTTTCTGTGGTTATCTTATTCAAACAAATTATATTAACTTTCTCAAACATCTTTCGTAGTTTAGTGCAAAGGAATATAATTGATGTTGAATTAATGACAGAACATAAAAGTCCTGCAGATATCAATGAAGTATTACCTCCATCTTTAGCTGCAGTTAGAGACATATTTTCGGAGTTTAATGTCTCAGAAGTTTCGGATGAAATATGTACACGGGTTTTGGACGTTTTGTATAGTATGTTTTATTTAAAAGCTTATCACCATATTATAGGACACACATGCGATGTTATTGAAGAGGCAAGGGCTGTTTCTCATCATGCCGGTCGAGCGAAAATTGAAGAAGATGACATACAACTGGCCATCAATTCAGTTACAGATGGACTTATGTTTGCACCTCCATATAGAGATCAGTTACTAGCTTATGCCGAAAAAAATGAACAGCCATTGCCAGCTATTCGTCCTCATTGTGGTATTCGTTTGCCGGCCGAGCGCTTCACGCTCACAGCTCCAAATTACTCACTTTTACCAAGTGTAGACAACACAAAAACAGTAAGATATAATATATTTAGGATATTTAAGCTTTACTGTTCATTGTTGCTCTGAGGAAGAGTTTAGTCACATTGTTACTATGGTGTTTGATTACCAACCGATTGGACCATACAATCAAAACCCTTTCACTCTATTGTCTTTAACGGATTTATTGATGTATTTAAATATAAAATCTGTATTCCTACTTATTTACTCTCTATGTTGGCCTCAAAATGATATATTCATTAATTAGAGTCACTAATTAGACTATCCAACACTGCTGATATACAATGAATGCATGTTGTCGTCTTTTAACATGATCTGTAAATGAATATGTATGAGCTTAAAAAATGTGTTGTGAAGTGAAATTTCGCTTGTTATCCGCCGAAACATAATACGATATAGACTACCTTTATCGTATAATTCTGCTACAAGATGTAATAATCGCTTATTCGTCTAATAGTAACGGAGATGGTTAGTTTACATTATCACGTTTGCTTCATAGGTCAGTGAAAAGTAATAGGTCTCTTTATGACAACTGTTTTACGGATAACTTGGTACAAGCCAATGATCCTATGACCCGCTAAGTCCTTTTGTTCCGTATCCTAGAACGTTGTTTCATAAGTACGTTTATAAATACCTGTCGCCAGCGGTTTACATACAACGCACATGCTTGTGCTGTATATTGATATACTATCAGGCTGGACGGTTGTTTGACTTGAACATTAAAACTCGGAAGATGGAAAAGCTCTTTTTTGTCAACCTCAATGTTTTGGTCTGATTAGTTCTGTCATCCAGGTTTCACTAGAGGATTATTTCTATTGAGTTAATGCTTTAGGAAACCTTAGAACAGTACGAGAAGTAAACTTGATTTATTTTCAAACAAATAGAAAATGTCACATAGTTCATTGTAATTTTTTCTTTCATGATTTAATGACTATGTAAATAGTTCATTTTATTCTCAAGTTTGCTAAAATATGTATTCATTCATTGGAGCTTTGTTCAAATTCAATAAAATATATTAGTAAGTGTTCTTGATTCTTCTATTTTTCATTTCGGATTCGATAGAATCCTTCATCTGAACTCGCCACTGATTCTTCAATGACACTTCATATATCCAACCCGGTGAATTCTACCAAAAATATATTTAGAGCTATTAATCCTTCAACCAGACCAATTACTGTCGGCAATCCTATGGGACCATCTGTTCACGTTATTGCCGCTCCAGGAATGGGACCTTCTATGATTCGCGTTCAAACTGTCCAAAATGTTGCTCAGCTGTCTAATGTAGACACTAGCACTGGTTTACGAACACTTCCTGTCGGTCCTACAGTATCCAGTGGTAAGTTTTCTAACCAATCTTTTTATTTCTCAGTTGAATCAAAATATTAAATCAAGTCACGTGTTCAACATTCGTTGTTCGCCTTGAACGACGTACCTAGTACTATTCATTTGTTCAAGGTTTTACGTTATATAACATAACCTACTATAATTGAATGGTGCTTCATATAGTGTCATCAGACTTTCCGCTAGCATGATGAAAATCTACATCTCAGGAGTTTAGCTGAAGGATTTCAGTAAATTGTTATGATCTAACATACTTTCTATGAATAGATCTTTCCAAAACAGTAGTACTTACTTTTTCCTTCAAAATACACTAATTGATTTTATTTAAAAAAATACCTAGTGGAAATTATTTGTAACCTAAGTTTTAAATATGGTGTTATAAATATTTTTAAGGCTGGCCACTTTTTTTTTAGTCTACTGCATGAGAACAATAAATAATATTCTGTTAAAGACTAGATCATAAACAATTATAACTCTCTTATAGGATATTTATTAGAAAGGAGGAAAAAAATTCCAGAAGTCAATGGATGAGGAAAACATTAATGGTAACATTAGTTCTTGAAGAAATTGTTATCATCAGTTAGCTTTATATTATACCCCATTGTTCCATAATTTAATAATTTTGATCTAATTCTAATGAATTGTTTACATTAATTTCGTAGTGTCTGTTTTCGTTTCGATGTCATATAAGTATATCCGTTTAAACAATAAAAATTCGAAGTTGATTTCAACTATTTTAATACATTGTCCTACAAACTTGTAAACTTCCCATTTTTCAGCAAACAAAAGAGGATTCTAAGCTTTCGAAGGAAACACATTGAAAGTTTATATTAAGTGATCAACTGTTGAACCAAGAATGCTGAGCATCTTACCTGCATACACATAATCATGTGATTATGACTGATACTAATCGTAGCTACCCTATAAACGCACTAATTTAATGGCCATCTGTTTATTTTAAACACATTAGTAGTTTCTTCTTATCTGAAGTGATTCAAAAACGAAGAAAATAAAGTCATTTATCTTTCAACTAGTGTTGAATTAGTCTCCTATTAGCCCTAAGTATCTTCCTTAAAAATTGCAGTTAGTTCTGATGGGAGGTTATATTTAGCACTGCTGAATATTGATAATGTAAGTAGAGTATCTTACCATTCATTTCTTGTATTACTGTAATTTGAAATGTCATACTTTGTTCAGAAAGCTGATGTTTTTTTCTTTTGGTTTCTGTATTTTTCTTTTTACAGTCATGTCTTTAAATCGACGTTTCATGGATACATCATGATTAGGTTGGTTAATAACTAGCCATACTCTTCCAGGATTATTTTTCGTGCCAACGTGAAACTGGCATCTTCGACGTCGTTTCAGTGATAAATTTTCCCATCTATTGCTTTCGTTTGTATTGATGTATATATTGTTCGATTGTATATAAACTGTTATAATTTTTGTCTTATTTTTTTATTAATTAAGTTGTCAATTTACTGAGCTATGTTTTTAAAAACCTGTAGAAAGTAAATTAACTCTACAACTTTAAAATATAAAGTAGTTTTTATGTATATAAATTTTGCAATTCTCTGTGTATTCCTGCTGAGACAGTGAAAAGCTAAGTTCACCAAATAAATATTTCTCAGTTAATTCTACATCAGGCCTCTTATACTAACATGTAGATTCTACAAATGAGTAAGATCGATACCATTTGATTGAGTGAATCGAATCCTGCGAGGTGCAGGTGTCGTGGGTGCACACTGCTGATGAGTCCCATACCGGGACGAAACGGCCGTTCAGGTTTCTAATGGTGGTCTAACAATGATTGATTGATGATTTTAAATGTGTCATAAACATTATTTGTGAAAATCATGATTGAAATAATCTCAGCGATTTAAATGTATGCAATTCTAACGGTAGGTCTAACAATCTTGTCTGAACTCATTCACGGTAGTAGTGTGGTGCGCGCTAATTTTAAGTAGTATATGACGCGAGTGTAAACGTAATGTTTGGCAGCAGAAGATGGGAGAAGATTAGGAAGAGTGGGAAAACAATGGAATTTCTATGAAACACATGAATAGTGAAATGTAAGACAATGGATTGAAGATTTGCAAATTAACTGTTTACGATATGGTTTTCCTATTTTACTGAGTAACTGTAATTTTTGACAAATACAGTTCGGTTGCCCTCACCTGTGTTCTCCTTCACTACAGTAGTAGTAGTAATAATAATAATGTGTGTGTGTGTGTGTAACTACTGTATTTTGTTAATAGTTAATATTTAGTCAGTTAATGTCAAGTATTTGTTTATTAAACGTAAACATACATGTATGGTAGCAAATTTTTTTAAAGAAAAGTGTATGTATATAAATTTATGATTACCAATTTCATAGTTATGATGTAAAAATATTCTAATTAACTTCTTGTCTGTCCGATCAACGTTACATATGATAGAGGAGATAAGGTCCAATTACTTAGGAATGGTCATGTGATATGGGGTCGCTAGTTAAATACTACCTTTTCTGTTTAGGCTGTTTTGATTAGCCCAATATAAACATCATTTTTGCTTTCAATATCTGTTTATATTCTATACACCCGTTCATTCCCATCAAAGTTGATATTGTATTGTGTTTTTAAAACGCTATCATCGATTTATTCTCCAACTTTTTGAAATCAATCAACATTTTGGAAACATGTTTCTAACATTTTACGTTCCGCTAACCTTACATTCAACTGTCAAGATGTTATTTCTAGATAAACTGCATCGCAATCTTGACAACTGATCTCATAGAAT